CAGGCGCATCATTCATGAACATCTGGACTGACTGACGGCCAGCACGTCTCCAATGCCTCGGAGCAAGCCTCATCAACTTGAAATCCTCCTTGATACTAGCGGCAAGGATAGCGCCAAGGCTCTTAACCAATCTAACGTAGTAGTCCGCGAGATTCATAGAGCTGAAGCTCGAGGCCTGGTTGCGGCTGAAAATAGGAGAAGAAATGCACTGACGCAGCGCCATGCACAGATTCTGGGCTGTCACCATAGCCTCAACCAACGATGTCCCTCTCGCCAGTAGGATATTTTCAGTGCGATCATCAGATTGCTTGCAGCCTTCGATGAACTTGGCAAAGTATGCCTCTCGACCTTTGTGCTGTGTGAAAGGCGTCAACGTATCTACGGCAGCTTGCGCTCTCTTCATCAAGGAAGGTACAAGGATGTGTGCCTTCTGTTCCGCGAGAAGGGCAATGACTGTGTGCATATTTCTATGCGAACGCTCATCGGAAGGTGAGTTTGGCAGGACTGGCAGCTCGGCCAAATCCAAAATAGACTCGACCCCACCATTCTCCATGAACAAGTTGCGTACCCCCGCATTGTTGAACAGTTGGGTGAGGAAATTGGCGACGGCTGCAATGTATGGAGTCACACTGTTCTCGCGATCATCCTCGGCCGGTATCACAGGCTTGGAAACCTTCGATGGCTCAGCTGCCTCAGTAGAAACGCCAGTCATCTCTACATCCGCATCTGTGTCAACGGATTTTCCCTTTCCTTTGTCTTCGTCAGAACCCTCACTCAAGAGGCTGCGATCAGCGACAACTACGTCCCCATTTGCGTTGGTGACCAACAATTTCGCGCCAAGCTTCTCTCTCTCGGTCCTAGTCTTGCACAGGTGGCTCACTCTAGCAACCATATCCAGGACGGCATTTAAGATCGCGGTTTTGAGAGCTGGATGATGGCGAACCAGTTCATCAAAGGTTGAGCCAAGGGAGGTAGCAAGATTGTTGGTATCATTATCGAGCACCTTGACGTGAGCAGGGCTTTCAAATATCTCAAAGAAGCTTTGAAGGGCGTTGGACTCCAAGAACATCTTCATGCCAGCATTGTTCAGGCAGATGGCACCAAAGGCCTCTGGAACGATAATAATAGCTTCAGATGAAGGCATGATGCCGCGGGCCAGAGGGCCGGGCCGAGGAGCCTCAAGCATCTCCTTGGTTGGAGGATGGGGGGTTTCGTCAACGACAACTGAAAAGATGCTGTCGTCATCAGTTTGCGCCGGGGAGCCTTCTTCATTGGTCGACTCAGGTTGAGGCGCACCGTCCTTGGGTGCTGGAACAGTTATCTCGTGTCCCAGAACAGCCTCCAAGACGGCCTTGCTGAGACCAGCCTCGGCGATAATTGCAAAGCTAGTCGGCTCGTTGTTGATAAAATCATTCAGGATACTGACTGCATTTGTCCACACTGAGCTTCCGAAGATTTTCGCTTGGCTAATAATCTGTCGAAGGCTTCCAAGTAGTTGTGGAGAGTCAATCAAATTCCTAAGAAGGCGGTCAAAATTGCCGCCATAACCACCAGCCTGGTTCATCATGTGGTGAATGAACTTAAACAGCCATTTGATAGACTGCTGCTGGTAGTATGGGATCTCGTAATCGATTGAAGGCGATCGGTAATCCGCAGGCATACCCTCGGATTTGCTCGCCACTTCCGTAGAAGACTGGACTTCATGGACAATCAGATTTGAAATAGCGTCCAGACCGTCGGCATTCGCCAGGACTTGGAAGGCGTCCTTGACATTAAATACGATAGCATCTAGGAAGTTGAGAACTCGGGGGTAGCTGCCCTCAGCAACTGCGGTGCGCAGCGTCAGGACCTCGACCAGAATGGGGACGAGGCCGGCGGTTACCAACTCGTTTCCAGCCCGAGGAAGCGTGGCTACATGTGAGAGAAGTGCAAATAACGCACTGTGCCACTCGTCATTTTCGGTGTGCTTGTCGCCTGGCTCATCAGTCGCCATTTCAGCGACGGCCTTCCTGACAATATAGAGGAGAACTCCATGGTTCACATTCGTATTTAATGCCGTGCACACATCCTGGTACTTGTGTTGATGCTGGGCAAGGCCTTCAATGGCATTGACAGCGATTGTCTGGAGAGACCTCGGGATTCCCAAGTCTCCTTGGGCAGGTGGGTGGATCAGCTCCGCCAGTTGATAGATGAGCTGCTGGCGACGTGGCTCGTCGCTATCCTGCTTTAAGACCTTCTCCAAAAAGCTAGGCTCAGGGTAGATATACGCCAGGTTGGTAACGGCTAAAAGACGGACGGCAAGCATCTGCCTCCGGGTATCCAAGGAATGGGATAGGGCCTTTGCAACTCTTAATTTGGTGAGAAGCGTGTATTTTGATGCATCCGGTACACTTGGGAGGTATTCTTGAAGCAGCTCCTGGACAGAATGTTCGGAGACTTTGGACGCCGGAATGTCAATCACTTTAAGGCTCGAGGTCGCTTTCTCCTCTGCCGGCGCTGCGGCTGGCAACGTAGAAGACCGACTTGGAGTTGCCGGAGCTTCTTCGGGAGCTGGAGCCCTGGGGGCTCGATTCCCATGTTGGTTGCCGAGCATCGATGTGCGTCGTACCGGAGTAGGTGTAACTGGTGCAGCCGATGCATTATGAGTTGCCGATGGTGGTGCCTCTTCCCCGCGTGACTGAGACTCGTAATATGTAATGCGCACATCACCCCATTCATTCCAGTCTACCTCCGCGGAAGTTTGTGACGATGTTGATGCAGCCTTCCTGCCCTTAGGACTTAGATCAGGAAGCGTTCCGCTCCTGACGAGGGAAACCAGATCATTCGCGTAGCTGGTGCTCGTAGTGGTCTTGCTGCCTGCTACAGGAATGCTGAAATATGCTTTATCTTTGCCCTTCGCGTTCGGCGTGACAGGTGTGTTCGGAACCGTGGGCGCAGAGGTCTCCGTTGAGGTAACGGTTCTTGAGAATGGCTGAGAGAGCTGCTGCACCTTATCTAGGTCTATATTGTAATGATTCGCAAGGAGTGTCGCATTTGTCTGTCGGTGGGAACTTGCGATCCTTCGGAACGTCGCCTGGTAGCGCTGGGCCAGCTGTGTACCGATCTGAAGTGTCGCCGCAAGTAATGACAGAGAAGTGCTGTTGAGAAGATCGCTCAAGTGCGTGCTGCTCGAATATATGCTTCTATTGCCGCAATTCTCGAGTAATATCCTAGAGAAATGCAGAATTCGCTCTATGACCTCTCTATCGCCTTCCGGGCCAAACCCAGCTTCGGAAACCTGCTCATCTGTCGCGCCGCCCTTTTGCAGGAGCTCGCATCCAAAATCTTTAACCTGAGGGCCATTGTTTAGTGCGTAAGTTGCGCAGAAGGTTTCGAGATCGCTGTCGAATCTATTGAGGAGAGGGATCCAGTGGTAGAGATCACCTCTGGGGAAAGGCCATCGGGTTGGGAAGTCGGCAAGAGCTTGTGGGAGGGTGTGCCATGGTGCTGTCGATGCGTTCTGCACAAACGATTGGATATACGGCGACTAAGGAAATGTCAGCTCATCCTGGGTTGAATTTCAATAGCATATAGAACGTACCAGCGTCTCCTTGTGCTTTGGTTGTATGGTCTTCAGTATCTTGACCATGGTGTTGACTGCTGCGGTAACACCGCAATTTGGGATATTGTTGTCCCCCTACACTGCCTCCACATTGGTCCAAGCTGGAGACAGCTTTGCTGATATTCGAGGAGCGTCCAGGTCGGACAGCTCCAACGGAGAAGTGAAGTGGCAAGGGTGTAACGTTCGAGTTGTCGAGTCGGGTGGTATTCGACGGTGGCGTCGGGTATCTAGAAATTAGTATAGGAAGGGAATGTATTACCTGATCAAACTAAGGTGAATCTACAGCACCCTGCAGGTGCTCAGATCGGGCTGGTTTGGTGTTGATCGTGCTGTGGCTTCAGCAAACGGCAGTGTTGGTTTATCGTAAGTCGAAGCTGGTATCCTTGCCAGGTTGCGAAAGAGAGGTGGAGAACTCCTCTCGTAACTTGATCGAGGATCTTCGATGGATGAGGTTGTAGTTAGGAAAGGTAAATCAAGACAAAGAAGTCCAGAGCTGTAGTGAGAGAGATGGGTTGTAGAAATTCGATGTGAAGATGCGAGGCACGGCGGATAGAAGGCGAGGCGAGGTATTCCAAGCTCACCCACCCACCGGGAGCCGCTAGTTTTTTTTTGGAGACGGCGGCGGCAGGGCGCTTATCGTACAACAACTTTAACGTTTAGTATTTTCAGTTATTTTGTTCTTTTACTTCTGGAGTCGGCTGATCTGCAATGTCACTTTTTGGTCCAGAAAAATAGTAGATGGCAAAATAAATTAAATCAATATTGCAGTGACTGTATTTGGTATTCTACGTTACAGCTCGAAAAGGTGATTTTTTCCTTTGCTACCCAATGCCGCTTTCTGTTTGACGGGTCATGCATCCGTAGGCCTAATCAAGGACCCTTCGGGTGACCACGTCATGCTGTCCTTCACGAGTTTAATGGGCTAGGTGTAGCATTGGGAGTTGGACAATGTAGCATGTGCTTCTTGATGATTCCATGGTATCGAGACGGGTTATCTTAGATTCGGGGTTCTGGGGATGTATATAAAAAATGGGCTGTTTTATTATTTTATCATAAAGTTATAGGTTACTCCGTAAGTTACGTTAGTTAAGTTAAACTTGAACGTTATGTAACTTATGGAAAATGAAATAACGGAAACAAAAGATTAAATGCAACAAAAAAACCCTAGCTATCATATTCAAATTAAATTAAATATTCGTAAACCATAATATATCGAGAGAATATAGTTCAACCCAATAAGACTCTCTAAAGGATAGATATCACCTTGTTTGTTATCTCAGATACCATAGACCCTGACCTCAGGCGTGGTTTCAGCGTCACAATCAGCACAATAGACATCACGTGACACGGAATACACCAACAGGTGGTTAGTCGTAATAATTATCATATTTCACGTACCATACAAGTTACAACTGTATTTCTTTATAGCCTTCTTACAAATTATTCATGTCTGTAGCAGTACCATCCCCTCCTCGCTGAGTAATAATATAATCCCCTATGAGCCTGGTGAGTCTGACGAGGCCGTCCCATCCTATCTCGCAGGCCAGCTAACATCCATCTGTGGACCACCAAGTGGCGCCCGCGTCAGTGTTTCCCGTTACAAGTTGATTAGCCAGAAATAACGCGCACCGCTGAAATACCACCGTGGCCTCCCGGGTATTACTTTAGTGGCTTAATTGTCGCCGAGTCTCAGAGCCCTGCACGCCTCATTGGAGATTGTGTACAAACGATATTCAGCAATGTTCAGCGATGTTCAGCGTACAGAGGCATTATCGAGGCACAACAGTATTATACTATATAGAGAGATATCAATGGAATTTCTTCATGGATGGGGGCTGGAAGAGGGGTCCATGAGAGACGGTTACTCAGTACAGTCGTCTGTTCTGTTTGTACGTACGGTATACAGTACGAGTATACTCGCTCTCTTTATTCTCATAACCCTACATATAACACTCACACCGCATGAATAATAATCGTGGCCTTATTCACCGTATTAATCGAATTGATTCAATTTCAATAGCCCTGCAAAACTGGAGAAACTCCCCAATCCGTCCCCTTGTTCTGCAGATCCAGAATTAAGATTGCCAAGATCGCGAGGCCTCCATCAATCCGCTCCTGTACCAGACCACAGCTCCAAATATTTCGGCGACCATAATAGATACAAAAAGGCAAACCGAGCCACAGCACAGGGCAAACGGCGGCAAATCGGGCCACATTATATAAAAAAATATCGGCTCTGAGGGGGGAACCAGGAATCAGAAAACCCACTCGAGATCGACACTGGGAAACAGCGACCCAGGCACCCAGAAGCCGCCGTTTCTCCGTCTCCCTACATACGCACCTCCAACCTTACCTGATAATCTGCAGCCAGCAACCGACAGAAGACGTCAGAGAGGGGCATTCTGCAGTTCACCATTGATGGCCTCGAATAGCACCTGAACTCTCCAGGATAACGACAAGGTCGGGCCAGAAGCACAGAAACAAGCCATATACCACCCGACATCTACAATGTCACCACCAAAAGGAGACGGCGATACTCGCCCTGAGCTGGTGGTCAAGGATACACAGCCTGAATCTGACGACTCGGGCCACGAAACTGTAAGACACAAAAGACAAAGAATTGCTGATCTGGACAGTTGGCTAATTGTGATACTATCAGGACACTTTCGAGGACGCCGACACCACACCCATTGGCCACAACCAGGCTGTGTCTCCCACAGCTTCAACACGATCTTTAACGAATTCCCACGCGGCTCATCACAATGGAGACTCCGAGGCCCCAGTGGTACCTCTAGAAGCGCATCCAGAAGACGACGTATCACCTACAAGCAGCCAACCAAGATCTCCCCCAGCCGTCACGGAACGCCTCTCAACCTTAAGCCTAGACAACGTGAGCTTAAACGGAGAAGGGATCCCTGCAGCGGCGGCAACGACCGTCAAAGGTATGGCCTTCGGACTCTAACCCCCATCAGCTGTTAATTGGAGCTGTTGCTAATCATATTTGACATACAGCAGATACCACAAAGCCCGAATTACCCCCACGATCTTCCGCCAAGGCTGTCCTCGAGGGCTTCCAAGGGTCGTTGCCATCAGTGCCGTGGGGACCACCTCCCCCGCCACCTCCAGCAAAGGACAAGGCACAAACTGTTGTTCTCCCGCCACGAAAGCTCACAGGACCATTTTCATGGTTGTCGAGGGGTTCCGCACCTCCACCACCAACTGTACCACGAGTACCATCACCTGGGAACGGCTCTGGAGGCCGCCGAAACACGACATCTTCGATAGCTACGAATAATAGCAACCCAGACCTCATGCTCAATAAACTCGACGAGGGGAACGAGTCGCCAAATGACATCAGGAATTCATCGAGGAACAGCCTACGGGATAGATTCAAGCTCCTGCGGATGAGAGAAGAGGCAGGCATTACTTCGTTGGGCGAGGAAGGCGAGGAAGGGACACCGATTGATACTATGACTGGGCGTGCAAGTCTCGGCCAAGGAATTACTAGCCCAACGGGCTCAGAAGACAAAGCTCTCCCAGCAACACCGAATGCGGCGGCTTTCAATCCCTCATTAGCACCAGGAACTGCGGCGGGCGTTACATCTGGACCACCTGCCACCGAAGAAGTTGACTGGGATTTGTGGCAGTCAGTGGTCTACGAGGGCCCAGCGGCAGTAGCGAGGACAAGCCCCGAAGAGCTGAATCAAGCGATTGCTCTCGGTATTCCTTCTGCGATCCGTGGAGTTGTCTGGCAAGTCTTGGCCCAGAGCAAGAATGAGGAACTGGAGTCGGTGTATAGAGACCTGCTCTCGCGTGGAACGGACCAGGATAAGGACAGGGCGAGCATTTCCAGTGCGGGAGCCAGCAATACCTTCTCGAACGGTGGAAAAGACAAAGATACCGCGTCATCGGCGTCTTCAGTGCATTCTGATCTGTCGGGAAGCGGCTTGAAGTCACCATCGCCAACCGAGAGGAACCCGGAGAATATTGCAAAGGCACAAGCTGCTGCTTTGGCGGAGAGGAAAAAGAAAGCAAAGGACGATGCGGCGTCATTGCTGAAGCTGGAGAAGGCTATCAAGCGCGACCTAGGCGCCAGGACGAGCTTCTCAAAGTTTGCAGTCAGCGCGGGCCTCCAGGACGGACTATTCGGCGTGTGCAAGGCATATGCCCTCTTCGACGAAGGCGTTGGGTACGCCCAAGGCATGAATTTCCTCGCCATGCCTCTCCTCTTCAACCTCCCCGAAGGAGAAGCCTTCTGCCTCCTCGTGCGCTTAATGAACCAATACCGTCTCCGCGACCTCTTCATCCAAGACATGCCCGGCCTGCACATGCACCTCTACCAATTCGAGCGCCTCCTCGAAGACCTCGAACCTGCGCTCTACTGCCACCTCCACCGCAAAGGCGTCACCCCGCACCTCTACGCCACGCAATGGTTCCTCACCCTCTTCGCGTACCGCTTCCCCCTCCAGCTCGTCCTGCGCATCTACGACCTCATTCTTAGCGAGGGGCTCGCTGCGATCCTTAAGTTTGGGATTGTACTCATGCAGAAGAACGCTGCTACTCTTTTGGGGATGAATGACATGGTGGCCCTTACTAATTTCCTGAAAGATCGCCTCTTCGACGTCTACATCGACGCCTCACCATCCCCCGGCTCGATCCTCGAATCGGGCTTCTTCGGCAGCTCAGGCGCCAGCATCGACAAAGAAGTCTACCACGCCGATACCCTCGTCCTCGACGCGTGCGCCATCAAGATCACCCCCGAGATGCTGAAAACCTACACCAGCGAATGGGAAGAGAAAACCCGCACCGAAAAAGAGCGCGAAGCAGACCTCGAACTCCTCCGCTCCACCAACGCCTCCCTCTCCCTCTCCGTCCGCCGCCTTGAAGAACGAGTCCAGAACCACGACCAAGAGCACGCGGCCCTCGCTACGGACCTCGTCCGCACGAAGGTCGAGAATGAAGAGTTGCTGGACCAGAATGAGAGCCTGAAGGGACAGGTGGAGGAGCTGAGGGGGGTGGTGGAGAGGCAGCCGGCGGAGGTGGAGGAGAGGCTTAAGACGGAGATGGAGAGGTTGATGAAGAGGAACTTGGAGGTGCATGAGGAGAATACGAGGTTGGAGGAGGAGATGGGGGGGATGGAGGGGACGTTGGTGGAGACGAAGATGGCGTTTGCTGAGGTCAGTTTACGCTTCCCCTTTACCTTTATACCCCGGTTCCTTTCTTTATATGCCGTTTTACCCTCTCTGTGTTCGGGATTCGAATACTAATCATACCGACAGCTTAACGCACAACACGAAACCCTGCAGCGGCGCTGGACCGATCTGAGGAAGGCGCTGGACTAGAAAATCCCTTGTGTTTCCGGGTCATGGTTCGCGGACTACTTGATGTGCTTGTGAAAAATTTATCACGCTGCGTTGCGTTGTGCTGCGCTGCATTCAGATGGGGGGGGTTTTTCCTTTTCCTCATGTACGAAGTTTGTGTGTGGGATGGGTTGTGTGACTGTACATCGATAAGATTTATGGCAGAGCGGTTTAAGAAGAGACTGCTATGAGCTCGTGAAGGGGGTGGCTGGGACTGAACAGAACGGCACGGCATATGGATGGATGGATGAACTGGGAGAAGATGGATGGGAGGGGGAAAGTAGCTGACTATACTATATAGATGTAGCTCCAATGCTTGGGCTGAGCTTTGGGTTTTTGATAGGTTTGGTGGGGGTGCGGATGTGGAGGTGGGTGGAAAGGGGGAGTGGGGGAGTGGGGGGGAGGGGTGAAGGGGGGAGAGAGGGTGGGGGGAATGGAATATGATATATGAGAAGCATTGCGCGGGGATTTGGGTGATGCTAGGGTGGTGAGATGCTAAGGCGAGAGAATTGAAATGGAATCAAATCCAAATTATATAAAAGACCCTGGCCGAACGGTCAATGTGATTATGGGAAAAGCAGTCCTGTTGTGCATAACAGGAGTAATGATGCTGGTGCCCATAGTTGGATACGATCTTTGAACCACGGCGGTGTGTCACCGCTTCGGTCTTCTCACCGCACTGTTACTGTCACCGGTATGTTCATGCTACCGGTCTCTGCTATAGAGAATAAAGTTGAATCTGTTCTTGTTCTAAGTTATTACTGTACTTTGAATCTTCCACTTGAATCCCTGTGGTCTATCCCTTGGCCAGCCTTGTGATTAGAGTTATGTCGAGGCGCGAAAGGCTGAGCCTTGGAATTCGTCGTTGATTGGCTGGACTGTAACATCCAACACTCTAGATTCCAAATTTGTCCTTCTCTCCCTGCCAACCTCAACGAAACCACACAACAACTCCGAATTGGGAAGAGAGGAAGTTGTAAAAGTGAAGTTTAGAGAAGAGAAACTGTCAAGATGGCGTCTTCTATGACTTTGAGGGTTACCACGCCCGGTACGTCTCTCTCCCCTTATGCTCTTGTGGTTTTTGAGAACTACATTTTTGTTGAGGTGCATGTGAACTGACCTCATATCCAGCGGGCAAAAAGCCAATCCGCAAGCTACCCTCCAACATTGAAATCGGCGCTGGCACGACCGTCGAGGAGGCAAAGAGGATCATTGCGCGCCACACTGGGATGCGCGATTACCACCGCATCGCCATCGTGGACACGACCACCAAGAGCATCATCAAGGACCGTCTGAGCATCCTGGCGCAGAACCCCGGCGTGCAAGCTACCGGCGACATCGCCGTCAAGGACCTTGGTATGCCTCCCCCCCCCCCTTCCCCCCATACTATAGCCCTTGACTGACCCCCCGACCAGGCCCCCAAGTCTCCTGGCGCACCGTCTACGTCGTCGAATACGCCGGCCCCATCTTCCTCTCCCTCCTCCTCGCCTACCCCCTGCGCGCCTACATCTACCCCTCTGCCCTCTTCGGCCCGCCCACCCCCTTCTCAACCATCCAGACCATCTCCCTCGCCCTCATCGTCCTGCACTTCATCAAGCGCGAGCTCGAGACCGTCTTCCTCCACCGCTTCTCCGCCGCCACCATGCCAGCATCCTACATCCTCAGGAACTTGGCGTACTACTGGCTCTCCATGCTCAATATCGCGTACTGGGTCTTTGCCCCCAACGCCGCTGCTGCATCGCCCCTGAAGGAGGGGAGGGATACGTACATCCTCGCTGCTGGTCTGGCGGTATACCTCTTCGGCGAGCTCGCCAACTTCAACACCCACGTCATCCTGGCAAACCTGCGCCCCAAAGGCACCACCAAGCGCGGGATCCCCAAGGGCTTCGGTTTCGGCATCGTCGCGTGCCCGAACTACTTGTTTGAGCTCGTCTCGTGGATCGGTGTGCTCCTTGTGACGCGCAGCTTTGCGACGGGTGGGTTCTGTGTCGTGGCGTGGTTGTGGATGCAGAGGTGGGCGGTGGGGAGGGAGAAGAGGTATAGGAAGGAGTTTGGGGCGGCGTATAAGCCGCATTTGTATCCGATGACGCCGGGGTGGGCGTTGTCGATTAGAAAGGCGAAGGAGTGAGTGTGAAGCGAATGGTGGGGTGGTGTGTATTAGTAGTGGAGGTTGGGTGGTTAAAATGAACGGAATGGGACGGGGAAGTGGTTGGGGAGAGGAAGTGTGTGTGGGTTGGTATATGGATGAGAACGTAATGAGGGGATGAGTTAGATGGGCTAGGCTCTAGATTGCATGGGCATTGCATGGGCATTGCAGGTTTATGGGAAGGGATATAGCTTCAGGCACATGGCAACAAAATCATTGCATTGTTTTTGCTTAGAGTAGCGCAGAATCGAGTCTCGATTGAAATACAGACTTTTCTATTTGTGACCTACAGTCTCACTCCGCTGAACACCACATAAAAGGCTGACAAAGCTATAGATTCAGTACTCTACTTTTGACGCCGAACTACTGACTGTTATAATCAGTTACCCCCCGCAGCAACAACCGCCATAACCTTATCCAGCACCGCAAACCCCTCCTCAATCTCCTCCTCCGAAATCGTCAACGGCGGCACAAACCTCAACGTATTCGTCCCCGCCGTAATAACCAACAACCCCCTCTCCCTCGCCGCCGCCACAATCGGCGTCGGATCGCGATCAAGCTGCAATCCCAGCAGCAGCCCCTTCCCCCTAATCTCCCCCACAAGCTTAGGGTACTTCTCCTGTAGCTTCTTCATCCGCCCCACAAACAAGGCAGACTTCGCAGAAACTGCCGACTGAAGCTCAGGCTGCGAGAGCCTAGACACAATATGATGCGCCAACCTCGACGCGAGCGGATTGCCCCCAAACGTCGTCCCATGATCCCCCACCGCGATCTTCTCCGCCACCGCCCCCGTCACCAGCGTCGCCCCAACAGGGAACCCATTCCCCAGCGCCTTCGCCGTCGTCAGAATATCCGGATGCGCCTCAGCCGGCAAATCGCTGTGCGCCCACAACGTGCCCGTGCGGGATAACCCGCACTGAATCTCGTCATATATCAGCACCGCGCCGACCTCCTTACAGCGCTTCGCAAGCGCGACCAGGAACTCCGGCGTAGCGACATGCACCCCGCCCTCGCCCTGGATCGGCTCCACGATCACGCCAGATGTGGTGGGTGTCACGAGCTCAGCAACACCAGCGACATCATTGTAAGTCCCGTAGCGGAACCCGGGAAGCATAGGCGCGAAGGGGGCTTGGTACTTTGGATTCGGCGTCGCGGACAACGACCCCATCGTGCGTCCATGAAACGAGTTATTAAACGACACAATCTCATGCTTCTTGCCGCTCGGGTCCGCCACCTTGCCCGCCTTGCGCGCGAACTTGATAGCCGCCTCGTTCGCCTCCGAGCCAGAGTTACAGATGAACACCGCCTCGACGCCCGCCATGCTCCCGGACCCGAGCGTCTTCTGCACCAGCAGCATCGACAGCGCGCCCGTCCAGGGGTTGTGGTACAGGTTCGAGGTGTGCACCAGCGTCTTGGCTTGCGAGTAGATGAGCTCGCTGATCTCCGGGTCGCAGTGGCCGAGGGCGTTGACGGCGATCCCGGCGGTGAAGTCGAGGTACTTCCTGTTCTCGAGGTCGTAGAGGTAGGACCCTTGGCCTTTGACGAACATGGGGGCGGGGCGCGCGTAGGTCTTCACCATGTACGGCGCTTGCTCGTTCACGACGGTCGTGGTGGCGGAGTCTTCAGCTGGGTCTGGGTTTGGGAGGTTCGCTGCTTTCTGCGGAATTTGTTAGAATGGGAGAGCGGGGAGTAGAGACAGGTAGAGTTGAGAGGGAACGCACGAATATTTCATTCTTCAATTGCTCCGGCATATTCGAACCAGAGGCCGCAGCCGCGGCTTGTGACGCACAGCGCCGAGCCGGGGCATTGCTCATTTTCAGGCTTGCGGCCGCCGTCCTCCTCGCCGATAAACGCAGAGACATTGACATTGGCACTATGGGCAATCGTGCTTAGGCAGAGCAATTGCAGGGAGATGTAAGGCTTGGTTTGGGGGGGGGGAATTGAAGGTTTTTGAGACAGTCAACTGTGAGTTGTGGCGGGGATGTGAAAGATGCTCAGGGTCGACGCGAATATTTAACTCATCAGAGATCCAATCGGTGACTCTTCGCAGACGCCAAGGACAAGGCTGAGTGAGTAACAACCCTGAGGGTACACTATATTTCAGCCTTGCCATCGAATATACAGCGCCCTTTCAACGACACCAATAACCACATGCAATAAAAAATACTCATGCCAATATGTACCAATGAAACAACATGTAATTCCATATTGAATAATCTGGTATTTGCTCAATCATCTCAATCACCCGCCTACGATCAATACGCATCACAGAAACCATACACTAAACCGTCTATCTGCGGAACCCCTCTTATCCTACTAACAAAGAGACACAACAACACGCCTAAGACCGTCACGACACGACACGACACGACACGCTCACGCATCAATCAGGTTCTCCTCCTGCTGACCCGCCTTCGCCGTATCCTCCGTGTTATCCCTCGTATCCTTCTGCCCCTGCCTCTTTTTCGTCTTGCGCTCCGACCTCTGGTAGAACTCCGCCAGGATCTTGGCCGGGATACGGTTAAGCAGCTCCTTGGGGTATATGCGGAGCAGGCCCCACGCCTGGTCGAGGGACTCGTAGATGGTCCTCGACTCGTAGGGGGATTGCGAGATGAAGGTGCGCTCGAACTTCTCCAGGAACTCGAGGGAGAGCTTGTCCTCGGATGACAGGGCCTCCTCACCGACGACGGCCTTCATGGCCATGGCGTCCTTGCCGATGGCGTACTTGGCGTACAGCTGGTTGGAAACGTCGCCGTGATCCTTCCTTGTGTTGCCCTCGCCAATGGCAGACTTCATAAGACGGGAGAGAGATGGCAGGACGTTGATCGGAGGGAAGACGCCGCGGTTGTAGAGCTGGCGATCGATGAAGATCTGGCCCTCGGTAATGTAACCAGTTAAATCGGGGATGGGATGAGTGATATCATCGTTAGGCATGGTGAGGATAGGAATCTGAGTGATCGAGCCGTTACGGCCCTGGACACGTCCGGCGCGCTCGTAGATCGTCGACAAATCAGTGTACATGTAACCCGGGTAACCACGACGACCTGGAACCTCCTCACGAGCTGCGGAAACCTCACGAAGAGCGTCACAGTATGCCGTGAGATCCGTCATGATAACCAAAACGTGCTTCTCGAGCTGGTAGGCGTAGTACTCAGCAGTCGTCAGGGCCAGACGAGGCGTAATGATACGCTCAATGGTAGGGTCGTTGGCCAAGTTAAGGAAGAGAGTGACACGCTCCAAGCTGCCGTTTTCCTCGAAATCGCGGGTGAAGAAACGGGCAGTCTCCAAGTTGACACCCATAGCTGCGAAGACAATGGAGAAGTTCTCCTCGTGGCCATCGTGCACGCCCTTGTTTGTGACACCCTGCTTTTGGACCAAACCAGCTTGTCGACAGATCTGAGCTGCGACTTCGTTATGTGGGAGACCGGAAGCAGAGAAGATGGGGATCTTTTGGCCACGAGCGATCGAGTTCATCGTGTCAATGGCGGAAATACCCGTTGAGATCATCTCCTCGGGGTAGACCTGTAAGAGAGACAGTCAGCATAGGACTGCACGGGGTCCATGGGCAAGGCCACTTACACGAGAGTATGGGTTAATAGGGCTTCCGTTGATGTCCAGGTACTCCTCAGCCAACACCTTCGGTCCCTTGTCGATAGCCCTTCCGGATCCATCAAAGATGCGACCAAGCATGTCCTCAGAAACACCCAGCTTCAAGCTCTGCCCCGTAAACTCGACTGTAGTCTTTGTGGAGTTAGCAACATGTCTCGACTATAGAGAAGGGACGGGGCTAGCAAACCTTCTTCACATCGATTCCCGTTGTGCCTTCGAATACCTATATCTGCGTCAATACTGCAGCCGATCCATGCTCCAGGCCTCCTTACCTGCACAACAGCTCTAGTTCCTATAACCAGTCAGCTTCAGACCTATGAAATACCCATATTGCATCGCAAATACGCACCTCTAGCCTCAAGGACCTGCCCCGACCTGACCGTCCCATCGGGAAGCCTCAAGTTGACAATCTCATTGTACTGCGGGAATTTGACCTAAAACACCACATCATCAGCCCCTCCTCCCTTCCAACTTCCAATTGAGGCAACCCTACACTCTCGAGGATGACCAGAGGCCCGTTAACACCGCCGATGGTATTGTACCGAATCCGGGGCGTAACGTTGTACGATGACGACTCGCGGGGATCGGTCGTCATGGCTGCGAGTTTCGCGGAGAGGGAAGGTGTGTGTTATATAGATGTTTCTTGCTGGAGGGGAGTTATGTCGGGCTCCTGCACTACCAAGAGTGCGGCGTGGGTGAGCTGGTGGGAGGAGAGGGGAGTGAGAGCTTGGAAGTTGAAGCTCAACCCTTCGGGACGATAAGCTAGGTTGCTGGAACATGAGCGAGCGCCAAGAGTTACAGCCACGTCACGTGATTTTAATTGGTCGGAGGAGGTTTGGGGTAGGATTTGAATGAGAATAATAGAGGGGCTCTTGGAAAATAGAAGGAAATAATGGGTATATGCGGTATATATGCATGGAGGGCACATGATTGCGGAATTTTGGACTGGTTTCGTAACTTGGCGCTGCACAATAGTGAGACTTGTATCCATATCACTCTACTACAAGCACTTCCAAGACTCGACAGCTTTTTGATATTTATATTTACATCCAATGCCTAGCAGTATATCCCTCAAGTAGCCAGCGTCCTCCTCCCCAGCACCGCCTTCCCCACACTACTCGAATTCGGCCTCTCAATCTCCTTCGTAATCCACGCCCCAATATCCGCCACCGCATCCAAATCCACCCCCGTATCCATCCCCAAACTCTCCAGGAAATACACCATATCCTCCGTCGCCACATTCCCCGTCGCCCCCGGACTATACGGACACCCTCCCAACCCCCCGACACTGCTATCAAACGTCCTAATCCCATGCTCCAGCGCCACCGCCGTATTCACCAGCGCCTGCCCAAACGTATCATGGAAATGCATCGCCATATCCTCATTCCTAATCCCCGCCGCCGTCATCGCCCGCAGCAGCTCCGCCGTCCGCGGCGCCGTGCCCATCCCCGTCGTGTCACCTAAGGCGATCTCATCAACCCCCATCTCGAGGAGGTCGGTAGCTACTTCGGCGACTTTGTGGGGATCGACGTCGTACCCTTCGAAGGGGCAGCCGAGGACCGTGGAGATGTATCCGCGGACCCGGTAGCCGGCGTCTTTGGCGCCTTGGATTACGGGCTTGAAGCGCTGGAGGGAGGTGGCGATGTCGCAGTTGAGGTTCTTCTGCGTGAAGGACTCGGTGGCCGCGGCGAAGACGGAGAATTCGATTTTGGGGGCGTCGGGGCGTGCGGTGTGGCCGGCGGCTTTGAGGACTGCCATGGCGGCTTCGAAACCCTTAATGTTGGGAGCGAGGAAGGAGTAGTTTATGGGGAATTTTGAGTCGGGTGTTTCTTTTATGATGCTTTCGAGAATTTCGTTTGATGTTGCCATCTAATGGATCGGTATGTTAGCTCGAGTACACAGTAGGAGTACAGGTAGATATGAATGCACCTGGGGAACCCATTTGGGAGATACAAAGGAGCCAGCCTCGATATCCCTCAACCCCGTCTTTGCCAATCGCGATATGAGGTCTAATTTCGTATCCGTCGATATAGTCTTCTTCTCATTCTGCAGCCCATCTCTCGCTCCCACCTCCACAATCCTTACGCGATTATTCCTCGATGGCGGCGCCGGATCAGCCGTCGTAGCAAAGGCGAAACCCCTAAGCTGGCGCGCATTGAGTCGCCTCACGCATCTCGCAGTTGGTCGTAGTAACACCATTGCTGTTCGAATGTCTAGGAAGTTCAAAATGCCGACGTTTTTTCTACCTTGTGTAAGGTTATGTCGATGTCGTCGGTTCAGACCTGGTCCCGGGTTACAGTTATGCGGGGAAAGCTCGGGCCACTGTGCCGCAACAAGCATGCGGAGCGTAGCCTTGTCAAAAAGTCGTTAGCCTCGCAGAGGGGTTGACGACTTTTTGGCGACGATCAGAGGGTCGGATGAAATATAGTTACTACTTTTGATACAACAACCCCACCTTCTGCGAATATAAATCGCTGAAATGGAGGAAGATAGAGCGGAAGGAAATCTAGGGATTGCGGCGGATCTGGAAGAGAATCGGGAGCCTGTGGTCCAGAGGCAGCCGAAGAAGAGATTTGTGGGGAGGCGAGCGGCTGCTGAGAATGCAGCGAAGGGTGCGGAGAGTGGGACGTCTATTGAGACTGCGGTGCAAGGTGAGTTTATATTATTATTTTTGGACATATAGAAACTAACTCCACACCAGTTGCAAACCCCCGGCGGACACCACGGCAACTAAACCAAGTCCCCCCCTCCATCCTCAACGACCCCGACATCAACGCGGCCATCGCCCTCCTCCCCCCCAACTACTCCTTCGAACTCCACAAAACCATCCACCGCATCCGCACCAACGCTTCCACCAAAGTTGCCCTCCAAATGCCCGAAGGCCTGCTCCTCTTCGCCACCACCATCTCCGACATCCTCTCCCAGTTCTGCCCCGGCATCGAAACCGTCATCATGGGCGACGTCACCTACGGCGCCTGCTGCATCGACGACTACACCGCCCGCGCCCTCGGCTGTGACCTGCTCGTGCACTACGCGCATTCCTGCCTCATCCCCGTCGACGTCACTCAGATCAAGACCCTCTACGTCTTCGTCGACATCTCCATCGACACGGCCCACCTCCTCGCAACTATCACCCGCAACTTCGCCGCCGGCAAGACAATCGCAATGGTCGGCACGATCCAGTTCAACGCCACCCTCCACGGCGTCCGCGCCCCCCTCGAAGCTGCGGGGTTTAAAGTCCTCACCCCCCAGATCTCCCCTTTAAGCAAGGGCGAGATCCTCGGCTGCACGTCGCCAAAGTTAGACGCGGATGGCGTGGATTACATCCTCTACCTCGGCGACGGCCGCTTCCACCTCGAGAGCGCCATGATCCACAACCCCTCCATCCCCGCCTACCGCTACGACCCCTACTCTCGCCGCCTCACCCGCGAGCTCTACGACCACGCCGAGATGCACGGGCTCCGTCGCTCAGCCATCCACGCCGCCAAATCAGCCAAGAAATGGGGATTAATCCTCGGCTCCCTCGGACGCCAGGGAAACCCGCACACCATGTCCCTGATCGAGAAAAAACTCACTGAGCGCGGGATCCCATACATCTACCTCCTACTCAGCGAGATCTTTCCGGGGAAACTGGCAATGATGGAGGAGGTCGAGTGTTGGGTGCAGGTCGCGTGTCCGAGGCTGAGTATTGATTGGGGATATGCGTTTCCGAGGCCGTTGTTGACGCCGTATGAGGCGCTTATTGTGTTGGGAGAGAAGGAGGATTGGAGGGGGAGTGGGGATGTGTATCCGATGGATTATTATGGGAAGGAGGGGTTGGGGAGGGTTAAGGAGGCGGTTGGTATGGCGGCGTAGGGGGAGGGTGGTATGCGCAGCTTGGAAGAAGAAGGAATGAACTGGAGCCAGGCTGGGGGTGAAGCTGGTATGGGAAGCTTGGAAGAAGAAGGAATGAACTGGACCAGGCTGGGGGTGAAGCTGGTTTTGGGAAGCTTGGAAGAATAAGGAATGTACTGGAATCAGGCTGGCGTTGTTGCTCGCACGGCAATGTGGGTAGGGAGGACTAAACATCGGCCTCATCATCAAGATGGACATATCTGCGCTCTACAAGGTGTGGTCACCAGCGATGAGAGTTAGTCTCGCCCCTGCCGCGGGATAGAACGGCAGCCACCCCTTCCACCTGCCAATAGCGGCAAAAGAGCACGCGTACTCCCCACATCTGGAGAAGGGGAACGGCACGAGCCCATTTTTCTCACCCGGAGATGGAGAGCTGAAGAGGGGCACGACATGCTGGTTGTCTTAGATACGGAGTACGTGGTGGTGCTTCATGGGGCGATGAAGAGGAGAGCGGGGTCAATAGGTAGGGATACAGATTTGCATACAAGGTAACACATGGCAGAATGCGGAATCATGTCTGCAAAGTGGATGATTGAAAATGAAGCGGCGGCCGTTTGTTTCTGGAGGTGATGACTGGATAAAACAATCCTCCTCCAACAATAAGCAAATATAAATAAAGACAATGCTCCCCACGTGCTGGAAAGAAGAGTTGGGATAGGGGGTTGGGGTAGACGTGGCGGCTGATTTATAGCCTATGTGCGGAATATGTGATGTGCATCTTGCAGCTGTAGGGGCCATTTACCACTAACAACACTAACAACCCACCCACTATCATCACTAACAACCCACTAACATCACCACTAAACCCACCAACTAACTCCCATCACCGAATCCACCGAATCCACCGAATCACAACGTCCCACATCTCACCCAGCCCACTCCCAGCCCAGGCACGACCAGTGTCTGATTCGAGAAAGGTAACAGAAACCAGACCTCTGACCACTTATTTATTCTTCAATTGCCCCATTCCCGATACAACGAATAATCCCCACCGATTCGTCGGCTGGGAAAAAAAACCGCGAAACTGGCGACGGGAGGGACTGTCCCTCCTCTATCAGCGCGCACCTACACCGAGAAGAACAACAGCGGAAACAGGAACGAGAACCAGAGTCACAGACAGAGCAGCAAGGAGGGACAATCTGATGCGTACGAGCTCACCGATTTCAATAACCCCCCAAACCACACCACCGACGACTTCGAGGCCCGGGAGGCGAGACGGCTTGCCAAGAGGGTCGAGAAGCTCGCGAGGCGGGAGGAGGAGTTCGAGATGAAGTTCTCGCATAGTATACAGTTCAATGCGGTGCCGGATTGGAGTAGCCATTACATCGCATACAGCAATCTCAAGAAATTGTGAGTGCAGCCTTTACGAGAGGAGCTGGGCTTGGATGCCCCAGCCGAGGGAGAGCTCAGGTTTGAGAGAGACGGGGTGACACAATTGCTAACACCACACAACCAGAATATACCAGCTCGAGAAAACCCAAAACCGCCAAAATGCCCCAACCACCGACGCCGAGGCGTCTCCCGTCCTCGCCAGCAACGTCGAACCCGACCAGATCTTCACGCGCGCCCTGGACGTCGAGCTCGAGAAGATCAGCAGCTTCTACCAGATCAAGGAGCTCGAGATCTTCAGCGAGATCTCCGAGCTGCTCGCGCAGCAGGAGGAATACGATGCCGAGATACAGGAGAGCGGCATGGAAGGTTCGTCGGACGTGCATGACGGACGCGGGAGACGGCCAGGCAGCTTTTACAGGGGAAACACGGCAAGGCATCCGAGGCCGACGAGTACGACGACGAGGTCGATGACGGATGATGTAGATGATAGCGATGATGATGATGATGAAGAGACAGCGCTGAATAGGCGGAAGCCGGAGGTTAGAAGGTCGATGACGGCGCCGTCTGATGCGGACGGGTCGCATGGGGGAGAGGAGATGTGGAATTCCACCGCGGAGTTGAACCGGCGGAGCAGCGTTGCCGCATACGACGACTACGCCGACGAGGCATTCTCGCTGTACTACTCGTCCGGCATCTCGCTGAAGAAGAACACCGTCAGCCTGTACGTGCAGCTATGCGAGCTCAAATCCTTCATCCAGCTCAACCAGACTGGTTTCCGCAAAGTCCTCAAGAAATACGATAAAATCCTCGACCGCAACCTCCGAGAGAAATACATGAGCCGGACCGTCGCCCCCTCATACGTCTTCCGCCCCTCAACCATCAAGCACGTAGAGGAGAACATCGGCCGCATGGAGAATATCTACGCCGACGTCGTCACCGGCGGCGACCTCACCCTCGCCAAGAAGGAACTCCGTCTCCATCTCCGCGAACACGTCGTCTGGGAACGCAACACCGTCTGGCGCGAAATGATCGGCATCGAGCGCAAAGCCCAAGCCGCGAACATGGGAATCCGCCGCACCCTCCTCGGCGCCGACACCGACCCCAGCCACGCGCGCCTCCAGGGCGACGACGAAGGCCTCGTGGATTTAAAGGGGATCAACACACCTGTGGGACGCATGTACTACCCCGCCTGGCTCTTCAGCAGCACCATGCTCGTCCTCCTCCTCCTCATCACCCTCTTCATCCTCCTCCTCTTCATCCCCATCATGTCCGTCCCCGAGCAGCAAAACTGCCTCGCCATGCTCGTCTTCGTCAGCCTCCTCTGGGCCACGGAAGTCATCCCCCTCTTCGTCACCTCCCTCCTCATCCCCTTCCTCTGCGTCCTCCTCCGCGTCGTCCGCTCAGACGACGCGCCACACCACCGCCTCGGCGCTAAACCTGCCGCGGCGTACATCTTCGCCGCTATGTGGACACCGGTTATCATGCTCCTCCTCGGCGGCTTCACCATCGCGGCGGCGTTGTCGAAATACGACATCGCTAAACGCATCGCCACGCTCGTGCTGTCCAAAGCGGGAACCCGCCCGCGCACAGTGCTGGTCACTAATATGTTCGTCGCAGCCTTCGCGAGCATGTGGATCTCCAACGTCGCCGCCCCCGTCCTGTGCTTCTCCATCATCCAGCCTATGCTGCGCAACCTCCCCTCCGACTCAAACATGTCCAAAGCCCTCATCCTGGGCATCGCACTCGCCTCAAACATAGGCGGAATGCTCTCCCCCATCGCCTCGCCGCAGAATATCATCGCCCTCGCTATCATGTCGCCCCAGCCGTCTTGGGCGATATGGTTCTTCATCGCCATCCCCGTCGGCGTCATCTCTATCCTGATCATCTGGGTCCTGCTCCTCGCGAGTTTTAAGCCGGGGAAGGGCACGACTATCGTCCCTGTAAGGCCGGTGAAAGACCCGTTTTCGGGGATCCAGTGGTTCATTTCGTTGGTTACGCTGGCGATTATTGTGTTGTGGTGTGTCAGTCACCAGTTGGAGCATGTATTAGGCGACATGGGAGTGGTAGCCATCATCCCCCTCGTCCTCTTCTTCGGCACCGGCATCCTCACAAAAGAAGACTTCAACAACTTCCTCTGGACCATCATCATCCTCGCCGCCGGGGGTCTCGCCCTCGGCAAAGCAGTTAACTCCTCCGGCCTCCTTTACACCATCGCTGCATCCATCACCGACGCTGTCGAAGGGCTGAGTCTGTACTCTGTACTCGTGGTGTTCGCGTCTTTGATCCTGGTGGTCGCGACGTTTATTAGTCACACGGTGGCGGCGCTGATTATCCTCCCGCTGGTCCATAGTGTGGGGGTGGGGATGGAGAATCCGCATCCGAATTTGTTGGTTATGGGGGGGACGTTGATGTGTAGTGCTGCAATGGGGTTGCCGACTAGTGGGTTTCCGAATATGAGTAAGTTTCTCCCCCCCTCTCCCCTCTTCCCTGTTCTTAGATATCTTCCCCCCCTTCTCTTCCACATTTTTGAAATTGTTGTGGGAGTAATGGGATGATGTGAGGCTAACGCATAGCAGCGGCGATAATGATGGAAGACTCACAAACGGGGCAACGCTACCTGCAGGTAAAACACTTCATCAGCCGCGGCGTCCCATCCTCTGTCCTTACCTTACTCGTCGTCATCACTGTCGGGTACGGGGCTATGCTCATTTCGAATATTTGAGCCTCGTTTTTACATATATATTTGTATTACTGGAACCTCTCATACCTTACTTTACACTATTTTCTTTTTGTTTGGAAGTTTTGAGAGGGGAGACTGTGTGAGCGGCATCTTTTTTTTGGGGGGCGTTGGGGGTTGTGTGGGTAGATTTGGGGGGGGAAGATATAGAGTTATGCATACAACTGTATTCTCGTCCGTGCTACCTTGGTTTTATACACCGTATACTCCTTTTCTACCAGTCATACCCTAGAAGTTACGTGCTCACCGTGTGATTTGCATACTTACTCTAAACCACTGCTGCCAGAAAGCCATCCTCCTCTTTTCTTATCCATAGATTCAACCTTAGGTTCTGAAATTTTGAAGCCCAGTAACAATCCTACTGTACTCTTACCTACCACCAATATGGCACAGCCATGGAACGGCTGTTGGATTTAGCAGAGAGGGAATTGGATCTAGCGACATCGAATTGAGGAAGCTGGTGTGGGGTTGTTGGTATCGTTTGGGACTTTCTCACCGCGATGCCCCCTTCTCATTGCGATGCCCCTTTCTCACCGTCACCCCTTTTCTTGCCGGCGCCTATTCTCATCACCACTCGCTTTCTTAACCGCTGCTCGCATTATCCTCCGCGATCTACGCGCATGAACGACCAAAGAGGGTGTCTCGTTCATTTACAGGTGGGCGTGATGTATCGGCGTTGATATTGTCATTGTCGTCTTTGCTGTCATTATCAAGGAGATTAAGTAGTAGGGGAAGGGGGGGAGGGGGAGTTGAGATGACTGTAGACCTCAAAAATAGTCCAAAACTCGAGTATAAAAGATACCCTTCCTACGCATCTGTGGCATGAGACTACAACCGAAAAAAAAATGATGTCTCAACAAGTAAATAGAACTTCTGCGTGTGCCATCCGCTGGGTCGCGTGGGAATAATTATCTGGCTGCGGATTATTATGCACCGACTGGGTGTCGTGGTATCGCCGTCGCGGGGTTCTCATCGCCATCCCCTCACCGTTACCGTGCTGCTTTTCTTACCGCGCCTGTTCTCACCACTAGCCTTGGTTTTAGGTGGTGAAGCTATTTCGATTGATCCCCTGCGATCTACGATGGAAGACATTAGTATCGGTGTTGTTGATCATCGCTACTGTTGCTGTTCCTGTTGTCATCATTGGGGAGATTGAGAAAGAGAGGGAGGGAGAGAGGGTTAAAAAGTCTTCAAGAATAGTCAAAAGCGGGGTTGAGATGACTATAGACTTCAAACAGTAAAAAAACTCAGCCAAAAACAGAGTAAATCAATACGTTGCCGTCAAAATACTTACAGGGAGAGGAAAGTCAGGGGTTGAGATAACTGTAGACTTCAAACATAGTGCAAAACTCGAGTATAAGGCAGTATATGAGAAGCCTTACCTATCGGTCTGAGTATTAGACTGCCTCAAGAAGGATAAATATATGAGGAGGGTTTGCTATCTGCTGGATTTTGGAATAATAGCCATATTATACTCGTGAATGTGGTGCACTAGGGATCTGCTTTGGGGTTGCTGCTGCTGTCGTTGTGGTTTCTCACCATCACTACGCTTTTTCTCACCCGCGCCTATTCTCACCACCGGCCTTCGTTCTCAGCCGCCACTCCGATTTCCTAACTCGCCGTGATCCACAGGAGGGAAATCTACGATAAAGTTCCCGTACGGCTCCGGGCATGCGTGTTGATGTTGTCAGTCGGTGTCGTCGTTGTTGTCGTTTCGTCATCGTTGTCGATGAGCTTAACAGGAAGGGAAGGGGGGTTATATAGCTGAAAGGAGGGAGAATCGACTGCTTTTGATTGGAGGGGAGGGGTTACGGGAGTTCGTTGGTTGGGAGATATGTTGGGAGGAGGACTATGAGCTGGGCCGGTGAATGGAGGGGCTGGGGTTGAGCAGAAATGGGGGTCGCAGCGTTGGATGTGTGCTGTGGGATGGGGTGGGTGGAAAGTGAGAAATGAACATCCTCAAGGGAATCTTGAGTTTTTGTATGGGAGATGGTATTTACTTACTTTATAACCACAGCGAACTGGAGGTTCTTTCACGATCAGGATTGCTCGATATTACGCAAAAGAGTTAGACGGATCGATCTCGGGTCTGCGTAATCGTCGGAGGGCACTTGGATTTGGAGAGGGGAGCGTTTGAAGGACGATGAGCTCTGAGTATGGTGTGCTTTTTGTTGGCGATGCGTGCTGTCACCGTCGGGGCTGTCGCTGTCATGGTCTGCTGCTCAGGGGTAGGCGGTGGTGTGCCTCGAGGTCGGTGACGGCGCGATTGGAACCTGTTCAGCTTCTTAACCGATGTTTTCTAACAGAGATATAGGCTCTGTAAGAGATCATTTGCTACTCTATCTACGTGGCAAGTGCGATCCAACAAGCGCGACTTCCATATTTGTGTCACCAGCCGCGTGAAAGTAGCTCCTTCCAAAACATGAAGTTATCAAATCCGCCCCTGCCGTCTACAATCCTTCAAATTAGCTTGTTTTTCACTTGCTGCCACTTGCTGCCACTTGTTTTTCTCGGATCTGATCCGTAATTATGAACATCAACTATTCATACTCACCATTGACGGCCTTTATATCAAATTAAACAGTCAGCCAGCAGAAGAATATTATACTGTTACCAACAAAGCGAGACCGTCAACCAATTGCTCTTTCAAAGAAGCACCTCCTTTACAGCTTGAGACAATGGCCTATAAGGTAAATAAACATACCCCCCACCGTCTGTCCCATACTCACCCGACCAACTCAGATTGAGAAACGCAGACGTAGCTCCAGCTCCTCAGAATACGTAGACCCCAGACGAGTCGCTCCTCCACCGAAGCTCATCCGCCACGGATACAACACTCGAAAAAGCCGAAGTCAAAGTCCAGACCTAACAGACTCGCCCCATCCAAAAAGCGATTATTCCCCCACCACAAGCAACCTCGCCAAAATTGCACAGGTATCCCCCATCATCAAAGCAGAAACAGAATCTCCCGTCCTAGAGGCGTTCCCCGAGTTCGACATCAGCTCCTCCTTCCCCTCCCAGATGTCCGTCGACGTCGACTCCATCAACCCCTTTGAAAGCCCCGACCCTGACTCCCCCATGCCCCAGAACGCCACAGAATCAGAATCCAGCATCAAACTCGGTTCCGATGTCGAACTCACCGCCTTCCACCCCCCCGAAGTCCTCTGCATCGGCCACAGCACCCTCCCGTTCTTCAGCCTCACCGAGCTCCTCAAACCAATGGATGTTTCTCACATCGTCGACATCCGCTCCAGACCAGTCTCAAATGTTAGCCCGCAGTTCAATTTTGCGAAGCTGCATTCCAGCTGGCATCTCATGATCGCAGACATGCAGTATGTCTGGCTTGGGGAGTCGCTCGGGGGACGAAGGGAGAATATGGAGGGCGTGATGAGACACAGGGAGATGCTCGTGCCGGACTTGAAGAACTACGCGGCGTACATGACTACCCCGGAATTCAAAGCGGGATTGGCCCAGTTAAAGGAACTGGTGATAGAGCAGGCGAAGAAAAAGAGGAGGGTCGTGATTATGTGCGAGGAGGCGGTGCATTGGCGGTGCCATCGACGCATGATTGCGGATAGACTTGTGGCCGATAATTACATTGTGAAGCATATGGGGTTAAAGGCGAAAGAGTGCGTGGAACATGTGATGTGGAATATTGCAAGGCTTGCTTTGGATGGGGAGGTGGTGTATGATGTGCCGCGGCTTGTTAACTGAGTTGGATGTCAACCCTCACTGGAAAGGCTGATTAGATTATCGAAGAGGAAGTGTTCTCCTTTTCTCTGTAAGGCTGGGAGTGTACGTGACTTGGCGGGTTTGTACGATAATCGATTTGACAAATCCAAATGATACTACCTCCAACGACATCACTCAGCCCCTCTCCCGCATTAACCAGCTTCCACGTTAACATTTCCCCCCTTATTTTTAACCTTCACCCTCGTCTCTCCATTCTTTCCCTTCACCCCAATCTTTGCGTGTCCGTCCTTCACCTTCACCTTATACTTCCCATTTTTCCCCTTCACCTTTACCTTGGCTGGCTTCCCCTTCATTCCCATCGCGTTAGGGCGGTCGTAGTGGGACTTTCCTAGCTCAAGGGTTGGATGCTCCTGTTTCTGGGGCTTCTCGGGTTCCTTTGGCGTTTCTGCCGCTTTTGAGTTTTGGGCTTTGGGTCTCTTGGCTTTGGGCTTCTCGACCTCGGGTCTCTTGGCTTTAGGCTTCTCGACCTCGGGTCTCTTGGCTTTGGGCTTCTCGACCTCGGGTCTCTGGGCTGTAGGCCTCCCGGGTTTGTGTCTGGGCCTCTCAGGCTCTTGCTCCTCCTCTTTGTCGTCGTTCTCGTCGTTGTTATCCTCCTCTTCGTTGTTATCCTCCTCTTCGTCCCCTCCCTTCTCCCAACTCCTATACTCCTCCACAATCTCTCCCCACACCTCCCCCTTCATCCTCTTCTCAAACTCCCTCTCAACCCCACAATCCACCTCCCTCCCCTCCTCCCTAACCTCAAAACTCTCCCTCCAAAACCTCTCCTCCCTCTCCAAAACCGCCTTCTCCTTCCCACCTCCCCGTCCCCCCTTCGACTCCTCCATAACTTTCACCTCCCCATTCTTCTCCTCCCACATCCTCCTAATCCGCGAATTAATCTCAAACCCCCTCTCCGCTCTCTCCTTCAGCACCTCCCCCCTCACCTCCCGCCCGCGCTTAGCCCACTCACTGGCCCCATCAAAACAACTATGCTGCCACGCCCCCCAATGTAGCGCCTCAACCGCCACTCCCGTGCGCCCATCGCACTTCGGCGCCTCCTTCGCCTTCTTAAGCTGGTAATCCCGAATCCGCTCCGGCGCTTTCATATCACCATCCCCCTTTGCCTTCACAGCTGCGACCCCCCCCTCCCCAGCTTTAACAGCCCCCTTCACCTCCGCGCCGGGAACAACGATCACGTTATCCGCGAGCTCGATCTCGTTGTTAAAACACGTGTACGACCGGGACTCGAAGCCCTGGGAGGCGGGTGGGTCGCACTCGTAGATTGTCTTGGGCACGGTGGCGCGGTCGTGTGGCCAGAAGCCGGTGGAGAAGGCGATGCGAGCGGGGTCGGAGGGGGGGAGGGGGTAGAAGTAGGAGAGGATTGTGTTGGGGCCGGTGCCGAAGACGCCGCCGGTGCGGGGGGAGTTGATGGGGGGAGTGGAGGGGTTGAGGAAGGGGAGGGTGAGGAGTTGGGCGAGGGGTGCCATTTTGACGGGTTTGAATGAAAAATAAGTGTTTTGTTGATCCCGGGATGTGAGATATTTAGGAGGGAAGGGGAACGTAGGGACAAAGTGCGGGACAAGGGGATGAAATAGGAAGGGAGGGGGGTCATGGGACGCAATGAACAGTGGCGTGTTGATTTAGAACAGGCCATTGTTGATTGTGAGCCCTGTGTTCTGTGGTCGAAGGGTCCAGATAGCCTCAAAATCACTCACCCTCGCTGTCAACAAATCATCCCACATCAACATTTAGCCCCCCCAAAACGCGCGGTCTTTGAAACATGATCATACAATCTCATAAGAAAGAGTAAAAAAATCGATTAGTCGAACTATCGCATCGCACCAGGCTCCAAACTCTCAAACTCCAAAGAGGCGTCGCCCCTTAAATAGGGGCGATCCTCACGCACGCACAATATCTAGGCCGTATATACATCCCAATCCCACGCTTCCCAATCTACCTGAACTTGCTGACAATGACTGCAAGAATGAGTAGCACAAGCACCGTGATAATCGCAATCGTAATAATCTTATTCGTCGCCATCCTACCACCAAAATCAGCTCGGGCGTCAATGCTCCCCTTCCGTATCTCCCCACATTGCCTCCCCCCATAATAACAATTGTAAAAGAAAAAGTGAACTCACCTCCTTGCCATCCCCTTGAGCGTCTTGACACTCCGATCCACGTATCCCTCACTCTGCAATAGCGTTTCATGCGTATGATCAATCACATGCCTCTGACGATGCAGATCCGCCAGCGTGCTCGCGCCAATATCCTCCGTCTCGTTCGCAAGCCTCTGGCTATCCCGCAGCCGCTGTGTCGACCGGTCTAGTCGCTCCGTCCCGCTCAGAAGCTGCTGTCGCTGCTCCAGCTGTACGTCCCCGCCGCTTGGATCATCGGCGTAGCGCGCACCGAAGAGGGCCGCGCGGTCGTTCGACAGGTTTGCAAGTCGCCTCTTGGCGGAGTCAGTGTCGGTCTCGTGGTTGCGGAAGCGCTGGTTGATCTTCGTGCGTGCCGCGGAGGGGATATTGGATTTCTCGAGACGCATTTGGTCGAGCTATGAGGGGTTAGTCCGGGTCTCGGGCTACTGCGCAAAAGATAAGGGGCGGAGGGATTGAAGGAAAGGGGACGTACGAGTTCGTTTGCCTCTTCTAATGCGCGCTCGGCTTGAGAGATGGCAGCCTTGCGCGGCTCGCCCGAGAGCTCTGGGATCTGGTCGAGCTTCTGGTTTAAATCCGCCTGCACAAGCTTCAGCTCAGCCTCGTAGCTGCTGAAAAGCTCAGAGCCGGCATCGGTGTCGAGGGGGTTCGCCATGGTGGTGGTTGGGATGTTGAGAGTTCGAGGTTGGGGGGGCTGGGTGTATTGAGGGCTGCCTTGATCGCTGGTGTAGCTACTGTGGTTTCCCAACTGCCCTTCAGTCGTGGGAGCGCCGATTGTGAGGATAAGACTGCTCAATGAGGAGAATAGAGTCGCGAGTATTTCAGGTATTAAATGCTATGGGATTGTAGAGGAGCGCGGGGAGTTGTGGTTCTTTGATGGTTTACCTTGAGTCCTGGCCATGACGACGACTGACCTTGAGACCTGCGCTTAACTCGAACCCGCGCTTCGGCTTCAAGATTATCCTTTAGCCGGTCAACAGACCAGGGCCAATACAGCGCTAAGCCTAATTGCGTGTCTGCGGCTGTGCATATATAGATAACTTAATATTTAACTTAAGTTAACTTAACTTATTCATTTTCCATTATTATCCATTATCAAGATGATTATTGAAACTTGCCAGATGTCACAACAGGAAGAGGCTGGTCCCGCCGTGGTGACTGTGAAGGGCCAGCTTTCAGGACTGTCCCCCCACCAGACCACCACGATGGAAGACTTGGCTCTTTGATACATGCATTTGCGGCCTTGCCTAGCTGGTTTATTACCCCAGATTCCGAGGTGTCGGAGAGTTTAGACAGTACTCTATTAGAGCCATGTCCCGGGAGAGTGCCACTATGTGGGCTTCTTACTTCCTCTAGAAATTGGCGCACTTTACTAAATACAGTTGAATTAGACATGGAACATTCATCTACAGACCAATCTTCTACTCAGAATGCCATTTTAACTCTATAGAAGTATTACTCCGTAAAGCAGGCCTAGATCCTCTAAACTTGGATGATTCAAACTCGACTAGGGTACGACGTTTTGAGAACTATATTGACTATGAACGGAACACTTGGAAATGACCTTGAGAAGCAAGCCAACGAGGAGCAGCAACAAATTGAAGTTATGGATACGATTGCCAGACACCCCACGGTGGCTGTTCCGTATCTGGATAAGTTTGTGGCGTGGAGGTGTGGGGGTGGGGGGATGCGGTGGAGTATTGGGGGGGTTGTGTAGTGGAGGGGGGGAGGAGGGAGTTCTCTGTAGATAGTTAGATCTACTACATATTGGTTAAGGGTAAAGGGGGGCCGGGGGGGACAAGGTCATTGTTCCAATGCAGTTTATGAACCGATGTAATGTGAGAAAGTGATATTATGCGAGCTACAAATATTTTGACTTGTCGATAGGAAGTTCCCAAGTCCCATAGAATCCTGGCTATGCGTCATTGGTATGGTAACTGGTATGAGCCAGTCGTGGTGGGTTGGACCTATTGCGCTGCGCGCTGGTTCTGCGCCCTTCGGCGGCGATCTGGGCTTTGAGTTGGGCTTTGGCTTCGCCTCGGCCTCGTACTGTGTCTTCCGCATGGTTGAGCTGCGCGTCTTTAAGCGCTAGGCGTGGGCGCTGTGTGGGAGGGGTGATGCACCACACGGAAGGAGATACCTATTCAGCTTTACACCCCACCATCCAAAATAGAACCTTGGGAGCACCATCTGGCGAAGTCCAAAGGCCGCACCGAATGTAGAGAAGAAGCAGACCGTCAGGACTGACAGAAGGTTGAAGAAGATAAACACCAATGCTGCATCCACAAATCCCAAGTCGAACACGGCCTGGCCCAGCACCCAATTGTGAAGGACGGGACAACCATGTTGGCAGCCAGCCACTATGATAGATGCACGATAAATCAGAGACACTTAACGTAGTAGTAGTCATGAGAGGGAGGGTAAAAATGGGTGTACCATGGATCCAATATTCCAGTACAAAGTATCCGTCCTCTCATCCTCTGGGACTCGCTCAATACCTCGTACTTCAACTTTCATCTTCGTCCCCATTCTTGCGAGCCTCGCATACATCGAGTCGCCCTTTTCTAGAGCAGTATCCAGCCTTAGCAAGCTCGCAGCCGTTGTTGCAGCCAGTGAACATCTGGCACGAGTGAGCAGTGTCGAAGCAGCTATTCTTAATCGTAGCCGTATCACCGTAGTTGGAGTTGATACCCGCCAGCGCCCGAGCGGAGGAGGAAAACGGCGTCGGCATCGCCTGGGGTTGTTAGCTGGGTGATTTCAAGGCGGATTTGAGGGGGTGGGGGGTAGATATCTTCCCTCCCTCAGCCTGCTCATTACAAGCCCCGCTCCCGCGATCATACTTCGCCCATCCACCATCGAAGACTTTCCTAGCAGCCACCTCAATGACCTTGCTATTCGTCTTGGTCGAGGTAGCAGTCGGCAAACCACCGGTATACGCATTACACGCCAGCGCGGCAGGAACCAGAGCCGCGAGGCTCGCGAGCTTGGCTAGGTTGACCATTGTGAGCGGTGATTGGGATGTGATTGACAAGGTGAGCTTGGATCGACTGTGTCAGACAAGGAGCAGAGTGGCGATCAGTCGGGTGTCGGGGACGGTTTATGTAGCTCCAGCTCCGGAATCAATTTTCTCATGAACCCCCCCCGCCGGTCCTGGAAAGCCCGCCCAGAGCCTGCCCAGCAGCTCAGATAATGGGGATGAATCAACCATCTCTCCTCCTATTGCGAGAAAGTTCCTGATAATCTCCGTTCAACACCCACCTGCGTGGAGAAAATTGAATTTCTCATTGGAGGAAATAAGTGTCACAAGGTTTTTTGAGGAGTTTTTTCTTTCTTGCTTTATAGGTTCTTGGGACGTGCGGTAGTTGGCAGCTTCGACAGCTTGCTGCCAGTTTTTTTGGCTAATTTATGCTTGTACATATGGCTTTTTTTTCCCCGATTGTCGACTTTAAACATGGGTTAGCTTTTGCGGGGTAACAAGACGAGGGACGACCTATTTGTTTTTAGAACATCCGGAAGTCAAATCAGTGAACTTACCTTTCACCCCGCTTCCTCACTTCCCACCCCTCTCTCGCCTTCCCGCCCCTTTCATCACATCTATCACCTCCCCAACCCCCCTCCCTTCATAGCCCTCTCACCTCCCCAAAACCCCCATCATACCCCTAACCTCCTCCCCACACACCACCTCCCCCCCCAACAATCCCCGACGAATGAAACCACCAACACCCCGTCTCCCTCACCAAAACCTCCAGCACCTCCCTCCTCACTCCTCCTCCCGGCATTATCACCAGCCCCCTCTCCCCTTCCCCGTCTCCAAAGGTAGGCAAGTTCCCATACCCCCCCACCACATCCCCCTGAATCCCCCCAGACGTCAAAACCGTCTTGAACCCGCAGGCCGCCACTTCGCGCACCGCGGTGTGGTAATCACTCGTCGCGTCGACTGCGCGATGGAATGTACATGGCAGCGGCCTCGCTAGGTCGACTAACGACGAATTCCTCTCCCCATCCACCACTACCACCCCTCCCTCCTCCTGTTTCAGGATCCCGAAAACAAATCCATCAGCCAATCCCCTAAAGCGCCCAATATCCTCCTTCATCTGAGCAAACTCTTCATCACTGTAAATAAAATCGCCGCCGCGGGGACGTATCATGACCATCACGGGGATCTTAACCTCTAGCTTGATTGCCTCGAGGTCGGAGAGTAGCGGGGTCGTACCGCCCACCGAACGGTTAGCGCACAGCTCAATACGGTCTGCGCCTACGTTGGCAGCGATGATGGCCGAGGGCGCGTTGAAGCAGGCGATTTCGAGGTATTTCTTCATTTTTTGGGTGGTGTTGGTGGTGGCGGGGTTGAGGTCCGGAGGCGGGGTGGTGAGGTGGTGATTGGATATGTGGGGGGTTATCGGCGGGAACTAAAATGGTCGCTAGCTAGAGGGAGGGCCACCCCGCAATTTGAGGGGGGTGTCAGTTTCAGGGACGGAAAGGTTGTTGCCCCTCGTTTTTTTGGGGGGGGGTTCTGTGGGATTAGTTAAGGTTAAGGTTAAGGTTAGTTTTTAAGGTTAAGAGTTATAAAAAAATCCGAGCTCTTGTTGGGGGATTGATTAGGATTTGATATCATGCACAGAGTGTAAAATAATGTAGAGGTCGTAAACGAGCGTCTTAATTCATTAATCCATCTATCGACGTGTAGCTGTTCTGTGTTATTACTCCCCTCCCCTCCTCATCTCGTGGTGTTGTCACAATCCCCGGTATTAAACCATAGGAATCGCATTAGCATCCTCCTGGACATCAACCCCCTTCCCACCCTTCCCACCCTTCCCACCCCCACCAAACCCTCCCCTCGCCTTGACCATATCCACCGTCATCCCCGAATTAACCTTCCTCCAAACAACAACCGCATACACCCCCATCCCCAACGAGATAAAACACAACACCGCCGGAAACGTAACAACAAGATAATCATGCGACCCATACGCCTGCTTCTCGCTCGTAATCCCAATAACCAGCGAGATCAGACTCAACACCGTCACCGCCGCATTCCCGAGCAGGAAAATCCACGCCGTGAGCCGGAAGTGCGCGAAGAGAACGATGTGCAAGATGATGACGAAGGTGCTGATGACCCCAAAGCTACCGACGCTGGCGTAGACGCGCTCGGTGTAGGAGTTCATGCCTGAGTCGGTGCCTTCGTAGATGGAGAAGCTGGGGAAGGGGGGGGGGGGTGTTAGTACATGCTGTAGTGGCTTTGAGGGGGGGGGGGCGTACCCGTAAAACATGAGGTGCCAGATAGCGACGAACGCAGCGAAACCGAGCTGGATGGTGAAGAGCGGGACGATGAAGCTTTTGCGCCATGGCGCGTGTACGCTCGGCGGACGGGAGACGCTGGCCATGTTTGACATGTTGTAGGTGGTGGTGGGGTGGAATTAAATATTACTTTGATTTTTGAGTTATTGAAGGATTCGCAGAGTGTGCATCATGCCGTATGCCAAGTCCTTTGATAGACGGTCGCTAGACAAACTGATACCGTGCTATGTGCAAATGAATCCTTCGGAATTGTATTTTTAGGGATTCTAGTTGTCATTCCTCGGTGTCGTCCCAGTGCTTCCCCAGCATGGATCACAGCCTTCCCGAGACTCTTGGCCCACGACACAGACATGGTGTCGGCGTGGTTCAGCCTGATTGCCTGTAACGGTCTGTAAATCCAGAGGCCGCGCCAGCGAACCCGCTCCTGCCCTTCCCAACTTAGCATTATCCCCCGCCATCACGCGCCTGACATTCCTTTGACGGCGCAGACCCTCTAGGCGACGAGATAAACATCACAGCCGGCGCTGCGCTTAAGAGGAAGGGGTTTAGTGTTAGAGCTGCCCATAGCTTGAGCTTGGGGGAGGCGCTATTGTGGGTTTGGCATATTGAGGAGGGTTGAGGGTGGCTGCGGTGAAGAAGCGCGGGAAAAGCTTGTGAGTTAGGCGACGATGCACCCAAACAACACCACGATATCTCACTCCAGCCTCCAAGAACGCATGTGTATAGTCCAAATATTTTAACCCCCCAACCCCCTGACCCATATCTCATTTACACCCCAACCAACTATTCCTACACACATCCCATCTAACCCAGCCACCCCCCCCCCCGCCCTTTCCGGCAGATGCAAGCAAGCACCGCTATACAACGCCGACACAAAGATTTAGATTTCTGCAAAGGCCCCCCCAACCGAGCCACCCGTCCTGACCCTCCGCCCCCCCCCCCCCCCCCCCCCGGGGGCAACACTCGCTTCTTCACGCCGCGAGCCCAGCGGCTTTCCCAAGCGTCCCGCTCCCCCGGCTGCTGAAGATGGACATTATTCCGAAGCCTACGTAGAATAGGGCTACCGGGTACGCGACGAGGCCGCGTGCGCTCTTCATCCTCCCGATAACTATTTGCACTCGTTAGCTCAAACCGCCCCCAACCCCCACCCAGAACTGCGCAAAGGATACAACAAAACAGCAAACCCAGGCAAATAAACAGAACTCACCACAAAACATCGCACTCGAACTCAACGTCGACCAACAAATCGCCAAACTCGTCAACGCATACCCCATCACGCTATCCAACGGCATCGCAATCCCCAACAACGACGTCAATACCAGCGGCAACAGACAATACCCCAGCACGCTCGCGCTCTGGGGGAACGTAAGGGTACTGCTCAGATGCCCCCCGCGGTCGTCGCCGCCGCCGGGGTACCCTGCATTCCCATGTCCCCCCGCAGCCATGTGTGCGGGTGATGCGCGGCCGGAGGGCGTGTCGGGTGTCATGAGGCTGAGGATTGTGTGGAGGGCGGTGGAGCCCATGAGGGCGAGGCCGTAGATGTAGCCGAAGTGGACTTTGCCGCTGAAGAGGAGGAAGGTGCCAAATCTGGAAGGGGGGTGTTGTTAGCTTAGACCTTCGACTTGATGGGGCGTAGTAGTAATTCGTTGAGCTTGCGCAAGCGAAGGGGGGGCTTACAAGAAGAAGAACAGAATCGGACCTGCGAGATCAGAGTCATCCATAATATGACTGTCAATATGCACAAACGGATTCAACACCGCCAGCGTCTATCACACCATTAGCCCACACATCCCTCCCATCACAACAACCTTGCGCGCGCATCACCACACCCAGGGACAAAAAACAAACCTTAACCTTAATATGCCCAAAATTAACCCCCAACTCCTGCTGCAGCGGCGGCTCCCCCTCATACCCCTCCGTCGAAAACGCCGCCAACCACCCCGTCCTCAACCCCCCCTGTTCCCCCATCCGTCCACTCACCCTCGCTGCACCCGCACCGCCTACTCCGGGACTGCTGAACCCACCTCCCGACCCGCTGCCGACGCCGTAGCCGCCCATAGAGCCGGTGGGGGCGCCGTACCCGCCGTACCCCCCGGATTGTGCGGAGGAGGCATCGTGGGGGGAGGGGGCGTAGGAGGTGGGGTAGAATTGCAGGTTTTGGGGGGAAGCGTTGTTGTATTGGTCGGGGGGGGGGGCGTAGTGTTGTGACATCTTTGGGAGAAGGGTGCGCGCGGCTGGGTGGGCGAGCGTTTCGTCAAGTATTTGTAGATGTGTGATTGATGCTCGTGAGGGTGATGTTTGAGGTTGAGAGTTAAGAGTTTGTGAAGTGTTCTGTGAGCTGTGTGGTTGGAGCTGGAAGTTGAGGTCTGGATCTGGATGCAGTTTGGGGACAACGAGGCGTCGGAGGTGAAGATTTTCCGGCCGGGATGGGTTATAAGATTGTACGAGACCTTCAAGTTAGAGGAGGAGAAGACGGCCTTAGCTTGTTCAGTTAGATATTAATTACTTGTCAATTGAATATAATGTCTTGAAATATATGAACTTGCTAGATCAAAAATGCTGATAGCTGATATAAGTCCTCCTGCGCACGCCGACGCCATTTTAGCGGCATAGAGTTGTCTTCCAACGGGTCTACCCCGCCGCCATTGCCGCCGCACCAATGATACAGACAGCTCCCTTAGTCCTTACCGCCGTTTCTATTCACATTACCCGTTCCTGTCTACTTCTCATATTCGCCTGATCCAAGTGAGATAACGGACCACTTTCCATATCCCTATATATCCAACCCTAACAGACCTCCCCCTTCATAGCCCACCCCCATCAACCGTATCCTCTAGCTGCCCGTATGGTTCTACAACCAAGACGATTGCCTGTGCGTCCCCCCCTTCTGTGCTGTATCATACTAACTGGGGGGGAAGGAACCTAGTGTTCGCTGTGCGAAGGATGGTAGATGTGATGGGAAATTTCTGCGTTGTGCACAGGTAGATGTGTGCGTGGGTAGACGGTTTGATTATTATATAATAATGTAATGTCCTACTACACGCTTCCCGGATCGCAACAACTATGTGCTGTGTTTATCCGCCAACATAACTCATAATTCATATCCCCCCCCCTTTGCACCCTCCCCCCCTATCGGCGCCGCGACTACCACCATCGGCACCGTCGGTATATACGTACTCGGCCTCAGAATCTCCAACCCCCCCTTCTCCCCTCCGTCTCCTTATCCCCCCTTCCTCCTCCCCTCCTCCCCAACCCCAATAGTCCAAACCCACGCCCTCTTCTTCTCCTTCTTCCTCTTCCTCCCCCCACCTCCTCCTCACCCAACCCCGCCATCCGCCTTCTCATCTCCTCAAACGGGCCAGGAGTCTGCCCTCCATCCCTCGTAGCCCCATCATACGCCAACACGGCTTCAATCCCCGTCTCTGCCTCAGCCTCCGCCTCTCCATCAACCCCCGCGTCGTCTTCCCCAAGTAACTCAACGTGTGGCCGCACGTACAGCTCTGTCGTTATCGTCTGCGTAAGAGGGTCATTATAGCCCACTCTCCTCCCCCCTTTCTCTACCGTCGCTACTGCATCCGCTGTCCTAGCCGGGAGGGGTGAGTTGCGGAGTATAGACCGTAAACTCTGCGGGTGCGTGTAGGGCGCTTTATATGGCGTTGAAGATCCCGTTGTTGCTCGGCGGGGTGTGCGTGGTGACGAGGGGAAAGGAGATGGTGCGAGGGTGGTGGGTATGGAGACGTTGATGCGGCGGACGCGGGAGGCTGTTGCTGTCGTGGCGTTGGTGCCTGTAGATGATGTAGATGAAGGCGAAGAGGGGTGCGCAGACTGCGGAGGCTTGAATGTAAATGGCGCCTGTAGCGCTACATCCGGGTGAGCCGTAACAGGCGTGGGAGCCTGCGTCGTCGGGGTATCGGGGTAAACAACTGTAAAGGGACCCGGTGTCCGGATGCAATGAGATGGAAGGAGCGCCGTTTGAGGCGCCGCGCTTGCTACAAGGCGTAGCGATTTCGGCCGTGCAGTGTTGGCCGAAAAAGATGCGGTCGTTGTGGGCGCGGCGGACATGGGGAGCGGCGAGGCGGGCGAGATGGCAACGGCGTAGGCGTTGGAGAGGGTGTTGAAGGCTGTGGGGGAGGGGGGATCGATGTCGGCTTTGAGGGCTGTGGAGGACTCATTCAGCGTCATCGGTGCGCTTGGAGTTTTGATCTGGAGGGATAGTCGGGGCCGTTTGGGTGGGGAGGTGTGCGACATGTCGGCTTGGTGGCTCATGATGCTAGCATTCTAGAGTCGGCGTCTCGTTTAATGAGGAATTCGTGAGGTTGTCGTTGGTGTAGGTGTGCTGTACTGGCGACTTCTATCCGTCGTAAATGGAGTGATCCAGGTCGTATCGAGAGTCCGTCGAGGCGTAAGGAGGATCCGGCCTCTGCTGACTTGATATATACGCAATCGAGCCGAGTCGATCGACTTCTTTCTATATGAGAGATCCTCAACCGGGCACTGTCCTCCCTATCGAAACAAACAAGATAATGAAAACGAAAAACTGGAATGGAGGTGGAGTCAAGCGCGGGCGGGATGTATGTATATAACCAACACCAAGGCAGGCCATGATTGATCGCCACCACCACCGCCGGCCCAACCAGCACTGCAAGGGTCCCATCCAACAGGAGCGCTACCGCTGTCCCGCTGTCTCGACCCCTTGCTGATTCGCAGGATTCCTCCAGCACCACAGTGCAGTGCACAACAGACGCGGTATGACCACTTTCCCTCGCCTTGCCTCTACCCAACGAAAACCCTCCATACATGCCCATACAGGGCTCTTCGTGGACGTCATCCCACAATGTCGCAGACACCCCTCCCCCTCCCCCCCCCTTCCGCAATCCACGGCCACGAATTTCATCCCCCCTCTAAGCGCCGGAGAGGGATATTAATATCCCCCACCCATCCCGAAGCGTGGTTGTGCGAGCCAATCAGCGGGGCTTGCGGGGGTGCGAAGGATGTGATGGGGCGGACTTGTACGCGCCAAGCCTGCGGGTGTTCGCTATCGCTTCAGTGCGTTTCTATTTGCTGGGGGGAAACTTGGATTTAGCCGTGCAAGACGGGGGGACGCGGCTGTCGGCTCGGGTTGGTTAAGGCGGAGGAGTGAGGATGGATGAGGGGGCGGGTTGGGTTGGGGGGGTTTAAGATTAGTCGCGCGGTGGAGACGGGGGGGACGGGGATTTTCCGACGGTTTGGAAATAGAAGAATGGAAGGAGTCGAAGGATTGTGGTGGGGATGAGTGGGCCATCGTGAATTGCTGGTAAGCTTCATTTTTAGACTTTGGATCTGTGCTGGGTTACCGAATGTCATCGCAAGTAATTAAACCTACCCTCACTCAGCCACGAAGAAATCCAAGGATGATCACCGCAATTGACCATCACCATAAACACAACCATCATCACACACACATTCAGTAACTCATTTATTTGTGATCCTAAACAAGCAAGAAGTCTCCAGATAGGCAAGAATCACATCCATAGAACCCATAAATCCCATGAAGCCCCCACCCCCCTTCCAACGACAGTTCAGTCACCCAGATCATAAAGATCAATCTCAGAAATCGCAGAATAACCCTTTGCCTGGTATAAAAACGCCACCCGAATCTCGGTACGCCTCGCCATGCCAGTCCAAACACCGAAAACACCATCACGCCGATCTGAGCGCGTGTTGAGAAGAACAGAGGCCGAAAGACGGAAGACTCTAGTTACCGCGCGCCATGTCGATGTACGACTGGTTGGGGGTCTCGTATTCGGCGACGAAGTACTTCTCCAGGTTTGGCTTCTTGACCATCCAGTTGGTCAGTTTGATGATCTCCTCGCGGAGGTGGCTGACGGACTGCTGGTCCATGTTGGTCTGGGCGATGAGCTCAGGGAGAGAAACTGGGGTTGTTAGTGATTTGTTTGATTGCGGAAAGGAGGGGAGGGGAGGGGTGAGGAGAAGAATGCTTACCCAAGAGACGGCAGAGATGCTCCGCACCGTAGGTCTGGTTGGCGTTCTTGCCAGCCATGTCTCCAGTGGGGGCCTCCCAGAGCTGGGTCATCTCGAGGTACTGAGCACGCTCGAAACTGTAGAACATTAGAACAGTAAACTAGATCGAAAGGATGAGGGAACTTACCGGTACAAGAGAATTCTACCCAAGCACTTGTCAAAGTACTCGCGAAGACCAGCGAGCATCTCCTCAAGGATACTGGCCTCAGGGCTACCGGGGATGCGCTTGGGCATCTCATCATCCTCGTAATCCTTGAGGATGCTCTCAACCGGGTGAGCAGCCGGCAGAGGAACCAACTGCTGGTTCTTGGTGACGTTCTCCCAGTCATCGACGAGGATCGCCTTGATGCGATCTGGGATCGGGAGGCTGATAGCTGGGCGGTCAAGGAACCCATCCTCCTGTACATTGAATCGGGTTAGAAAATAATGAAGGTGTCTGCTAGCAAAACAACGTGTGAAAGTAGCGCGGTGGCATGGGCGGTCCTCCTGGAGTCCGATTGAACCGTTGTGGATACGCTTGATGGCCTTGCGCATTCTAGAGGTGCGTTCCTTTGGGTCCTCAGGATCTTTGTCGCTGGATGATCCATCGGAATCAGTGGGCTGGGTAGGAGCTGGCTCGTTGGGGACGATGAGGGTTTTCTTCTTCTTGAGATCGGATTTGGGAGGGGGGTGGGGAAGAGTGATGCTTTGCTTGACTCTGCCAGACTTGGTGAGGTATTGGTAGTCTGGTCTAGGAGGCAGCTTGGAAAGGAAGTCCGTGGGATGTTGCGTGGTATCCAGGAGGAATGCCATAAGTGCAGGATTCTTTGGCACATAATTGGCAATGTGTGCAGGTACCTCTGGGACCTTCTCGATGGGCAAGGTAAGAGCAGCCAGGCGCTTAGCAACTGGGTCATTGGGAGGTAGACATTTCTCTACACCCTCAGCAAATGGGTTGGGTCTCTTGCTAGATCGGGTGATCGTCTTCGGTGGATTGTCCTTCTTGGCTTGCGACATGATGGAGATGTGCTTGGGGTTGTTGTGGTGAAGCTCCAATTTTAACTTGTTGGAAATTTTGAAGTTTGTGGGCGTTGGGGTTGCGTGGTAAACACAACAACCCCCTTTCCGCCACGTTCCGCGAAGTTGGCGGAAATGCGTACTTGGGTACAAGCGTACATCTCGGCGGTATACAACACGGTGGAATCCAGATCCAGAGAGTGGTATTGGCCCACCGGAGGCCTCCAGGAAGACAAAGAATCACCCCACAAACTTGGTGGTGTCTCTAGAAATAAAGCAAAAATAAAAGATTCACATACCTGTTCGAGATCGTAATCTCTAAGGCGCCTCGGGGCGCGTCCTCCTCCCTGAGCGGCCATGCTGCCACGCTCCTCACTGCCACGGGCAGAGCTGAAGTCGGATCCGTTGGCACGGCCCTTGGTCTTCGCGGACTTGGAGGCAGATGGAGCTGGCTTGCCCTGGAGAGCCTTCATCTGCTCGTGGAGCTGAGCGGCAAGTTGCTTGTTCTCTTCGGTGAACTTGCGAACGCGATCTTGAGGAACCCAGTCGTCCCAGCTGTAGAAAGACAAGTTGTGTTAGTTGGATTTCTTTTTGCCACCCCTTGTTTTGTAGGTTGTGACGCACGGACTATAGGCCCAAGAGGGAAGAGTCTCGACTTAACTAAACATGAAGTCCACACATTTATGAACAACCAATTGATGAAATAATGATTCACAACAACGGCAGCAGATGTGTACACGAAGACAAAACACAACTCCCAAAGAGACAAAAAGACAAAAAGACACCACAACATAATACCACAAGTACAATAAACACAAATGACAGAACTGAAATCTCCCCATAAGTACTTACGTGTTCTTCCATCCCTTGTAATGGATCTTGTATTGCCACGAACCCCCATCAGTGGCCCTGGAGTCCAACACCTTGGCTTCATAAAGCATCTCGTGATGGAAGCACAGAACACGCTCATCCTTGACGAAAGGAGCCACCGCTTTAGCTGGAGCCATTGCCCAAAGTGCCCTAGGTGGGAGGCCGGAGTTCTTCTTTCTACCCCTGCGGTGATGTTAGAACGTGAAGAAGGCGGAGAAATAAAGATCCCCAAGAACGTGAAGCTGTGAGGATGTGTCTTAAAAGGATAGTATGATTGCTTGAAGGGGGGGAAAGAAGGGTGATGTTGTGTGTTTGGATGCTTGGTGATGTGGAAAGGAGGTCTTTCAAGACTTCGTTTTCCCGTGACTTTTGGGGGGGTCGACGCGTGTAGGAAACACGGCGGCAGAAGAAACAGAAAGACAAGAGACACAAGGCAAGGCTCAGGGCAAACTTACATGCTGTCGGATCGGAAGATCTTGAGGCCGAAGGGCTTATCGATTGTAGAAATTTGGTCCGTGCGTTTTGATATTTGAGGGTACGCTATAAAGCCTACCTCAGCCTCGTCGAGGGGTAAACAAACGAAGAAGATCAAAGTAAAGATCAATGAAAGGTTGATGAAACAACAGCCACCAAAGTCGCTGTTGAAGAAAGTTAAAGGTTGAAAAAAACAAGAAGGGAGGAAAAGAGAGAAGAAGAAGGAGCAAAAGGGTAGTAAACAAAGAACACCTCTCGCCTCGCCCGCTACGCCCGCTACGCGCTCTGAACCGGCCCCGACTGTTTTAGGACGTACTCTTTCCGCCAGCTTCCGGCGTGGGTCCGCGGGAGATCACACGCACGCCGAGAGGAAGGTATATCGGAGCCTCAGGCCGACGAGGCGGCCAAAGCGGCAACTAAAGCGGCAGCTGACCTATCCACGGAACTATTTGGAAGAAACCTCCCACGCCGGGTGCATACACACACGCTGCTGCCATGCCACCACCCACTGAATCACAAATCCTAACCTCCTTCCTCATCCCCCCCTCCCCCCTCCCCGTCGTCCTCCCTCCCACCGCCTTCGCCGCCCTCTTCCCCCCTTCAACACCGCAAGCGTCAATAGCGCATCTCTACCGCCTCCTAAGCCACCACCGCGCTCTACTTACGGACGCTGTGAAATCTGATATCGAGGATGAGGCGAAGAGGGGAGTGGCGCAACGGAGAGCAGTGGTTAAGACGAGGAGAGAGCAGGAGAGGGGGGAGGATGATGAGGAGGTGAGGATTGAACGTGCTGTAAGTATATCTTTTCTCTTCATTATCACTACCACTACCACTATCACACTCTCTTCTACCCCCCCCCCCCCCCCCCTTTTTCCCTCGAAGAAATAAACTAACACCCCCCCCAGCTCTCAACAACCAACCCCGCCCCCCTCGCCCACCCCCGGCACCACACTCTCCGCACCATCCTACCCACTCTCGACACGGCAACCGAGGACATCGAGACTGAAGTCGCGCTTCTGGAGCTAGAGGCTGAGACGCTGTTGGCGGGGATCAGGAATACGGTGGGGGGGTTGAGCGATTTGAGGTATGGGAGGTTTAGGAATCAGGAGGTGGGGGAGGGGGTTAGGGGGGGGTTGGAGGGGGGTTGGAGGGGGTAGCTGAGATGTTGGGGTGGTGGGGTTGGGTGTGGGATGGCGGGTTGATGTTGCTGGAATTGCGGAGGAGGGTTTGTACTGGGTGGAATTGGGAGTTGTGGACCTGAGAGATTGTGGCTGTAAGTCGCTGCGTGGAGTAATCGGGTGTATAGGCGTGGATCAATATCTGGCAGGCCGTGTTTGTTGGTATGGGGAAATGGGAAGTTTTACAAGATCGATTTGAAGCTACCGTGGAATAACGAAAAGTAATGGCCGAGATAAAAAGGCGATAGACTGGATTGACGGGAACAGTAAATGACAGCCAGCGAGTCGTTATAAACACGATTGACACTACAGAGGCAAAGAGTGCAGTTATCTACGTCACAAACCAAGGTCACACAACCACACTCGACTATAGCATCCTCAAGACGAAACACACGCCCAAAACTCTCGAATTAAAAGTATGATGATACCTACCACGCGACTACACCTTTACATTTCCCTCCCACCCTACTACCGTGGCTACCTGTGCCCGTGAAGTCGCGTCCTTGGCCCTAATACTGCATTTGTATAAAAGAGTTAAAAATATATAGTAAAGAGCGAAGAAAGATCTGTCAAGTCGTCTCTGGAGCGAGACATTTATCTTGCTGGTGCTGGTGCTTGGCGGCCTTGTTCACGGCGGCTCCTATGATTGCGTTAGTAACGAGAACTGGACAAAATTGCTACGTGATAAAACAGAGCAAGAGGAGGGAGGACATACATCATAGTGCGCGAAGCGAAAGAGATCAGGATCATGAAAGCCCAGTTTGGCAAGATGTTGAAAGCCCAGATAACCCATCCCGTAACGAGGTCCAGACCGTACTGCTGCGCAGTGCCATGGAACGGGTGAAAGTGCCCCTCATACGCCGGCCTCTCCTTCCAGCTCTTCGTCGCGTGCAACTTGACCAGATCCATCGCCGTAACAGTCGTAGTATTGAACCCATGAATATGCACCTCCGTCTTCGCCGGCGGCTTATTAACCTCAAAGATATACATCAGCGGCGCCCCGGCGGCCCACGAGTGACACAGAATCGGCTGATGATCGCAGTTGATTAGCCCCAGATGCGGCGCCGTCGGATCCGCCTTGAACAGCAGCGCGCTCTCATTGAACGCCCGCGTCAGCTTATCGCAGTTGCCCCAGCACGTCTTGTTGCCGGCTGTGAGCAGCACCCACCACTCCTCGGGGCCGGTGGAGGCGGGGGTCACGCTGTTGATGAGGGTGGAGCGCCAGTTGTCCAGCGAGAGGACGTCGATGTTGTTCCCGCCAGCTTTAGCGAGGGCGGCTTCGGCGGCGGAGAAGGTGTTGGTGTGGGGGATGAGGGAGTAGGCTTTGTCGAAGTAGTGGAGCGCGGTGTCCTGGAGTTGTTGGAGGGGGTCTTGGGTCTCGGCCGCGGCGAGGAGGGGAAGAGCTAGGAGGGTGAGGGCGGAAAAACGCATGGTTGCGGGTTGGTAGGTATTAAATGAAGGAAGCTGTTGGTGCCTTGGAGTCAGTTATATGTACGCGATAGGCGGCAGTGACAGGAATGGATGGAGGAATGGATGGGGATAGATAGCTTGTCAGGCGCGTCTGGTCTGAAACATATTTGACGTACCTTGAGGGTAGGTATATTAGAAACGAAAATACAACAACCTCCTCTCACAATTAGATAAATAAAGTAAAAAGGGGTTGAAGGTTGAAGAAGCTGGTGAGAAATATAGAAATTCTCTAGTTAAGATGAGAAGAATTAGGGGAGCAGAAAGTGGATGAGGTGGAAAGTACAGAAGCACAGAAGCACCGCGTTTCCTACCTCATCTCTGTCCTTTCCTCATTCAGACCATGTGATGGAGCTGATTGGCTGGGAGAGCTGTTCCCCACAACTTCGCTAATTTACCCGCAATGCGGCTACAGTAAAGCACCGTTATAACAATGCATTTGCTGCCACCTGAATATATCGTTATAATGATAATATCGTTATAATGATAATATCGCTATATTGATTATTATGTAATCCAACTATCTAACGTACTTTGCACCCGTGACCCTTGATCCAGTGCCTCAAGAGCGAATTCTAAACGCTCGAGGCCTCGTAAATACTCTGATTGAAGAGCCTCTTGTGTAATGGTGGTTGCACCAGATGTGAGAATCTAGCCACCCAAGGAAGGGATGAATTTACTAAGACAACACACTGTCTTAGGAAAAAGAGCCAAAGGGTCGTAGCTTAGACTATTCCACAACGCAGCAATCAGGTGTGTGATGTAGTGAAGTGGTTCAGACAAGTTGCAACAAATGTTGAGTCTGGGAACTCAGGGGTAAGTCAGAGGTTAACACCTCATTGACTTTTCAGAAACAAGGAGTAACAAGATGAATGCTTGGAAGCTTGGAAAAGACGTGGAAGTATGTGATAGTCGATTTACTGTATTGTCTGCTTGCCCTTTCTTAAGGAAAGGGCAATCCTATTTATGCTAAAGGAGTGTAGTTCTCTCATTTTCCAAGACTTTCCATGACTTACCAGGCTTGGTAACTGTAGTCGACGTAAGAGAATCCCATAGAACCATCTCTTAGGTTCGTAGCCTATAGGAAGTAAAAGGAGGTCCAAGGTCAGAGTACCCCTATAGACAAATTATGTCATAGACAAATTATGTCATAGACAAATTATGTCATAGACAAATTATGTTATAACTTAACCAATCTTGTGGGTAACTAAAGAGCGATGACATGTAATGAATCATAGAGGTTCGTAGGAGCTTTTAGAGCTATCGTTCATGCTCCTAGGCCTCTAGTTGGTAGAGATATGTCATGTGGTAGTATGAGTGATGTCATGTAATGAATCATAGAGGGTTGTAGAGATATGCTATGTGGTAATATCGGCCCAGTAACTAAGGAGCGATGACGTGTAATGAATCATAGATGGTTGTAGCAATTGTTGAGTAGTATTGCTCTTGTTGTTGGTGTGATAAGCCAAAATATGTATAGTGACTTGTAGGTTTGAGGAGGAGATTTCTAAGTTTGCTCTTGAGTTTGATAGCAAACTGAGTGCAACGAATGTCAGTATGACATGATACCCCTCTTAAGGACGTTTGTTAGCTGTGTGCTTGCCCTTTAGCCAGGTGGCTTTCTTAGAAAGAAATTCTAGAATCAGCTTGGATGCATTTTTTAGATTTCTCTTAGGTTCCCAAGTGTTGTCACTTGTAGGATAGCCTTTCCACTTAACGAGGAAGTAGTCCTGACCTCTAAGTGTCTTTTTGTCAAGGATAGACTCTACTTCATATTCTGGTTGATCCAAAATCAGAACAGGAGGTGGAGGAGACTGAAGTGGTCTTAAGGAACTTTCTTGTGCCTTAGACAAGAGAGATGCATGGAAGACATTATGGATAGTCCAAGTAGGTGGTAATGCAAGCTCGAAAGCATTCTTGCCAATAGTCCTTGTGATCTTAAAGGGTCCAAGTCTTTTAGTATCAAGTTTGTCTGATGGTCTAGTAGTTGTGATATGTCTTCTAGACAAAAAGACTTGATCACCAACTTTGAATTGTGGTGCAACCACCCCCCTGTTAAAGGCCTGAGCCTGCTCGTCTTGTGCACGCTGTATTTGGACCTTGAGATAGTCCTGGAGGCCCTTAAGGTAGATGATTCTTTCAGTAGCAGAAGGGTTTTTGAGAATTTCAGGACAATTAAGTTCTGCCACTTCAAACCTAGGGTGATAACCATAGTTTGCATAGAAAGGTGTCTCTTTTGTGGTGTTAGAGACCGTGTTGTTGTAAGCAAATTCTGCAAGATGGAGAAGATCTGCCCAGTTGTCTTGAGCATAGTTTGTATAAATTCTTAGATATTGTTCAAGTACAGAGTTGACTCTCTCTGTCTGGCCATCTGTTTGAGGGTGATAAGCTGTAGAAAAGCGTTGTTCCATGTTTAAGAGTTTAGAGAACTCCTTAAAAAAGTTTGAAGTGAAAACTGCTCCCCTATCTGAGATCCAGTGTCCAGGAATTCCATGATATTTAAAGACCACCTTGAGGAATAGCCACGCAAGTTCAGAAGCTGTGATAGTCTCATTGCAAGGCTCAAAGTGTGCCATTTTTGTGAGCCTTTCTACCACCACAAGGATAGAGTCATAAGGGGTAGCACCCCCTTTTGGGATAGAAGGAGGCAACTTGACTATAAAGTCAATGGATATGGAGTCCCATGGGCGTTCTGGTATAGGTAGAGGCTGCAAGAGGCCATAGGGCTTTTGCCGTGTAGTTTTGTTCAAGTTGCAAGTAGTGCAAGAAGATATATAGTCTTGAAGAGTAGTCCTTAGACTAGGCCAGTAGAACGGGGCTGAAATCCTCGCGAATCTAGGTCGAGTATCCGACCGACAAGCACCTTCTCTTCTAAATTGGTCAACTTCCTCGAGTTGGCAGAGATATCGCGTCGTGATTTCCGTCCAGCTTGTCGGCATTCGAGGGTCGTACGGTAGACTTTAGCTGCAGCTCGAATCGAGAGATTAGGGTCTCTTTTTAATGCCTCGAGAGCAAGGACAATACGGCTTTCGTTTGAAGAACATTCCATCTTTGATGGTTGTGAAAATTGATGTTAGAGGTAAGAAGTTGTGAAAAGTGGGTGGAGTGGCCCGTTCGCTATGCTGGCCCGCTCGCTATGCATGTACGTTAACAAAAAATAAAATCTACTGGTTATGGCATTACATCACGTGCTTGTTATCAGCCTTATCGCCCACACTAGCTACGGCGGGGCGGGGAAAACTGCACAGCTTTTGTAGATTCTCACAAATTTCTTGAGACGCAGATAACGAGGGACCATCGATAATTCTCGATTTAGACAAAAAAGAGAGCAAGCATGGCTCAACCCACCGCCACGCCTCTCAATATGTCTCTCGAGGAGAAACTCGACAAGATTCGCATGCCCAAACTGCAGAATCAGCAACAGGTATGTTCAAACCAAAGAACTGTACACCCTAGACAGCACACACGACTGACCCGCAAATCTCTAGACCGGCGTTGTGCTCAAAGCCGTCGAGGATACCCTCAGGGACCAGAAAACCGATTTCACACCAACCGGCTACTTCGCCGCTCTCCTGGCCCTCCTACCCCAGGCCATCACCTCCAGCGGAGTCGTCAACAAGGAATTGGCCACCTCCGTCGTCTATCTTCTCGATGTCGTAACGCCCTTTGCGCCAGAGCCCCTCCTGCGCTCAAAATTCTCGCAAATCCTCACAAACATTGCGCCAGCCCTCTCATTACCCGAAGCCGATGCGCCGCTCCTCAGACCGTCGATTGGGTGTCTCGAGTCCCTTCTCCTGGCCCAGGACGCCTCGGCATGGGAGCTTTCGCAGACACAAATCGGACCCCGCCGCGCCATCGCTGGTCTCTTACAATTAGCTGTTGACCACCGCCCAAAGATCAGGAAGAAGGCCCAGGATGCGATTACGAAGGTGCTGAGGAACCCGCCACCAAGCCCTTCCAGCGACCACCCCGCAGCGGACATGTGCGCCGAGACGGCGTTGAAGAGCATGTCTGATTTGGCAGCGAAGGCCAGCCAGGCAAAAAAGCAGAGGAAGGGACAAGCCGAGGCTGAACATGAGCCGGCTCTTATCCATTCGCTGCATTTGGTCAAGACAGTAGCTGCGGCGTCTGGAGGATGGCCCAGTAAGAAAATTGAGGCGCTTTGCGAAATCCTCCTCAACATCTCCAAGTCTAGCAACGAGTACATGACTATGGCTGCGTTCGAGGTATTCGAAATTATCTTCCAGGGAATGGCCGAGGACGAGGTTGCCTCTGCCAAACTCCCAAGGCTCTTGGAGGTCATTTCCGAGCTGCGACCATCCCAAAACGACTCCCAGCTTCTCCCTCCGTGGATCGCTGTTATTTCTAGAGGATATGATGTCGGCGCTCAGATAAACCCCGACGAGACCTTCCAGCAACTGCCCGAGTTATTTACCATGATTTCGGGCTTCATGGCTTCCGCGTCACACAATATCCGGATTTCCGCATCGGAGTGCTTAATGTCGTTCATGGCAAACTGTGTACCGGATACGGTTCTCCTCGAGCCGTCCATTTACGACGAGAAAGTCCTGGAGAAGTTGTCGAGATCAGCAATCGACTTACTCAGCCTTAAATACCAAACGGCATGGATGGAGTCTTTCAATGTCTTTGGTGCTATGTTTGAGAGCTTGAGATGGCGCTCTGACCCCATCTTGAGAGAGGTAGTCAAGACTGTTGGCGATCTTCGTGGCAACAACTCCTTCTCAGGAAAGAAGGAAGCCGACGAGGTGCTTGGCAAGGCGATCCGTGCTATGGGCCCCGAGGCCGTACTGTCCATCTTGCCCCTCAACCTAGCAAAGCCAGTTCCTGGCCAGCCCGGAAGAGCTTGGATGTTCCCTATCCTCAGAGACTTTGTTAGCAACACCAAGCTCCAGCACTTCAGAGATGAACTCTTGCCATTGAGCGAGCTCATGTTCCAAAGAGTGTTGGATAACGGTGATGCCGAGCGTACGATGGAGATTAAGATTTTCGATACCTTGGTGAAGCAAATCTGGGCTACCCTGCCTGGCTACTGTGACCTGCCATTGGATCTGACTGAAGCTATGGATCAGAAGTTCGCTGAGATCCTGTCTACTCTTCTGTACACGCAAGTGGACCTCCGATCTGATGTCTGCAAAGCATTGCAGACGCTGGTGGAGTCAAACCAGGTTATTGCCGCAATTGAGGAGGAGGATGATTTGGTTCTCCAGTCCCGAGTCTCTAAGGCCGTGGCACAGAAGAACCTCGAGCACCTGTCTGGCTTTGCCGGTAACATGCTCGCTGTTCTGTTCAACGTCTACAGCCAGACGCTGCCACAGTTCAGAGGCTACATCCTCAAGTGTATCAATGCCTATCTTAGCATCACCGCTCCTGCCGAGCTGATGGAGACATTCCAGCGTGTTACCACTGCGCTTGAAGGGTCCCTCGCCGAGAGTGTTGCAAAGACCCAAGCTGAGAAGCAGAAGCAGAAGCAGCAAAACAACGAAGATAAGATGCCACAAACAAGCCACACTCTTATGGATCTTGTTATTACCATCTCTGTATACCTTCCCCGCGAGAGTTTCATCACTCTTTTCAACATTTCTTCCCTTATCATCGTTAAGGACGACGACCCGCAACTCCAAAAGAAGGCATACAAGCTCATCCCAAGGCTCGCTGAGTCGGAAACCGGCAAGGCCGCCCTCCAAGAGCGCAGCGCAGAGCTGCAACAGCTTTTATTGAGTAGCTCCGAGAAGGTTTCCCCACCAGCGAAACGCGACCGCCTCGCAGCCATCACAACCCTCATCCCCTTCCTCCCCTCCGACTCCCTCCACTTCATCCCCTCCATCCTCTCCGAAGTCGTCATCTCCTGCAAAGAGACCAACGAGCGCGCCCGCACCACCGCCTTCGACCTCCTAATCCTCATGGGCGAGAAGATCGTTTCTTCTTCCGGCGCCACCATCCACAACAGCAAAGTCGCGCACATGCCCGACGACGCCCCCGCCGCCACCGCCAACCTCGAAGAGTACTTCACCATGGTCAGCGCCGGTCTCGCGGGTAGCACCCCCCACATGGTCTCCGCCTCCATCACCGCGCTCACCCGCATCCTGTACCACTTCCGCGAGCAGCTCAGCGCAGAGACCCTCACCGACCTCGTCCAGACAATGGACCTCTTCCTCACGTCCAACAACCGCGAGATCGTGCGCAGCGTCCTCGGCTTCGTCAAGGTCTGCGTCATCAGCTTGCCGCTCGCACTAATGACACCCCGCCTCGAGTCCCTGATCCCCAACCTCATGGTCTGGAGCCACGAGCACAAGGCTCAGTTCAAAGCCAAGGTGAAGCACATCCTCGAGCGCATGATGCGCCGCTTCGGCGTCGACATCGTCACCAAGTTCTGCCCCGAGGAGGACCGCAAGCTCATCGCGAATATCCGCAAGACGAAGGAGCGCAACAAGAGGCATAAGGAGGCTGCTAAGGCGGCTGGCGAGGACGATGACGAGGATAAGCAGCAGCGCAAGGGCAGGTTCGAGAGCGAGTACGATGAGGCGCTGCAGGATAGCGATAGTGAGGGCTCGGATGTCTCGGATAACGAGGTGCTTGGTAAGAGCAGCAGGAAGCGTCGCGCGGAGGAGAAGGGCGGGAAGAGCTATATTGTTGAGGATGAGGAGGAGCCGCTTGATCTGCTGGATCGACGGGCGCTGGCGAATATCTCTAGCACGAAGCCTTTGAAGCAGCGCGCTGCAGCTGGGAGGAAGGCCGCGAAGACGGATCTGGATGGGAAGTTGATCCTTGGAGAGGATAGCGATGAGGATGATAAGATGGTCATTGATACCGGTGATAAGGACGAGGAGGGTGGTGTTGGCGCATATGTCAACGCTCTTAAGGGCAGAGATTCGGCGCAGAGGGGTAGAGGCGGCAAGCTGAAGTTCAGCAATAAGAGGGATAAGAATGAAGATGAGATGGACGTTGACGATGAAGATATCCAGCAGGTGAAGAAGCAGATTGGTGGGGACCGTCGGGATTCCAGGGGCGGTGGCCGAGGCCGCGGCGGAGACCGCGGTGGACGTGGTAGCGGGCGGGGGGGATTCCCACAGAGGAGAGGCTTGGGAGAGGAGAAGAGGAGCGGGCCATCTGGTGATGGCGGAAGAGTTATGAAGAGCCCAAGGGGAAGGGGCGGCCGTGGTGGTGGGAGAGGTGGAAGGAGATAGGTTGTAGATGATGACGGTGCTTTTAGTTATGTTGGGAAAAATATCAAGGGTTCTTATGACGCTTATATGTAGAAATCATCTATATTTCTAACTCCATGGCACAGAGTGCTTAACGAATCTAATTTTCGCCTGCCGATGTGACGTCAATGATGTTTGGTGCACAGAAGAATGGATGGTTTGTGATGGCCTGGTATCAGATTCATTTAAAGGTCGTCTTTTATGTTACAGTCTATACATATACAGTACATGTTCCCAAACGCCGTTGCCGTGCTCTGCAATATGTGTACACGAGACTTTTCCTCCCTGTTGTCCCAAGGTTGACATGCCTCCGCTCTGCCAATCCGACTGTCGTCAATCCTTTCGTCCAGGCGCTCATCCCAATGACTTCAAACAACACTGTCCCAAGACTGCACCGTCCCTCCCATTATATTTCCCTCCCATCCCCTTTCACCTCGGCACCGCCCTCTCGATAAAGAACCCAGGATCCGGCCGCCTCTCCGCACTCAGCTCATCCTTCGTCTTCGCCTCCGCAACCTCCTCCACCTTCACCAACTCCTTGACTTTCATAATTTGACCAGCGACTTCGTGCGAAACGGGGTAGAAGACCGTCTTCATGCGTCGGCGGAGACCGAGGGCCTTGAGGACGCCCTGTGTGCGCTTTGGCAGCCCGATGGCGGAGCGCATGAGCGTAATGCGGAAGAACGACATCGTGTTGATCTATAGCGGTGACGTTAGTCTAAGCCGATTGACAGGTTTGGAGAGGTTTGCAGCGTACTGTGGGATTCGTAGCGATGTTTGGCTTGAGGCTTCAAAAATCGAGATGTCGCGAAATACACTTTTTGGTCGTCCGTCCCGGGGTCACGTGTGCTGTGGGACCGAAACTGGCACCCCTGTAGGTACATGCCCCTCGACAGCCATGCTGGACGACAAGTACGACTTCAACGGCGCATGAGCAACGAATTGACGGCAAAGCCATGATAAGACGTTAGAATCGCCACTATGGATACAATTGACAGCACGGCGGTGAAGCTCACCGAGCTGCTTCGGCACCCCGAAGACCTCGACAAGATCCCCGCCCTCAAGTCCGAGTTCACGCGCAAGAAGGCCGCCTTCGACTCCCAGCTGCGGATTGGCCTCAAGGAGCAATTGGAGGTGACGCAGTCGGGGATGAATAATATTACGGATGGCCAGCGCACGGTTCAGGCGATCAAGGAGGAGATGATGAAGATTGACAAGCTGTGCGCTGAGGCGCAGAATATGATCCATGATTTCCCCAACATCAACCTCGTCTCGCAGACGCACCGGAACTTTAGTGCCGTGGAGGAGATGATGCAGAATTTGGAGGGGTTTAAGGAGAGGCTGGATCGGGTGGGATATATGTTGCAGCAGGATGAGGAGGATGAGGAGAATATGCCGAATTTGCTTAATATTCATTATGAGCTGACCAGGCTACGGAATATTCGCGATGATGCTATGGAGCAGATTCAGAGGGCTGAGGATGCTAGTTTTCAGGGAGACTTGGAGACGCTGTTTGGGGACCTGGACGATATCATTGAGGTGTTTGATGAGCATATTGGCAAGATTGCGCTGAACCTTATAAATATCCTGATCAGTGGGAACAACGCTATGGTGGTGCGGCTTGCGGTTATTATCGAGGCGGAAGAGAAGAGCGATAAGATGGTGATTGCTTTACAAGAGGCGCTGAAGGACCACAAGGAGATTGCTGCCAGATTTCAAGGCATCACGGATGGAGCGAAACAGGTCAGAGGGTACAAGGACAAGTTTTTGCAGGCAATCCGGATACACGCCGAGCAAAATATGTCAGAGAGCCAAGAGACATTCCTCGACGATTCGACAAAGCTTGAAAAGAGCATGCGTTGGTTCTTCAATGACCTGAATGCAGTCAAACAGGGCATGGTCCCCCTAATGCCAAAGAAATGGAAGATCTTCCAAACATACGGCAAGATCTACCACAGCGTGATGCACGACTTCCTCATCGGCATGGTCGACAACCCCGAGACCAGCTCCTCCCACATGCTCGCCATCCTCAACTGGCCAGAGAAGTACTATGCCAAGATGCAAAAACTGGGCTTCCGCGCCGACGAGTTGAGCCCCCACGTCATCGACTCTCGTGAAACGGAACTGGTGAAGGACTTCCGCCAGCTGATCATCCGTTTCCTCGACGAGTGGATCAGCCGTATTGCGCAGTCCGAGAAGCGCGACTTTGCAGACCGCAGCACTGATGGCGCAAATCTTGACACGGACGAGTTTGGCTATTTCCGTACTCGTAACCTTGTCGACCTGTGGCGCATGCTACGCGAACAGACTGATGCCGCGGGCAACAGCGAGCGCACCGACGTCGTCGAGGGCGTCATCGACACCATGTTCCAGCGCCTCAAGTCTCGCCAGGTTGCATGGCAGAAGATGCTCGACGACGAGGCAGACAAATACACTGGCGCAAATCCCGACATGGAAGGCTTCCAGGCTCTGCAAGATTGGCTCATAGCAACCGCCAACGACCAAATTGCCTGTATAGACGACAACGAAGAAGCCGGCCGCTTCGGCTACCTAACCTCCTCCCGCGAGAAACTCGCCCCCCTCGTCTCCTCCGCCTACCTCTCCCACGCCGACGCCGAAATCGCCTCCCTCCGCGACGGCTACGTCGACCTCTCCACACATTGCATCTCCACCTTCGCCCAGCTAATCCTCCGCGTCGACTTCCGCACCGTAATGCCCGACTTCTTCACGCCCAAATGGTACACCACAACCGCCATGAAGCAGATCGTCGTCACCTTCGAAGAATACGTCGGCGATTACAAGCTCGTCCTCCATCACTCCCTCCTCGATATCCTCATCGAAGAAATGTCCGACGCCCTCCTCGTCGCCTACCTCGGCTGCGTCCGCAACCGCGGCGCCAAGTTCCGCCGCCAGGAGCCCTTCCAGGATAAGCTCTTCGAGGACGTCAGCACGGTGTTCGAGTTCTTCACTAGCTTCCCCAGCCCCGACGTCGCTGATATCATCAAGACTAAGTGGCGCGTCACTGAGCCGTTCAGCCAATTGCTCCTCGCGGACAAGGCGTCCGTGCCGGACGTGTTTGAGGGGTTTAAAACGGATTATTGGGATCTGCAGCTTAGTTGGGTGGAGGCGGTGTTGCGCTCGAGAGACGATTTCGATAGGGCGTTGCTGAATAGTGTTAAGGCGCGCGCGGCACAGATGGAGATCAACAGGGGGCAGGAAACGATTATGAGTAAAGTGAAATAGAGGACATAGTAGATGTTGCGGAGTAACTTGGTGTTATTTTGACGGCGTTGGGGTTGGGTAGCCCGGTGGCGGCTTTGCATTATAGGGGTTTTGGAAATTTACATACGGAGAAGTGCTCGATCACGAAAAATCAGATTTTCTAAGTGGTTAAATAATTTTCTTGACGAAGCAAACTATTTTTCAGATGTTTCCAAAAATCACGACTCTGTGACGGTAATATTGCTCAGTGTTAGGCACGGATCGTACATGACCCGAGCTGATCCGGATACTGATCCGGATATATCATATCCTTGAGGCCTACGACCTATCCTTGGGATCTAGGGATATATCCGGATCTTAAGGATATTGCCAAGGCCGCACAAATGCCAACGCGTAAATCCATAATACTCTTCAAATACTGTCATAAATGTGACAATTGTGGTAAAAATGAGTGCTCGGAGTTGTCAGATTTGCCATCAGATCATGAGAGCTATTCTCAAATGGAGGAGCTATCGTTACCACCTCTACTACCTCTACTACCTCAACCCACCCCGATTCAGCCCTCAATCGAAATATCTGTTAATCTACCTCGATATCCAAAGGTACTACAACCAACAACATCAAGGCTATTCACAAATGGCCTATATCGTCGAGAATTGCTTGATACTCAGCCTCCAACTATCAAGATGATATGCCTACAAGTTTGTGCGGCCTTGGCAATATCCTTAAGATCCGGATATATCCCTAGATCCCAAGGATAGGTCGTAGGCCTCAAGGATAGGATATAACCAGACTGTGGATATTCATTACCGCCACAAGGATTAAAGCAATCATCAACAGGCAATCTTTGGAGGCATTATTCTTTAAGGCATTCAGCTATATCATATGCCCTTAAAAATGATAATGGACAGTCGTCAAGCGCATCTAGTAGTACATCGTCATTTTTCAAGCCACGCCCATCAGCATTACCAAAGCAATCCAGCAAAGTATAGAGAGTTATTGCTCTAGTTTATTGTATCAAACAATCTATCAATATGCCTTGTTGAAAGCCATTCATTTCGCGAATTAGTCCAATTTTTAAGCCTAACGACTATGACAATATTAGCACATACGTTATACCGAGAACTACAGCGTCAATTCTCATATCACCGAGGCCAGCTACAAATTGAGCTCCATTCTCATATCAAGAGAGGAGGCCGGATATCCATAACAACAGATGCATGGTCTACACGGAACTATACAGATTACGCAGCTATCACAGCACATTAGATCAATGATAAATGGCAACAGAAATCTAGAGTGCTTGATGTCGTACATCTTAAAGAGCCTATCCATAGTGGCAAATATTTGGCTTAACAATTAGCAATTGTAACGGATGATATGGGTATTACAGGAGCTATCTTCACCTGTACAAGGGACAACGCCTCAGCTAATACTGTTATGCTTACGGAATATGAGAAATTGGCTCGAGACCAAGAAGTTACAACGTAACAACTCTGGACATTTAGAGCTAAGGAAGGAGACGTACAATGTATAGCCCATATCATCAATATTGCTGTTCAAGATGCTCTTAATACTTTAAAAGCAGCTCCTGCTAAGCAGGCTAAGAGTTATCGATGTGAGTAAGGAGCTGCACGGATTCCAGTAAGCTTTGATAGTAATATTGAAGTTAAGAATACTCTAGGTAAGCTACGAAGACATATTTATGTGTTCAGAAATCGAAGGCAATGGAAGGATGCTCTTCAAAAGCAGACTATAGCAGCTGGTCTTAAGAAGCTACAATTGTCACTTGATATGCCAGTCCGGTGGAATTCAACATACGAAATGGTTACAACAGCCATTAAGCTACAAACACCTATTACAGCAATCTGTGCTACTCAGCAAATTGATCTAAGTATGAGGGATATTGCTCTTACACTAGAGGATTGGGTAACACTCCACGTACTTCAAAATTTCTTCTACATATTTGTTAAGCCTTTACAAAAGCTACAAGCAAGCTTATATCCAACGCTTAACTTTGCAATTCCAATAACGTACATGTATAGCGAAAGCGCCAAACAAGCGAAAGCGCCAAAATTATCTACCCTCACGACAAACATTGCGATAAATCTACCACAACATTAGAAATCAATTGAAACTACTCGGAGTCCTCTTCCTCAGAGGTGTCTATTACAATCTGACACGTGCGCGCATTGTGCCCAGTCTCACCACACTTGCCACAGCGACGGGCACAGGTTTCTTCCCTTGGCTTCCGACCACGGCTTGCCCTTATTTCCTGCTCTACCTGCTGCACAACATCCCTCTCATCCTGTAGCTCTTGCGCCCCTTGTTGACTAAGTGATCCTCCTTGCTGTAGTCGTGTTTTCCTAGCTCTCCGGCGCTTGCTTAGTACTTCATTTGCCTGTCGTAGGTTTTGGTTCTCTGCCTTTAGCAGTGCTAATTGATGCATTATTTGCGATGCACCCTTTGTAAACTGGTCAACAGCTGCATAGATTGAGGTTGGAGAGCTATTTTGATGGCGTGAAATCCGAGTTTTAATAAATGTAGACTGTGACATAGCTTCAATTGGGTTGTTTGGTGTCTGAGAAACCCAAGGTTGAGCAGTACCTGGGCGGGAGCTTGGAGGCGTTGGTGTCCTTAACTTAAGATCAAGTGTAGATATCACTCTCTCAGGGTCAAATGGAAGAAGCCCTGCCCCTCGGAACCCGCCTCGAATGTTACTTTCCGTCATTGTAGTGTTAAATGCAGCGTGGAAGGCAGGAAAGAAGTCATCCTTTGTAATATGAGAAATATGAGCCTGCATCATATCTTCAATTTGCCGACCATAGGCCTGCTTTAACGGGCCGAAACAGCCAACATCAAGTGGCTGGAGTAGATGAGAAGAGTGAGCAGGCATACAAAGCGTAATAATGTTGTGTTCCTTGCAGTACTCCTCAAACTCATCTGAGTGGTGGCTCTCATGACCATCAAGGACTAACAAGCGATAACCACCAACACTCCGGGCCTTTGTATGCTTCTCAAAGTGCTGAATCCAATCCATGCCTCTCTCGTTTGTAGTCCAGCCATTTTCAGTAACAGAAATCACCCAATCGCTTGAAAATCCACTATTCTCATACCAAGATGTAAGGTGGTTTTTGCCTGCAACAATGATAAATGGTGGTACTGCCCAACCTTGAGAACTAACGCCTTGGATTACTGTAACCCATTCCCGATTACCAGGCTGTACCTTCTTTGCTTTTGCCCGCCCGTCTGAGCTTGTTACAACCATAGCAGTTGAGATAACGCCCATCATAAACCCAGTCTCATCAAAGTTGTAGATATCTGCTTCATCAATACCATATTTCGCAATTGTGTTACGCACAAGCTCAAACCAGCCATTAATAACTTCTGGATCTTCGCACTTAGCCCTCTGGTAGTCGTATTTGCGCTGAAAGCGTGTCTGGAGCTCTACACGCCGCTTAACAAAGTTTGAAGCCCAATGCGACCCAACGCGTGACGCGTCGCGTGTTGCAAGTAGTCGACTTGCCATATCTTCAACAACAGACAGCCGAGGAGGAAACCCTTTGGCAGCTAGGTCGAGTATATACTGAACAAGGACGGACTCCTCTAGGTTAGTTAATTTCCGTGAGTTGGCTTGGATATCGCGTCGTGAAGGTACACCTTCTAGACGACGACCTAGCTTGCGGTGGTCCACAGAATAGATCCTAGCAGCAACTCGAAGGCGTAACTTTGGGTCGCTTTGCATAGCCTGGATAGCTAGCACTAATTGGCTTTCATCGTTTTTATGGGGCATGTTTTGTTGTTGAGGAATTTAACATTTAGTTGGGGGGTTTGGTCACCGCATCATTTTGGCGCTTTCGCTTGTTTGGCGCTTTCGCTATACATGTACGTTATGGTTACATTAATTTAATAGTTATTAATTAATATAGTTAACATTTGCATAACGTGGTTTATCAGTACATCGGACATATCAGTACCTCGGACACTTTTCCTGAATTTCCTACCCTCTAACTTCACAACGCGTTTTTTCCACCTTTTATTATGTCAGTGATTACCCAAGAAGCAAAAATCATTCTAGCTATCGAGGCTATCCGAACATCAAAAAATCTAAGTCGTCGGAAGGCTGCTAAGCTCTATGAAGTACCTCATTCTACACTCTGCGACAGAATGAACGGCCGAACTACTGTCTACGAACGCCGGCCTGCAATAATGAAATTAACTATACTAGAAGAGGAGGTGGTTATTCGGAATATACTTGATATGGATTCAAGAGGATTTGCACCCCGGCTTGCTGGTGTAGAAGATATGGCAAATTTTATACTCGAATCGCGTGGAGGGCTGCGCGTCGGGAAGCTCTGGGCCCACCGATTTGTACAACGACGTCCAGAATTAAAGACGCGTTTTAATCGCGTTTACGACTTCCAAAGGGCCTTGTGCGAAGATCCTGAACTAATTGGCGCGTGGTTTCGACTAGTGGAAAATATGAGGGCAAAATATGGTGTTTTGGACTGCGACTTCTATAACTTTGACGAAACTGGGTTTATGATGGGTGTGATTTGCCCTGCAATGGTTGTTACCCGTGCAGATCAACTTGGCAGAGGTAAGGCAGTTCAGCCAGGGAATCGGGAATGGGCTACAGCGATTGCTTGTATCAACAGTGACGGCTGGAGTATTCCTCCATTTTTGGTAGTTAAAGGCAAGAATCATCTTGCAAATTGGTATACAGACGGCGGCCTTCCACACAACTGGGTTGTTAAACTGACAAGCAATGGATGGACAAACAATGAGACGGGTCTAGAATGGTTGAAACACTTCGACAAACATACTGCTGTTCGTGCAAGGGGTCCATATCGAATGCTGGTGTTAGATGGGCACGAGAGTCATGAATCGGCCGAGTTCCAAGAGTACTGCAAGGCACACAACATTATAACTCTTGGACTACCTCCCCACTCGTCTCATTTAACTCAGCCACTTGATGTCGGGTGCTTTAGTGTGTTGAAGCGGGCATATGGTCAGCAGATTGAGACCTTCATTAAGGCTCATATCAACCACATTACCAAGGTCGAGTTCTTTCTCGCCTTTAGAGCAGCATATCTGGAATCCATGACAGCCCAAAACGCCCAGTCCGGGTTCCGCGGAGCTGGCTTAGTGCCTTTCAACCCGCAAGCAGTGCTTTCAAAGCTTGACGTGAGGTTACGGACTCCAACTCCCTCTAGACCCTCTACTGCCAACACCAACCCTTGGGTCTCCCAGACCCCTTCCAACCCAACTGAAGCTCTTTCACAAACAACCCTCGTTCAAAATCGAATTGCCCGTCACCAAGAAAGCTCGCCAACTCCACTCTTCGGGACAGTTATTGCATTGGCAAAGGGTACGGAGCGACTAGCACATGAGAACACCCTTCTGTCTGCTGAGGTACGTACCCTTCGAGCAGCCAACGAAGCCCTTAGCAAATGCTGCAGGGCTAAAAAGGCTCGTGTCCGTGAAGGAGGTGCACTTATAGTAGAGGGTGCACAGGCTATTATCGCACAGAAGGATGTGGATGAGCAGGTACGACGCGACGTACGTGCAGTTGGGGGTAGTCGCAAGGAGGAGCAACCGTCTAGGCGATGCTGTGGGATCTGTGGAAAAGCTGGTCATAATGCGCGAACTTGTCAAGAAGCTATAGATATGTCTAGTTCATCTGATTCCGCTTAGTTATAGTTAATTTAATATGTTATGGTTGATTTATTGATATTCAAAGTAGAATGCCAATGAAAAGTGTCCGAGGTACTGATATGTCCGACGTACTGATAAACCACGTTAACAGTTATAGTATAATGAACTTCAGTTTCATCATAAATTATGTAATTAAGCGTTACTGTATACCGTTACTGTCACGACTGAAATACTAAAGACAGGTTGTGAAATCATCAATTGACTATTTATACAAGAACACACTAATTTATCTAATGCTGCGAGAATTGGCGAACCAGGACACAAGCTGCATATCCTTGTTCTGGATGGTGATATGCTTGGCGTGGATGGCGCACATGTTGGCCCCTTCGCACTATTAGTATAGTTTTTGTAGGTGTTCATAGAGACAGCTTACCTTCGAAGTATGACACAAGGTGGGCCCCAGCGGCCTCTTGGAGGGCACAGATGGCAGTAGACTGGAAGCGGAGGTCTGACATGAAGCTTTGCGCGACTTCACGAACAAGACGCTGGAATGGGAGTTTGGGGAGGATGAGGGCGGCCGACTTCTGGTAGTGTCGGATCTCGGCAACGATCCGTTCTTTCATATAAGTTAGTAGTGTGAACAATATTCTATTAGAAAAGAATAGCATACTGTTGACAGAAGCCTTGCTCAAAGGAGGGACAGGGCGAGGGGCTTGTTGTGGGAAGTTGGAGCCAGGGTGATCCCGCTCCCAGTTCCTTTTCTGGGCATTGTAGCCCCAGATCTTTTCTTGGTGGGCTCGGCATGCAGTCTTGTGAATATCGACTGTTTGTTGAGTTAGTAACCTTGTATTGCTTGTAGGGTAGGGTGGAATACTTACCGTGGCGCTCAGGCTTTTGCTTGGTGCGAGCCATGGTAGAGATGTGAGCGAGAGCGATATATAAAACATGTTAATTTGCCATATTGTAGCAATTTGGCGTTACTGCTGGGCGTTACTGTAGTTGTAACGCCCAAAGAACAAAAGGGGTGAACTTACAAAGGTTGGTGACAGAAGGAAAAATTGCTAGAACTTGTATATTAGTAAAATAAACACAATACCGTTACTCTACAGCGTTACTGTAGGGTTAAATCAAATGTAAAGAAGATTGAACTTACCAATGTTGCCAGACGCGTTATCTCAGAATTGTTGTAGAAGTTAGGATCGAATTCGAAGTAAGGGCGCTTAAGTGTTGTTGCAAACAAAAAAAACTCTGTTTCTTGTTCCAAATCCGGACGTGTCAATAACAAAGAATAGTACGAGTAAGTTAGCAAAGAAACCACCCTTACATTTGATTACCTCTGATTATTAACTTTTTTTTAGATTTCCAAATTTATTGACTATACCGACCCCGACCAGTAAGTAGTTGCACCCCTACTTTCAAAAGACGTCCGCCTTGTTAGCACATTGAAGTACTCTCAAAACAGTATAATCAAAGCCAGTGCTAACAGTAATGCCCTATAGTAATGCTCATCAGCTCCAAATCGCCTCTAACGCAACTTTACCATGTTGTCTCCAGCCACTGCGAAGTCATATGAGGAGAGACGTGCAGAAGTCATTGCAGCTACTGCCCACACCATTGAGCTCGCTCAGAATGCGGACCGACAGGTATAACAATCCTACCATCCTGATATCAATTGTTCTAGAGCTGATAGCAAAGCTAGGCTATGAGCCGTGCACGCCGTACCCGCCAGGGTAAAGGTGACTGGGAGGGCCTTACGGCCAATAAACAAGCTGCCGTGTTAGCTACAATGCAGCAGGATATCATGGACAGGCGCACCGCTCGTGGTATTGACGCCAATTCCCGCCTCACAGCTGCTATTAATGATGAGAGTGCGGCTATTGCGGCCATTAATGCAGAGGAGCTGGAGGAGAAGTTGAAGGCCCTACCAAAGGGCGAAGGCAAAGCTGTAAGTAATAGCTAAAACATGACGATACTATCTAACATAATGGTTAGACTGGCAAGACATCGACTAGCGACAGCGGTGAAGAAAATACCTTAAAGGATATCTGGGCCAGCAACATGGTCCCAGTCATTGAGCGCTGGGAGCGCAATATTGCCCTTGCTGGCAACATCCTTATGCCCGAACTCTCAAGGAAGGAGATCGAAGAGTTTGCTGGGGGGGTTAGCAACCCTGATAATATCAAAGAGTTCGTGGAGCAGTGGGAGAATAACAGCAATGCTGATGTTGAAGATGGGCTGGTAGATTTTGATGATGATGGTGAAGAAGTGGAGGTGGTTATATCAGAGGATGAGGAGGACGATGATGAGGACGAGGATAGCCTCAACGGCTTCATAGTCGGGGTTCGTGTAGAGGAGGAGGAGGAGGTGGAGGAGGAGGAGGAGGTGGAGGAGGAGGAGGAGGAGGAAAAAGAGGAGGAGGAGGAGAAGGAGGAGGAGGAGAAGGAGGAGGAGGAGTAAATTCACGTCGTATACTGTACTATAGTATACTAAACCAATGGAGTTTTTGTGGTTACTGAATTCCATTTTGAGATCTTCTGCCGTTACTATCTGCTGTTACTATCTAATAAAACTATTTGTCAGTACTCTGAATATGACTACTGTACTCATAGTAATGGCCAGCAGTAACGGAAGAGAGCCCAAAAGCAAAAAGTCAGCATGCTTCTACTCCTCGGCTGAGCCAAGGAACACAGTCTGACCAATCAACAGTCAAACGCCTATTTTGCAATTCCAATTCATATTACACTAGCTAGGATATACAGACTCTGCATCCAATATTTCATCTCGGTTACATGTAGGCTACAGTAACGGCCAGCAGTAACGGAAGAGAGCCCAAAAGCAAAAAGTCAGCATGCTTCTAGTCCTCGGCTGAGCCAAGGAACACAGTCCGACCAATTAACAATCAAATGTCGGTTATACAGTTTAACTTTATATTATGCTACATAGGAAATATAATCGATCTGTATCTACTTAGGGTTATACACACTGCTCATTATCTTGTTATATGCTGTAGCAACAGCTAATAGTACTAGATATAGCTTCAGACTTTGAAATAAGATAGGGCTAATGTAGCAAATTGTTAAGCCAATGAAACCAAATTGCTGATTTTGTAATTTAAAACTCGTAAGCGTTACTCTCTAGCGTTATGGTAAACCTAATTAGAGCTAGACAAAATTGTTTAACTCCATAATACTATGTTCAACTAACACAAAATAGGAATAGCAAAGAGTAACGGCAAAGAGTAACGACAAAGAGTTCAAATATTACCCTATTGCAATGTGGCATTCTTGTATTCTGTACTACCATTTGTTCTGTTGCAAAAGACTATGAAGAAATGGCCGTCCTTCCAAAAGGCCTCACTTGACATTCATCATTCGTCTGATTGACCTACACTCCTACTACAGTACATTTTCTCTATCCTCTTAACAACATGTCGAGCCCAAGCCCATTTACAATGATGAATCAGTCACAATTTGAGCATCCGCTTACCTCTGACACTGAGGATATCAACTCACCTTTCGAGCCAGCACTTATCTTCTCCCAAGATGATGTACTGAGTGGAATTGAAGCTCCTCTTAATGAACTTCTTGAAAAACTACCCAAGTCTCCTAATAATCGATATGTTATATGGAAGGAGGATACCGCTAACGAATGGCATCAATGGTGGACTGCGAAGATTTCAAACAACATCAATCGAGAGATATTCCGACATATGGTTTGGACAAGGTCGAAGAGGTCCTTAATATGGACTCAATTTTACCAAGGAGCTGAGGTCCGAACTGGCAATCCTAAGGTACTATGTCAGTTGTGTTGGAGGGCTTTTGCACACCCTAAGCTTTGACAAGGTGGGAGTAGCACATCTACTTTAACCCGACACACCAAATCTGGCGCTTGTAGTAGAAAGGATGGATCGCAAACTCATTTACACTTAGTAAGTTATCTATCCAGTGGTCTAGAGTAACGTTCTAGAGTAACGCTAATGACCTTCTTTAGCTGCCGCGTGCGCATTTGGAAAGGAATACCATACAGCCTTTCACACATACAGCATGGCGAGAGCAGTTGATTATAGCCATAATTTCATCAAGCCTCCCTTTTCGAATAGTGGAGAACAAGGAGGTGCGAAAGGTTCTAAACATGTTGAAACCCGACCTGGAAATTCCACACCGGACAGTTATACGCAAAGAATTAACAATGCAATTTAACAACGTCATGGAGAAGCTACTATTGGATTTACCACCTATGGCAAAGGTTTCAATTGCCCTTGATGGATGGCAAAGTCCGTTCAAATTAGCGTTGTTAGCAATTACTGTGTATTATATCACTGACGATTGGCAATGGAGAGAGGTGAGCAGATTATAACTTATATAATAATATATTAACTTACTAACATACATCTTATAGTGTCTTATTGGTTTCGAGCCAATGACTGGAGTCCACTCAGGACAAAATATGGCAGCTGTTGTACACAATGTACTGGAACAATTCAATATTACGGGACGACTTTTTTGCATGACAACTGATAATGCATCAAACAATGGAACAATGCGCAAGGAACTTGAGAGCTATATGAGAAGTACTACACAAGAAGTAGAGTGGAGTAGTGATGCAACAAAAATACCATGCATGGCGCATGTTATACAGCTAGTTGTAAAAGCTATGCTAAAGGCCTTCAATGTCGACATAGCTGAAGAAGTTATAGATGTTACTGGTGTTTCAATTACTGATGATACGACAGTCACATCAGCTATTAGAAAGGTTAGTCCATGATAGTAATGCTTGATAGTAACGCCAACTGACATCAAATACACAGATACGCACTCTTAGCAATCTTGTGAGCAGGTCTGCAAAGAAAACTGAATTATTGCTCCAGAAGCAATCTGATATAGAAGCAAAGAGACTACTGCAGCTAAAACGGGATATTGATATACGCTGGAATTCTACATATGACATGATAGTCCGAGCGATAAGACTACGCATCCCAATTAAAAGTTGGCTTGAGGAACAGATTATTAAGGAGCCTCATCTTGATCAATTCGAATTATCACCAACCGACTGGAAAAAACTAAAATACTTAGTCGCTCTTCTGCGGAATTTACTCATCTTATTGGAAACACGAAAGACACTACAATCAACCATACATGGAATGTATACAATACATTATTTGACCATCTTGATGATATCAATCAAAAGCTATATAACAAGGATACAGCATCTAATCCTTGGGTAGACGAGTTTACTGCTGCTATTACTGCAGGTGTTGCAAAGTTAAGGCACTATTACACTGAAACTGGTGGTCCTGTTGAACAGACGTATGCTCTTGCTGCAATTCTTGATCCATCTCAGAAACTGGACATTTTTAACGCTCCTGAATGGGACCGTTCCCACTCAAAGAAGTACCGCCAAATATTCTTAGATTACTGGAAGGCTTACTATCAAAAAGATTCGAGGGACCAGCATGAGGCAGTACCGCCTTGCCCCTATACACCAACAAGTCTTAATGCGGTATTTCGGATGAACCGGCAGCTACATAAAGGGTGGCAGAGCCATCAAGTACCAGCTATAATGAAGCTGAGCGTTATTTAAATGCGCCAGTGGTTAGTGCTGATGCAGATACTCCAGTGCTCCTAGTGTGGAAGACCTTAGAGCTCTCTTACCCTTCAGTTGCGAAGATGGCAAGGGATATCCTTGCAGTACCAGGTAAGCTCCTACAGTAATGGTTAAGAGTAACGCAAATATCTTACAAATCGCTTTAAACAGCTACTGGTACTGGAGTTGAGCGCATATTTAATATTGCCCGCGATATCCATGAATACCACAGGGCACAAATGAGTACGACTACAGTTCGAGAGTCGATGATTGTTAAACACTATCATAGGTATAAGTGGGAACTTGATAATCATTGGGATAATATAGACCATGTATTTGGCGCTCCTGACCCAGACTCTATAATTGAGGACTCTGATCGACAAGTTGCTATGACGATGGTAATATCATCTGACGAGGAGGATGCTGAACAAGACCTACCAGACCCATCAACGCCACATAGAGCTACACAAGGTCGCAATGGAAGATTGGAAACTCAGAGGAAGCAAAATTTTGGGGTTCTAAATAAGGACCTTCAGAATGATGAAGCCTCCATTGATACTCCTCGACATTCGCAACGACTTAGAAGGTAGAGGAGGGTACTATTCAGATGTGGGTTAGAGTAACGGCTCACAGTAACGGAATATATCACTAATTGGCCTTATATAGCATTTGGAACCAGCTTGAACATATATTATGTTAACTACTGCGATAGATACCAACCTTTGCGCTAAGTGGTAGGAAGGCTGGCCTCCCAAAGTCGACACAAACCTGTGTGCGATGGCGGTGGTGGTGATGGTAGGGAAGCCACTGTAAGCTGATGCATTCTGAGACATACGGCACTTATAACTCTAATGTAATTACCATAATTTATTATCTATATGATAAATTTATCCTAATTTCTATCAATATACCGTTACTATATACCGTTACTCTTGGTCACAGGACTAACATCGTGATCTACAAGCTAAATATACTAAACTTCAGTTCGGGCTTTTTAAAAAAAAGCTCGGATGGTAAAAAAGCCTAGACCGAACCACGGTCTGGTCTTAACCCTAGAGACTGGACCAAAGTTCAGTCTGGGCTTTGAAAAAAATGAGGACCGAACCACGGTCCGGTCTTAACCCTAGAGACTGGACCGAAGTTCAGTCTGGGCTTTGAAAAAAAGGAGGACCGAACCACAGTCCGGTCTTAACCCTAGAGACTAGACTGAAATTCAGTCCGGGCTTTTTAAAAAAAAGGAGGACCGCACCACGGTCCGGTCTTAAATTTAAGGACTGGAACACTCATATAAGCGGTCCGGTCCAGTCCAGTCCGGTCTTTACGGTCCGGGCTGGCTAGTCTACCTAGGATCATTAAAATAATTGTAATAAACTGTGAATTTTTGCAATAAATTCATAAATTCATAAATTACCTTAAATTAACACATTATATTAAGACGGCTAATACATATATTAAAAAAAGTTGTAGTTATAAAAGATTCATTCTACTAAAATAAACAAATATATAATACACAAGTTTTTTTTACTCATTACATAATTTAATATCTCATGTAGAAGTAGTTGAGTTTGGGTGTAAAAACGACGTTCAGCTAATACTTTTTGTCGGTAACTGTAGGTTGGTGCTTCTCTAGTAATGGTGGATCTCACAAAGAGCAATGGCTATTTCTAATCAGTAAGGCTTATAGTAATCATTATAGTAATCAACATACTTCCTACCTTCCATCTATGTAATGGTGGGTGCACCAGATGTGAGAATCTAGCCACCCAAGGAAGGGATGATTTTACTAAGACAACACACTGTCTTAGGAAACAGAGCCAAAGGGTTGTAGCTTAGACTATTCCACAACGCAGCAATCAGGTGTATGATGTAGTGAAGTGGTTTAGACAAGTTGTAACAAATGTTGAGTCTGAGAACTCAGGGGTAAGTCAGAGGTTAGCACCTCACTGACTTTTTAGAAACAAAGAATAACAAGATTAATGCTTGGAAGCTTGGAAAAGACGTGGAAGTATGTGATAGTCGATTTACTGTATTGTCTGCTTGCCCTTTCTTAAGGAAAGGGCAATCCTATTTATGCTAAAGGAGTGTAGTTCTCTCATTTTCCATGACTTTCCATGACTAACCAGGCTTGGTAAATGTATTAGAAATCAAGTGCGACCTACAACTAGCTTGCTAATCATGTAGCGAATGTAAGAGAATCCCATAGAACCATCTCTTGGGTTCCTAGCCTATAGGAAGTGAAAAGGAGGTCCAAGGTCAGAGTACCTATAGACAAATTATGTCATAACTTAACCAATCTTGTAACTAAGGAGTGATGACGTGTAATGAATCATAGAGGGTTGTAGAAGCTTCTAGAGCTATCGTTCATGTTCATAGGCCTCTAGTTGGTAGAGATATGCCATGTGGTAGTATTGGCCCACCCCCTTAAGGAGGAGATTTTCTTAATAACTTGTTCAATGAGTGTCCAAATGATATACCGTGATGTATGTAGCATAAACAGATGTAGTAGAAGAGTTTGCAGCAATCATTGAGTAGGATTGCTTCTGTTGTTGGTGTGATAAGCCAAGATATGTATGGTGACTTGTAGGTTTGAGGAGGAGATTTCTAAGTTTGCTCTTGAGTTTGATAGCAAACTGAGTGCAACGAATGTCAGTATGACAATCTACGCTTCTTGTCCTTCTTCTTCTGTAGACCTATAACTTAGGTGCCACACTCTTTCCTAACGTTGTCTTTCTGCAGACTTCTAAGCGGACTTCTAAGCTTATAGCATCTTAGGTTCTTTAGGTCCAAGCTTCTAGCTAGCGGCAACGGTTGGAATTAGGCCCTTCATTTTCTTTAATGATTCTAGAATGTGAAGTTGTAGGTTTCTGTTACTTTGGTGTTGTTATGGTGTTTTAGGAGGTTGTAGAGCTTGTTCTTAGATCTGTCTCGCATCCCTGCAGTCGCTGTTCCGATGCCAGATCACAACTTTTCCTTATGAGAACCTCTCGGTGCACTACTCCCAGAGCCACCAAGTCAACATCCAGCCAAATGTGCTGTTTACGAAGATGATGGGCCCGGACCATAACGGCAGGGGCGGCTATTGCATGAAACTCAGCATCTTCTTCCACATATGCTGCGCGGACTTGGGTTCCACATCTACATGACGGGCGTACGTAACCGGACGCGGACTGACGGCAAGCCGCAGGGCGAATATCAGGGGTGGTAAGTTTCCTAGGGGAGGCTAAGAATGGCGTTAACAAAATAGGACGCACATTAACAACATAGTCCACCTCCCTTGCGGCTCTAAATTTAGTGCCGACGTCGCATTTGGTGGTGACGGGCCAACTTCTCCTCTTCCTATGGATGGCGTGGGATCTGCCCTTCACAATCTAGGCACCCAAGAGGTACGACTCGTGGAGGGAAACATCCCTAAGCAGCGCTTTCGGGAGCCGAAGCTGTGGGTGTACCAGTACCGCAACAGTGCCAATAAGGAGTGGAACTAGCTTTTGCGAGGTCGAGTTCTTTCAGGAGGATTTTGAGGTTCAGAATTGGTGGACTAGCGCCAAGACACCCCATCGCTGGACCATGTTACTCGATTTCTAAGGGAGGGTGAACCCATTAATTCCCTAAAGATGACGTCTGGAGGAAAGGAGATGACCAAGATATAAGCATTGTCGGCAAGGTAATGCTGGTAAATAACCTAGTTAAGGTTAATGTAGGGGGCAATACAAGGGTTGTACATGAGTTTAACTCTTGAGGATGGACGGTTGCTACCAATTCAGGAGTATTCTGGGATTACCTTAACGCAGGAGGAGGCCCAGTTCATACAGGGGTGGGACATGGCGATAAAATAGACTACGGTGACACGACCAGATAAAAATGAATAGAAGAGTAGATGTTTAGAACTATGCTAAGTTGAGCTTTATTGGAGAGATTAGATTTATTAAAGTTTGAAAAAACTGTAAGAAACAAACACTATGCGTCGTTATCCCATCTTCTCCGTAGCCATTCTCTCCATTCTAGCTATAATACTCATCCAACCACTGCCGCAAATCACCAATAGTCTCATAGTCCAAGAAAAGACTGCCGCTGACCTTGACATTTAGCTCGGACCTGAGCTTTTCTGCGATAACTAGAGACATCAAGCTGTCAATTCCCAAATTAACGAAAAGGGCGTCATCTATCATGTCGGAAGGTTCTAGGCCTGCCTCGTTAGCAATGAGTGTGATTGCTTTTGCAGTTGTAGTACCAAAAGTGGCCGCGGATTCAACGATAGATGGTGCCGTGGCATCCGGGGTAGGCGCTGCAAGAGTAGCAGGGCTGGTAGGAACAGGGTTGCCATGCTTGCCGTCACTGCCAAGTCCGGACGCCCTGTGGGAGAGTATTAGGCTTGACTCTTTTGCAACGATTTTTGTTGCATCTTGTGCTGGGACTGTAGTTTTGGGTGCAGCGGCCTGTCCCTTTTGCTTGACGTCGAAGGCGGCCATCTTGCCTGGCGGCGAGAAAAAGTGGCTAAGAAGGATGCGCGGATATCTGCGGAACTGTATGCCACCGACCACACCCATGATGGCATCGTCTTGCATGATGTACACATCGCCATTGTAAATAGTCGGGTCCTCGACTGTAGGAATCATCTTGACATATGACCGATACTTGGCTCCTGGAATCAGAGGCTTCGCGAATCGCATCGAGTTCCAACCAGGAGTAACACAGTAGTTGTTCTTTGTATCAATAGCATCGGAGCAGTTCATAATAAAGCCAGCCAAGTGAACCACACTGTCGATAAAGTATGGTGGAACTGTCCAGACTCCACTCTCCTTTGTGGTTAATTGCACGTCAGCAAACCCTTCTAGCTCATGCATCACCACAGATTGCATGCCGCGGTACTTCTCAGCGTAGTCGACTAGGTTACTGGCAAAGATGGTGTATGCCATTTTGCGCGAGAAACGGTTGGCTTTTCCCTCTGTAGCTAGGCGCTCAAGCGCTTCGATGCGGCCGTGGATGAGGTGACCCAATGAGGCCCAAGATGAAATCCACTCAGAAGCATCCCCGTAGATTATGTTGGCGGTTGCAAATGGCTCGTGGGCATAGCCATCGTTGTCAACAGTCTGCCACGTCAAGTCGACCACTCCTGAGCGGACGTCGGCAGTGACAGCAGTTACCCGGAACAATTGGGGAGTCGTGTTGCTGGTTTGAGCGACAAGGCCCTTCGTGACAACTAAGTTGGCAAAATTCACGTTGACTTCCTTGGCTTTGGGATAGAACTTGCGGTATATGTAGTCGCCGAGGGTGTAGGCGAGGTCACCGTGGATGGACTGTAGAATTGGTAAGCACTGTGACTGAAGAATCTCGCAAAGGGTTGACTTACGGATGTAACAACACCGCAATTGTTCATACTGTGTCCATGAGCAGCGGAAAGCAAATCTGCTTGCATAAGATCAGACTCCATTACCACTGTGCCAGCGAAATCGGTAAACGTCTCGTCGATGATCTGCTGCACGGTCGTCGTCTGAAACCCGCTCGCAGGCAGCGATCGTGGTATAGATTTTACTCTGGCAGCCTCCTTCTCAGCATCGTAAAATGTATTGCCCTTGGTCAGACACCAGTCACCATTGTACTGCACCCAGTAGTTCTTGTCATTCCAGGCGTATGTTGGCAAATCCAAAAGGCGTAGCCTCTGCTCAAATGGGCGGTGGAATTCGTTCCAACTGACCCCAAACCCAGCAAGATGCAGAGCAGCCATGCTCTCAGCCATGGTTTTCCAGTTGTCGTCCCCGCGGCGGATCGATGGGATGGCAAGCTTCGTGGACGGGATGATGGTTTTGACGAAGTTAGTACAGACGGGATGTGGTCCAATTTCGATCCAGACGGTTTCATCGCTTATAGTAGAAATCTTTTGGGCATTTTTCAAAGCAGACAAGAAGTCGACAGGCTCCCTGGTGGCCCGGCGAACGTAGTTTGCGTTCAGCGTCTTGCTGTCAAAAATAACCTTCCCGAGCAATGGCGAGATGACAGGAAGTTTCGGTTCCTGAAAGACAACGCCAGTCTTTGAAATTGCCTCAAACTCATCCAAAATAGGATCGGTCTGCTCTGAGTGAAAAGCAAACGCGACATCCAACTTGAAGCAACGGTAACCGGACGTCTCGAGTAACACAGCGACGTCAGCCATCCTCTCCTTAGGACCGCTGAGGACAGTATCTGAAGGTCCATTGACACAAGCAATCGTATACGGCTTGCTTCCTAAGCATCCCTCTATTTGCTGAAGAGAGGCCCGGACCGCCATCATACTATGACTGTTAATCTTGCACTTTTCTTCCAGCATCTGAGCACGACGCCCAACCATGAATATGGCGTCGCTTGCAGTAACTACGCCAGCTGTGTGCATCGCAGCATATTCGCCCAGACTATGACCCATGACGACGTCTGGCTTGATTCCAAGAGAAACCCAGTATTTTGCCAAAGCAATCTCGGTGCATACCAGGGCAAGCTGAGTAACTACTGGAGAGTGCAAGTGGTCTTTGGGATGCGAGCCATCTAGAGCGGGAACAATAGATGGAAAGCCTTGGCGTCGAGTGAGAGAATCAAGATGCTGAATATGCTCTCTGAATGTTGGTACATCACGGTACAACTGAAGGTTCATCGATTTATAAGAAGAGCCCTGGCCAGTAAAGGCGAAAGCTACTGGTGGATTACCAGAATTTCCAATAGGCTTCTTTGAATCGATATTCCCTAGGCGGGAAGCAAGCTGCTTCTTTAGGTGGCCCATATCAGAAGTGGCAATTGCTACACGATGGCTGTGATGAGAGCGACGTGCAGTCGTTGTGTAGGAAAGGTCGGCAAGGTTGATATCTGGATTGGCATTAAGGTGGGCAATCAGGCGCTCAATATTTCCTGTTAATGACCCTTTAGTCTTGGCGGAGATGGCGATAATATGAGTGTTGCGTGGATCGGCCTCGGATATGTCACGAGTTGGTGCCTCCTCTAAAACCATAGTAGTGTTCCCGCCAGCGGCACCAAAGTTATTAACAACTGCAAGTCGCTTCTTAGACGATGTTTGCGGCCAAGGGGTCATTTCCAAGTCGATATGGAGGTTGCGTTTGTCGAAGTCTTGGGGGAATCTGGGGTTGATCTCCGTTTTGATTCCGATATGTGGCGGGATGGATTTTTTTTGGAGCATGATAAGCACCTTGATCAATGCCGTTGTGCCCGCAACAGATTCACCATGGCCAACATTTGCTTTTACAGCACCAATGTGAAGGGGCTGATCCTTCCTACGTCGCTTGATGAGCGGAGCATACACTTCCATTATGCCCTTCATCTCCTCGTGGTCACCAGCTTGGGTACCGGTGCCATGGAGCTCAATATATGACACATCCAATGGGTCCACACCGGCCTGGCGAAGCACCTGGCGGGACAGATACGCCTGATGGCCAGCGTGGGGGTGGGTGATAGAGACGGCCTCGGCAGAATGGTTGGTTCCCGCACCGAGAATGACGCCCAAGATGTTGTCGTTGTCTGCTTCAGCATCTTCGAGTTTTTTAATAACAACAGACCCAACACCATCCGCACGGCAGTACCCATCAGCGGTAGAATCCCAAGTCTTGCATGCGTTGTGACCTTTAGTTAGGAAATGGCTCTTGCAAAGGCCACTGAAAACATCCGGGTTAGTCAGCACATTAACACCGCCGGTGACAGCCATATCTACATCGCCGTTCCAAAGAGCCTGACAAGCTACCTCGATCGCTGCAAGTCCGGAAGAGCAAGCAGTATCAATGCTGTAGCTTGGACCCGCAAATTTAAAAAAATAATTGATACGACCAGGGCCGAAAGCACGGCAACCGCCTGGAATATAGTATGTGCCTACATCTTGGCCTTGGTTGACCTCACGGTAGTCATCGGCAGCTTGTCCATAATATGTTCCAATGCGTTGCAACTGTGTGGCAGCTGTGCGATTACCGACGTACCCAGCTCGCTCCAGTGCCTCGTATGCCGTGACAAGAGCCAAACGCATCTGCGGATCGACGGCCTGAGATTCACGAGGAGACATGTTGAAGAAAGGCGCGTCAAACAAACCAGGCTCATCAATAAAGCAGCCATACTGTGTCATGGTCTTATTCTGCTGCTTACCGGTTGGGTCGTAGTGTGTGTCGATGTCGAAGCGGTCAGCTGGAATTCGACGTGAGACGTCAAGGCCTTTCTCTAGGATCTCCCAAAACTTCTCGGTATTTGTCGCACCTCCTGGAAATCTGCAGGCCATACCGACAATGGCCAGCTTAGACTGTGCAGTGCCGTGGGGTGTAGTATCTCTTGGTGAAACCTGAGAGATCCATGACATGAGACTGTTGATCGAGACGTCGAGATCTGGAACATTGCTCTTCAGGGTCATATTAAGGTCGTTAAGGGGAGTGGAGTTGCCGAAGCAGTGAAGCACTGCTTCCGCGGTAACGTTAGACTTGGCTCGTTCAACTATGCCACTGACAACATTATCCCAATAGATTGTTTGCGTGAGTAGTTCTGAGACAACGCATTCAAACATCCCCACAGCACTCTTGGCCAGATATGGCAAACCGCTGCCGGTCGATAAAACTGGAATAACTGGCGAAGAATTTGTGATAGCAGCGTTTAATGAACAGCCGTGAACGATACTATGTACATGGTCTAGACCGAAGATATGCGGCGCGTGGCAGAGACCGCCGTACACTGGCAGTGCAACGACCTTCGACTCGCGGAAGAACTCTGACTTATTAAACAACGCTTTTAACCTCGATGGTGGTCCGCTAACTGTGACTGAAGTCCGGCTGACGGCGCTGATAAATATTTTGCCAGTATTAGGAGTCTTCATTCGGGAATGCATGTCATCGAGCTCCTGATAAGCCGCAGCTGGGTCAACATTGTGAACCACGTACGCCCACGAATCTGGGCTTTCTGATAAATCGCGAGCTTCCAGGTTTTCCGAGATATCTAGGACATGAATGCCCAAGCGGAAGGCGAGACGGACCGCATCTGCGCCTGCCAGTGGTAAGTCGGCCAATGTTTTCGACAATGAGACGGCACTCGATGCTAGTAGGCCAGTGCCTAGGCCAGCAAGAGATGTAGTTGAAAAATCAAACAAATCTCCAGAGCGACTCTCGACATATCTAACAACGAGGGTTAATTATTTAATTCAAATGCATTCAACATATGAAACCACCCACCCAATGTAAGTTGCTAGCTGAACAACGATGAGCAACACCCCATCCACAGCCCCGCAGATTAGGCCTTCCCGAAGCTGGCTGTTTTCCGCCCAAGCCAATATAGTATTGAATGGCGGAATCAGTTGTTTCAGCTCAGTTGGTAGTTGGCGAACTTCGTCCTTAATAGCCCAGGTGGCCTCACGTATGAATTGGGCCAAGATAGGGAAATGCTTGTCCTTGCTATGGTTGTGCAGGCGGCGAAAAATGTCACCCAATTCATCTTTCGGAAAGTCGTTGCTAAAATAGACAATCTCCATCTTGCGATAACCCTCGTAGGATTCCGAATCCGTGGTTGGGGTATGTACGGCGGACATTAACGTGGATGGATGAGCAGTGGACGGTGGTGGAAGGAGAGGTGTAAAAATGGACAATAGGAGACACTCTGTCGATGGTCCAGATATAACCCAGAGTGTCTTCTGGAGATTGAGAGCCTAATCTGAAAACATAAAAAAAAACTGCCCTGCCATAGCGCGTCCAACCATTTTGTATAAAGCGTGGTTCTAAGTCGTCGTACCCACAGTCCCGCAGCCGGATCGGATGATTGATCCAACATAGGAACTGCATACTACCTACATCGCACCGCGCCATCTCCACTTCGCTATTATTCACTCACATTAGCAACGTTACTTTTGCTGTCGTCGTCTTTTGGGGGAATCAGGTTTTGCCCGAAAATACGAAAATACGGAAATAGAAAATAGAAAATACGAAAATACGAAAATACGGTACCTTACTGGCGCACTAGATGAATTTAGTACGGTCCGAAGACGGTCCGAAGACGGTCCGAAGACGGTCCCAAAACCGAGCAAATTGCTCAGACTCACTCAGACCGTTATAACTACGTATGGCAGGGTTAGCACAAATAATCATAATTTCATGACTACAGTTCTCACGCGATAAGTCGATATAATAATTCCTCTAGATAATATCGAGATGTAACTGCCGGCTCCCTTATGCTACTATTCCCAGTTTCCGTAAAGTCAATCAGAACTTGGAGGGCTTGTAGAACTGCTGTAAGGATGCCTGTCCCTCAGTGACAGAAAGGATCCGAGTCGGGCAGGTTACGGTCACATGATACGAGTTAAAGCAGGTTAGCCGAGTCGGACCCGTTTCAGCTACTTAAGGGGATTGACCCAACGGGGTCCCTCTCCCTCAGTGATGGAAGGTATCTGAGTCGGACAAGTTACGTCATGTGGTGAGAGTGAAGGCAGGTTAGCCGAGTCGGAGCCGTTTCGGGTACTTGAGGAGATTGACCCAACGGGGGTTCCTCTCTTCATCTTTTTTGTATCCTTCGTAGTAGACCTATAGGATAGCATCCGTTTAGCCTCCGACTCGCACTCTCATATGCTATTACTGTGAGCTGGGTGCCCTGTGTCCTTACAACTGCCTGCGTAGAATGAACCACTGGCAGTCTGAGCTCCTCCCCATCGTCATCATCTTGACCTTCATTAGGAGGCTGGATATATTGTTCAATGACCTCTTGTAGTACTATATCCCCCTCACTATCTTGTATACCCTCTTGTATTGTCTCCTCCACTGGGTTTAGAAAGTTTGAAAGGTCCATCGCATCGTGAATTCAGCCGTGCTGTTGTACTTGGTTGTAAAGGTCAGTAAGAGGCGGAATGTGCTCAAGAAGGAAGTTGGATCGGGTTTTTGATGATTGTGCTTTTGCGGAAGCAGTTGTAGATAGTCGTATTTGAGACATCATGATACCACGATCGGATGATCCAGCGAAGGGCAAGGTGTAAGTTAATAGTTTTAATAGAATCTTCATTGTTGTCGAAGGCGTTTAGCATGAACACAAGCCATTGTCGATGATAATGAGCTTTAAGGGAGGCAATAATGCCTTGATCAAGGGCCTGGAATTGACTTGTTGCATTTGCTGGTAGCCAGATAATTCGTATATTTGAGGGCAGAGGCATTGTTTCGACGGCAGCAATATGTGCTGAAAAGTTGTCCATTGTTAGCAGAATCTGTCTATGAGAGCCTATATGTAAATAGAAAGCTCTTAGCCACCTGCCATAATAAACTGATTCATCCAAGCCTTCTTGTTCCATCGCCAATAACCTCACATTGCTTCAACATTAATATACCGGAGTGCTCGAGGTCTTCTTACATAGGCCAAGATGCCTCAAAATCAGCTGTTTATGACGATTGAGCAGCGTCGCGCACTCCGAAACTGGTATGCTCACCAGTCACCAAAGCCTTCGCAAAAGCCTCTATCGACTGGTTCTTTAGAACCTTCAGCCATTGTATTCGACAGTCAACAGTCTCCGAATATTTGAGCTCTCAATATGCCAACCTCGATACAATACCTCTTAACACATCAGCAATCAACTCACTGTCGCAAAGCTGTTGCCTGGCCTGACCTTGAAGCAGTCCTCTTTGAATGGCAGCAGCTTATTGAAAGCAAGGGAGGAGTTACAAGCACCGATATACTACAACTACACGCTAAAACAATTTGGGAGCAACTTCTACAATACCACAACCAGCATACACCTCAATTCTCTCAAGGCTGGGTTTCGAATTTTAAAAAACGACATAAGATTAAGAGTTATACTCAACACGGCGAAGCAAGCTCAGTTCCTACACAAGCAGAGGAAGAAATGAAGGGGATACAGACAATAGCAGGGGAATATCAAGAGGAGGACATTTACAACATGGACGAAACTGGGCTCTTTTGGAAGCTGATTCCTTCGAAGGGTCTTTCAACAATATCACAGCCAGGATTTAAGGAGGACACGGCGCGAATATCAGTTGTTTGTTGTACAACTGTACAGGAGCTGATTGGATGCCACTTTGGTTTATTGGAAAGGCGTAGTAGGTATAAGATGATATCTGGTCAAATCAGTTCGATATCGAGTGTATCGTAGTTTTGGTGGGAAAATAAAGAAGTTAGCGTGAATATTGCCTAATCAAGTATCGACTTATCGCGTGAGAACTGTATTCAAATAGTCAAATATTATGTAAGCATGATTCTTCATAATCATGAATATTCCTGATTATGATTATGAGTTTTTCGATAATCATGAATATTCATGATTATCACATGATGTTAGAATCATGTGGCCTAAGTAATTATCTAGTATAGTAGAAAAGGAAACCAAATATATATTAATCTATCTAAATACTACTTAAAGTATTAATTTAGCTATAAATTCCTCTTCTAGATCCTCTTCTTCTTCTTTTATAAAATCCCAACTCTTTAAACAAGCTATTACTCTAAAAATGTCTTTAGAAAGCCTATTTCTAATCTTTGAAATAATAAGGCTACCTATACTACTACAGCTCTCTTATTCATCTTGTTATGTATAATGTAGCTTACTTAGCCCTATTTTCTTTAAACGAGGGTCTAGTAGTAAAGCTATAAATAAAGGTTTATAAGGTGTTGTTATTGTTGCTTTTGTTTTAATAAAAAAGTTAGTTAAGGAGGGAGTTAAAGGCTCTATATATACCTAGATTATAGATTCTAGAATATGCTATAAGTTATAGATATATTTAAAAGCATTTATAAGCATCTTGAACTCTCTAGAAGTTTGTAGAAGTTTGTAGAATTCTCTAGAAACATTTCAGTTTTCTTATTTTATTTCTTATCTTATTGCTTATATAAACTATACCTAATTAGGTGATAACTAAGCCTAATAAGGTATAGATTATAGTCATGATTATAATCATGATTATGATTAACGTACATGTATAGCGAACCGGCCAAACAAGCGAACTGGCCAAAATGATGCAGTGACAATAACCCCCAACTAAATGTTAAATTCCTCCACAACAAAACATGCTGCCAAAAAACGATGAAAGGCAATTACTGCTAGCTATCCAAGCTCTACAAAGTGACCCAAAGTTACACCTTCGAGCTGTAGCTAGGACCTTTTCTGTGGACCACCGTAAGCTAGGTCATCGATTACTAGGCATACCTTCACGACGCGATATCCAAGCCAACTCAGAGAAATTGATAAATTTAGAGGAATTAGTACTTGTTCAATACATACTCGACCTAGCTACAAAAGGATTTCCTCCTCAGTTGTCTATTGTTGAAGATATGGCAAATCGGCTACTTGCAACATGCGACGCTCCACGCGTCGGGTCGCGTTGGGCTTCAAACTTTGTTAAGCGGCGTGTAGAGCTCCAGACACGCCTCCAGCGCAAATACGACTACCAGAGAGCTAAGTGTGAGGACCCAGAAGTCATCCGTTGTTGGTTTGAGCTTCTACGCAACACAATTGCAAAATATGGCATCAATGAAGCAGATATCTACAACTTTGATGAGACTGGGTTTATGATGGGTGTTATCTCAACTGCTATGGTTGTGACAAGCTCAGACGGGCGTACAAAAGCAAAGAAGGCACAGCCTGGCAATCGGGAATGGGTTACAGTAATCCAAGGTGTTAGTTCTCAAGGTTGGGCAGTGCCGCCATTTGTCATTGTTGCAGGCAAAAACCACCTTGCATCTTGGTATGAGAACAGTGGATTTCCAAGCGATTGGGTAATTGCTGTTACAGAAAATGGCTGGACTACAAACGAGAGAGGCATGGATTGGATTCAGCATTTTGAGAAGCATACAAAGACCCGGAGTGTTGGTGGTTATCGCCTCTTAGTCCTTGATGGTCATGAGAGCCACCACTCAGATGAGTTTGAGGAATACTGCAAGGAACACAACATTATTACGCTTTGTATGCCTGCTCACTCTTCCCATATACTCCAGTCACTTGATGTTGGCTGTTTTGGCCCATTAAAGAAGGCTTATGGTCGGCAAATTGAAGATATGATGCGGGCTCATATTATTCACATTACTAAGGATGACTTCTTTCCTGCCTTCCACGCTGCATTTAACACTGCAATGACTGAAAGCAACATTCAGGGCGGGTTCCGAGGAGCAGGGCTTCTTCCATTAGACCCTGAGAGAGTGATATCTGCACTTGATCTTAAGTTAAAGACACCAACACCTCAAAGCTCCCGCCCGGGTACTGCTCAACCTTGGGTTTCCCAAACACCAAATAACCCAATTGAAGCCTCATCACAGTCTACCTTCATTAAAAACTGAATTGCACATCATCAGAATAGCTCTCCAACCTCAATCTATGCAGCTGTCGACCAGTTTACAAAGGGTGCATCGCAAATAATGCATCAATTAGCATTGTTAAAGGCAGAGAACCAGAACCTCCGACAGGCAAATGAAGTAATAACAAGCGCCGGAGGGCTAAAAGAACACCTCTACAGCAAGGAGGATCACTTAGTCAACAGGATGCGCAGGGTCTACAGGATAGAGGGATGTTGTGCAGCAAGTAGAGCAGGAAATAAGGGCGAGCAGTGGTCGCAAGCCAAGGGAAGAAATGCGTGCACGCCGCTGTGGGAAGTGTGGAGAGACTGGACACAATGCGCGCACTTGTCAGATTGTAATAGACATGTCTGAGGAAGAGGACTCCGAGTAGTTTCAATTGATTCCTAGTGTCATGGTGGATTTATCGTAATTTTTGTTGCAGGGGTAGATAATTGTGGCCGGTTCGCTTGTTTGGCTGGTTCGTTATACATGTACGTTATATGCTTTATAAATAATCATGATTATTATTAAGACTAAATAATCATGATTATAATTGATTTTCTAACCCTGAATGGAGCTAGGTGGGGTCTAATAGTAGTCTTGGATTTCCTACAGTTTCACAAAATGGAATCTTTTTTACTTCATCAGATGTATCTACAATATTTAGACAAGTTTGTACGTTGTGACTAGTTTGCTACAACATCTACAACAATGTTTTTGCAGCTTGGTTTGCTTTATATAACCCCTACTTTCTTACAAATCAGCTTATAATTATATATTAGCCTTTCTGATTATTCCCAACTATCCAACTATCCACTAGTTTCCCAACTATCCACTAGCTAGGTCAGCTACAGCCTAGCCCTACTAGCCCTATAACATGACGTTACATTACCATAGCTATAATATTAATATCCATCCTTTGTATAAGCCCTTACTTATTTATTGTCTAGCCATTTAACATAACAGTAATAACCTAATCTAGTAGCAAAGAAGCATTTTTGTACTAAGACCAAAGGTGGTTTTTCCCTATAATAATAATAAATGGCAATAGTGTATATCCATATAATCTATTTCCTATTGCCTTGCTATGTTATACAAGGTCTACTATTTTGTTTAGCATTTGTTACAACTATCTTAGATGATATTTAGCCTATTAAAAATCCTGTCTTGTCAAGTTGTATCTGTCTTCCTTATAATCTTATACTTGTTAATCATGTTTAGTATAAGCTAAAACCATCTGTCTTCTATCGTTTAGAAGTTAGCGTTACACATACAAGGAATATTGTAGATTTGTGTAACGTGACTTACACTTAATTTCGGGTTTGATTTAAGCACTTAAAGTGTAAGAATCATTCTTCTTTCTCAATGAAGTTGTTATGTTTAAAAAAAAAGTTATTTAAGTTTAAAGTCAAAAGTATGATGCTAAGAAAAAATCGGCGGTGAGCTTGTGTAGGCGACTCACTTGTGGACTACGTCATCTTACTACCTTCCATTTAGGACCGTCTTCGGGACTACCGTGTAGGTCAGCTAACCGTAGGATTACCTAGGCCGTCCTTGGACCCGTTTTTAATTATATGGCGCGCCGGAAAGGTAGGCTTTTACGCCCAAAACGACAAGTCTTTCTCGGGGGATTGCCTGGCTCCCCAGTTAGCTAGCGATGCCAGCCTAATGTCTCAGTTTCAGCTTGGGCTGAAGAAGCCGAGGTCGTCAGGGTTTTGGGGTTTCCACCAGGTCTACGAATAGTGTACGGCCCGTAGATTAGTTAGTAATTTCAATTGATTATATTCTACTGTTGAAGCTTCTGCTCCGTTGCGCCAAGGTGAGAAGTTCCAGCCATGGATATCACCCAATTTATCCAACTTTGGCTCCGGTCCCCCTGTTTCCGGTACTTCCCCTAACAGCTTATTGTTTAATCAAACCAAACCAACCACACTCTGGTATTCACCCGAAATGCCCGTAGTTCATCCCGACAATTACCTATTATGTCTCGAAATTGATATGGAGTCATAATGCGATGCACCACCGGGCTCCGAGCCTGAAAGATCCCCTGGGCACAATGCCCATTGCCCCCTTATCTTAATGTCAACCTAAAGCTGTGTTTGCATTCATGATATATTCTTTGAAAGCATATATACTTGTGTCATGGAGAACGACAAGGGCGGATATAGGCAGATTAATAAGTCGTTGAATATCTGTGCCTTTGATGAGTACCTTAAAGGTCAGACCGCACGGCTACCGCATATCGAGAGCGTTGAACAACTTACTCCGAGAGTGCTTCGCGTTCTTGGCCAGAACCCTGGAAAGGTAAATGGTCATCCTCCTATCCGACATCTAGCTCTAATATAATATGGGAAGCTAATACTTCTGTGCAGTTTACGCATCAAGGGACAAACACATACATTGTCGGCACTGGCCAACGACGCCTCATCATTGATACCGGTGGCGGTGAACCAGCATGGGCCAAACTGATTGCTTCAACGTTTATATCAATGAACATCAGCCTCTCACATGTTCTGCTGACCCATTGGCACGGTGACCATACCGGCGGAGTTCCAGCTCTTCTGCTCCTATACCCACATCTTACGAATTCCATTTACAAGAACGAACCAGACCAAGGCCAACAGAACATCACCGACGGACAGATATTTTCCGTTGACGGCGCAACAATTCGTGCTATTCATGTGCCCGGACATTCAGAAGATCACATGTGTTTTATCTTAGAAGAGGAGCAGGCAATGTTTACAGGCGACAATATCCTCGGTCATGGTACCAGTGCTGTAGAAGACCTAGGCACCTTCATGGCCGGCCTGCAGAAGATGGACGCCCAGGATTGCCATATCGGTTATTCTGCTCATGGCGCCACGGTCACCGACTTGCCAGCCAAAATTGTCGGGGAATTAGATAACAAGTTGCGGCGCGAGAAGCAAGTTATGAATGCGCTTGGCCGAGTTCGTAGCCGCGGCGAGAAGAGTGTCACCACCAAGAACCTGGTAACCGAGATCTACGGCGAGTCGCTTGACGAAGATACGAGGATACTCGCATTGGAGCCATTTATTGACGAAGTGCTACGAAAGCTAGCGAATGACTGGAAGGTTGCATTCGAAATAAGAAGAGGCAAGAAAAAGTGGTTCTCCGTAGAAGAAGTGGAGGAGGCAACCACGCAGCGGTTTACAGCTCTGAAAAATCCACCAGCCGTAACTATTCAAGCTTAAATCACGGAAATGAATATACTGAAGCATTTATATGGTAATCTATGGCATAGCAGTAAACAATAGAAATATAATCAGGACAAGTAATAGAGTCAAATGGAGCCTCTTCACTTAACTTCACATAATCACTGACCCATGGCTATGACGCATGTGTAAATACTTTCCAATTTTAGACTAGAAGCTACAAGGCTCTCGAGCGTCTTGTATATGAGAATGATAATATTGACTTATTTTAGAGTTATTTGCCCAAGTATTAGGTTTCTACAAATTATCCCACTTTTGCAACTTTATCACTCGCTCTTACACCTGTACTCACTTAATAACATTAACTTATTACTCACGCAATACATAACCCCTACCGAATCATAGTAGCTTCTAAACTATAGCACGTTCGGAACAATGGGACAATGGGACAATGGGACGTTGCGTTCGGGGAGAAAGCGTACCTCGCGGATTACTCGCTTGCGGTCCGTTTCTATTTTCTAGTCAAGATGAACCAAGTCAAATGTGGGACTTGGGGACTGGTCTAGTGAACTACTATGTTTTTACGATGATTTGCATAGTTTTCAAAGATAACAGCCACCCCGCACTACTGGTCAGATCTAGAGATGCTTGCGGTTCTCATATTGGATTAATTGTCACTTGAATTAAAACGAAGCCTAATAAGCTATCACTGCGGTTCCCTGCGCTCCATGTCATTTTATGCCCATCTAAGCAACTATCCACTCAAATAGCCCGAAATTAATATGCCTGGTACTTAATAGTTAAAGCTAGGATGACGCCATTGTTTGAGCGAAGGTGATTAGTGACAACGAGTTTCCCAGCGTTGTCCCCAACCGTCTTTATAATGCTCAGGAGCTCGGTCATTTCCATCTCGCTCTCGTTGGCCACTTGGAGCATGCTCAGGTCCCGTGCGCGTGCCACAGCCTCGATCTCGGGGTTGGGAAGAGTACCTGGCTCGGGAAGGAGTCGTGTCGTCAAGATAAGCATGATGCCCCCGCTGGTACGAAGCACACCTAAGTAATCATCCAGTTCTGCTTTAATCGTCAATCCCGAAGATGCCGCAGGTACGTGAACAATATAAACAGCAGCATCTGTCACAGACTGCGGCATGCCCATGGCACGATAGGTAACCGTGATAAAAGGGTTTGTGGGGGAAGGGTTAGAGCCAGAGCTAGAGCTATCCCGGATAGAGCTTCCCAGCACTGTATTTTGCCATATGTAGTCTTGACCTAGCAAAGAAGATTGTGTATTGTCGATTTGCACGACCAACCGCAAGCTTGGGAACATTTTGGAAAGAGAACTTGCCATCGAGGTCGACTTTGCGCCTACCTGCGGCCCAGTGTTAGTTTAGTATGATACGCAAATAGACTATATTCAGCTCACCTCGACTATGCACGCATTACCAAGGTTTGACCAGTTGAGCCGCGATAGCACTTCAATAATTTCTTCCTCCTGGTGCAACCCCGCTGCGTGGCAAAGGTAAGCAGACCATTGACGACGTAGCTTAGAGCGTTCTTGGATAGCCACATGAAACGGTCGCACCGTATTGAGAGCTAAGTTGTATGCCCTCTCGGTGGCACTCGACGAGGCTCCAAAGCGCTGCGTTGCCTGCGGCATCTGCAATGCTGTGGGAGTAGCCAACTCGGCAATAAACATCGTAGCATCAACTAATGACTGGTTGGATATGAATTGCACCGAGAGGGGGCTGTGGGACACAAAGCCCGGTATCGGTTCCCGCAGAAATCCGCATGTGGCCGTCAGACGGATGACGCGAACCAACTGGCTCTCGGGAACACCTACTAGGTCCGCTAAATCCTTGATAGGCAAGCTTTCGTCAAACGGGATGCACGCAAAAACCTGGAACTCCGCTAGCCACCGAAGACAAGCAAGGATTTCGATCTGGATTATGTAAGTTGAGACGAACAAAATAGAAAGGGTGGGGGGGCAATGGTGAGAAGTACTTCTTACCTGGCGAGAAAAATCCTGGAGGAAGTCTGCTGGTTCACTAACTAGAGACTTGATTGCTGCAATACTGGCAAGAATACTTGGCTTTGCTCTTGTGAATAACGCTTGATCCTTGTCTATGTCAGTGTCAACACTTGTCCCCAGCTGATGGGAAGAATCGGCTCCTCGACGGTTATCGATAAGGCTCTTGATAGCCGCGGCGAGCTGGTCGCTATGACCATTGAGTTCCGTGAATCTATCCATAATAATGCTAGAGTTGTATTGTACAAATCAAAGGGGACAAAATCCTGCGTCCAAGGGCCACGGTAGAGAGGGGGACCACATTCCCTCAAATTGTACGAATCTTGGAATATTGGAATGACTGGTAGGGTTGGAGAACGCCCCGAGACGAACGATGACGGATATTTCCCGTTGTTACCTGGCGGCTTGGCTAAATATCGCATCTACCAAAATTTCATCACCAATCGATTTAGGTTACGGAGCTAGATAAGGCAGTGGCGGTGGCTGTGATCTACGGGGGATCATCGTGCCAAACAACAAGATCGATCGCATCAATCATCTTCGTTCTGCTAGGTCTGGTAACGTAAAGTTTATTCGAAGGCTTGGCGGTACGATCTGCCGGCGCTAGCGGCCCCTCCGAGACACCTTAAATAGTGGAGAATTAACGGTGTAATGGCGGGTCAATACTCAATACCAGGGCAACTTCCAATCCCCCGTTGCAGCAAGTCAGCCTTTTTACGCCGAACCCGTCTTATCGTATTAAGATATAATTATGCCAATATGCACATTATCTGTGATTACCTGCTTTGTTCACATGTAAGATTCTTCCGGCGAGTTTCACGGCACTTGGATAGTCGGAGCTAGTGGAGGTGGATTGGTTTACGGGCCCCAAATGATAATGAAACACACTGAATTGGTATTATTTTAACTATACGGGCTATTGCATATACGAAGACTCGACGGTGTAATTGTTACGTTGCTACCGCATTTCCTGCAAAAGGCTGACGAAGCCTATAATTGCTCCGAATAACGGAAACACAGACCGCATAACATGCAACCACGCCCACTTCAAAACTAGAGCCCTTGCAAGGGTCAGCTATGTCGCCGAATTTCTCGACCCCATCCGGAATAAGGTATGATTTGTTTGCACCACGGCAACCCAGGTGAATGGCACCATAGAAATTGTCAATGTGGCTGCCAAGCATATCGGTACCATTGCTTGTGGCTCGGGGCTCTTCTGCTTAAGGATACATACGCATAGATCCCAAAAATCACAATACATAATGCGGGTATGTACATGTGACCGTAACGATAGAGTTGAATCCATTGCCGGAGCAACTGTTCGGTGTTGGCGTTGGTATCTAAAAATACAGGGACAGCAAATGCTGAAAGGCACATCATAGCGCCTGCGTCTAATAGTTAGACAAGGTCGATATATCATATAGGGCGGATTGCCTTTATTTGATAGAAAGGATGCCAAAATAACAGCTATGGCTGGCACGCCGACCCTTACTAGCAATGGTTTTAGTATCAAGTTTGGTGTGCATGGTGTTTTTATTCGAGATTTTAGACAGCGGCTGAGAACTTTTCTTCTACCGCTAATTGACGCTATTTTAACTTATCACAAGTTCAAATTTGTCAACATATAATACTTCTGGGCTCCTGCCTTAATATCGTGTGGCTTGTGTGCTCAGTGCCCTTCAGGTAAAGTAAGGTGTAAAGACATAGACCCATTTCAGCGACTTTTTCGTAGCATGTGAGTTATCTATTTTGCGATGGTCCGAATGGATTGTGTTAATCTAGGCTAGGATGACGATAGGCTGGGCTGAGGAATTCGTGAGGGTCGGTGGGGTAGTGGTCAGCTTCATGGATTGCTGGATATCCTAATTAGCGCCAAGGATGCCGTTTTCGACCATGAGAATCAAATTTAATTAATTATATTTATTATCTTTAAATAAGAAGATCCCTAGAAAGTTTGGTACGAGACTCATAATCTACGTCAGGTATGCCTCTGAATACCGAAGGTTTTGCCACCGTTGTACAACAGCGATTGAAATTCCAGCAACTGCTGTGGTACCCTCCTTTAAAATGGTACACTGATAAGGAAGGCCGTTCTAGAATAATAAATATTCACGAACGAATTAGAACATTGTGTCTTACCCACCTCATCCATCGCCTCGTATAGCTCCACAAGCATAGCGTATTCAACTGTTGTGCCCCGGATATAGAAGTGATCGCCAACGAGTGCATGTCATCTGCTTTCGACTGATGCTACCTCTTCAAGACTCAATATAGATAGCACATACTCGAGTAGCCACCTGACCACTTGCTATTGGCCCACTTCTTGTGACTAGCGGTAAGGTTGGCATGCTCGTATGTCACCATTTTATAGGGGATCGGATTGGAGTCATGGCAGTTCCCGCCCAGCCACCAAGCCACATTATGAACATATACTCTGAAATGGAATCATATGCCTGTCAAGTACGTCGTGCTTACGTCCACGTGAACTTCTGGCATATAATTTGTTCGGCGGGTATAATTACTTGGAATTGCTTATTGATAGAATGCATATAGGGAAGTTTTGGTTTTAGACCCATAGTTTAGAATTATAATGCCAAATGTCTATTAAGCTATATACTGTGCCCGTTTCTCTAGCTCCGCCTCGAGTCTACCGACTCACCCCTTAGGTGGAGAATACACAGGGTTTCAATCCAAATAATCATCATATGTCCGACATGTACTAATTTAAACTTGACGTAGCCCGTTGATTATCTCTGTTGACAGTAGGCTGCGCACTACTCGCCCAATACTCGGCTCACTCACTCAGTGGGTTACTCAGCTGGGTGAGTAGCTGAACCTTTCACTCGACTCGGTGAGTGAGGCCAATACTCAGTTACTCTGTAAAAACCCAGTGAGTACTCGGCTGTCACGTGTAAGATATATGCATTACGTGAACAGTCCCTCATACGATTAATACTGTTTTATGGTTACAGTTGTAAGTTAACTTAAAGTATTACATTTATCAGCATCACTCTACCATCTCTAATAAGCTGTGAGAACGAATCACGTATATTCCTCTATCTAAGTACCACGATTATCAGAAGATTATCAGAACACTATATTATATATGCTCAAGAACATCTTTCCACCTTGCTTGATGAGGCCGGCCAGACCTACTAATACCTAAAGTATTTATAGGGTCTTGACGAGTAGCTTGAAAGATATCAAGTAGATCTCTTCCAGTCTTCCGAGGGCGTTGGATAGGCGTTGGTGGCGAGGACGGCATATCCTTATCTTCATCGTCATGAATAGTTGGAAGTATAGGCTCCTCATTATTACCATCTTCTCTTATATCTTCATTATCTGGGATATCGTCATCTGGGATGTCGTATAAGGTCTCGTTAAGACGGTCAGCCCTATCTCTTTCTTCACCTTGTTGGTAGCGCATTTGTCGTTCTTCATGTGCAGCTTGTGATAAGTCTTGCTGTTGCTGTGGCCGCTGAGGATTAAACGGAGGATATTGTACCTTTGAATATGTCTCTCGGATATGTGTATTTGATCGTGGTTCTTCTTCATCGCTGATATATTGTAACTCGATAGAATTGCACATCCGTTGTCGTTGTGCCTCATACTCTTCTTCGACTTGCTCCTCAGTCATATCAACGACGTCCATCATATCTGCAAGCTTGTCACGATGACCTTGACGATTCTTGTATTGTCGAGAGTAATATATAAGCATAATACTCTTAATCGTCTCAGGATTAAGTTGACCACGTCGGTGGCCACATACGTCCCTTGCGGCACTAAAGACTCGCTCAACTCCAGACTCAGCAGCAGGAATACAAAGTATATCACGAGCCATTGCTGATAGACCAGGAAATTGCTCTTCCTTTTGTTGCCAAAATAGCAATATCTTTGTGTAGATATGTGCTATATAAGTTAGAATAAGATTATCAGAAGATTACCAGAAACTTACGAGCATCAAGATAGAGATCAGCCTCATTCACATATTCCTCTCGCTGGCCCCGAGTCCCATTTAATGTCTGACTTTGCTGCAATACTAAGGCTAATGGATCCATATCTGCATCTCGTAATCCTGATTGACTCGCAACTCGCACTGTAGAGTACTGCTCTTTATAAAGAGTCCTAAACTGTTGTTCAAACTCTGTCTCCCAATTTCGTATTGAAAAGTCAAGCTTGCAAACCTTTTTGTTAAAGTGTGAGAGCTTCACACTAGGATTTAAGATACTAGCAAATGCGAAGATAGATCCAGTATTTGTGTATAGCTTGTTATAATACTTCCTAATCTTCTTCTCTGCAGCATCGATTGCTAAAGTCATCTTTGCTGCCCATGGATATGTCTTATGCCGTAGCCGGTGCCGAGTTCCTTCAAGCGTTGATAAGAGTTTTTGATATACTCCAAGTGTATAGCAGACAGTAGGTCCGGCTGACGATCCAATGTTTGTTGTAAAGAAGTTGAATGGCCTTGTAAGATCAATGATGTATTCGATGTGCTTCCATTCTAGCTCGCTAAGTCTGAACATGTGAGCACCATGATCGCCTCGAGTATATTGATTGATTGTTGACTTGAGTTGCTGTGCTCGCAGAAGCATATGGCATGTCGAATCCCATCGAGTTGATACATCTTGAATAAGTCGAAGAAGCCTCTGAGATGATTGACCCCGGTTCATGTTTGCCTTTTGCAAAGTCATAAACCTGTTCCTTCGAGTTTGACTTGAATTAACAAAGATAGTGAGCTTCCGGAGCTATGAGATATTAGAAAAGACTACCAGAAGTTTACCAGAACTAACAAGAGAATATATAGCTTTCCAAGTGTAAATCCAATACCCTTGTCCTTCTGCAACTTTGCAAGGCCCTCCATCTGATTCTCTTCTTCCCAGTTCATTAAGATCTCTTGATTTGTTGGCGTAATCCGGATTCGACCAAGGAGAGCACTAAGGGCAAGTTGAATAACGTGAGCTAGGCAGGGTATGTGTTGTACTTTTCCTCCAATGAAATGCTCGTTGTCTGCAATACTATCAAGCATTATTTCCACATCTCTCATCATTGAAGTGTTGTTTGACGCATTATCAGTCGTAATGGATATAATTCGTCCTTCTAAATGCTGCCTTGTGATAACTTTTTCAAGTATTCCACATAACTCAGCACCAGTATGCTCTGTATATATAGGTTCAAACCCAATCAAGACCTCTTGCATTTTACAATGACGGTCGATAAATGATGCAATAACACCCATAAATGAAAGTCGAGTAACACTTGACCAACAGTCGAGCGATAATGCAATCTTTGAACCAGGAACAACATCTTGTAGCATCTCTTCTTCGATTTGTGTGAGCTTTGTTGTTAAGAGGTTTCGAATAGTTGTTGCTGAGGGTAGTGGATAGTGAGGATTCTGTAAGATAGCAAGCCTTTTCCATTCAGGATCCTCGACTGAGCGGAACGAGCTATGAGTTGAGATAACTGTGTATAGAACTTGTTCGTAAAATGCCTCTTGTGTGAGAATATGATCCTATTATAGATATTAGCCTATATAATTCTGGTAATAATCTGGTAATCCTTACCTGTTGAGGTCGCATCTGATTGATTCGCATTTGATAGAGACTATCCTTACCCATCCGTGACTTCTTTTTGCAAATGTCTGATGCAAGATGTGTTGCCATAGACTTTGGGCCAGCAGACTTGATTGCAGGATGCGTAAGGGCCTTCGAACAATAGGTACAAATGACACATGGTTCTCCAGAAAGCCGGTCTGCTCCTTGGTGATAAATTCTCCAGTATTGAGAACTCCGGTTGGTTGAATCCCATGCAATCTTCGTAAGGAGTTTTGTAGTATGATCTGAGTGTTGTTCATACCATCGTGATAGCTTCCACCACTCAATGAATACATCGTGTGTATCCTTAGTCCATTTGATGAATTGGTTTAATTTGCCAGTATATTCGAGGCCCGCAGGGATTTGATTTAATGAAGGTAGTCGTTGAGAAGAGGGAAGAGAGTCTGAGAATATATTAGAAATAGGATTGTCAGAGTCAAACAACTCTGAATATTGCGATGACATTTGGCAAGTAGCAAATTGTTTGATTATCAGAAGATTACCAGAAGTCTGGCTACGATGAAATACTTAAATCTCTATAGCCCCTATTCGCGTCGGAAAATCAAATACTCCATTTCTCTCCTCTACTCTAACTCCAGAAACAACATATCCTGTGCAGCTGATACCTTAGCCCACTTTTCCTTATCAAATTTCTTAGAGTAGACAAGTAAGAACGCCTCTTTGAAGCTAGAACTATGAGTGGAGACTTGTAACCATCCGTTGTCGACAAGATTGTAAGACTTTGGGTACCACTGCGCAGGTCCTGGTAATTGGGCCCACTTTCCAAACTTCCAAGCTGTAAAGTTTGTCCAAACTGCCTGCTCGTACAAACAGAAATATTTATGTGGTGGGATAACGTTGTGAAAAGTGCTATAATAAACAATTAGTATCTCTAGAAGATTGCTAGAATGATCAGAGACGTACCCTTCTTCTACATCAATCCATGGCATATATTCAAAGAGATGCTCGCTTCTTTCTCAGCTTTCCAGCCTTTCTCGTATATGAGCGGATACAGCTATCCCAGAAATGTTGCCACTTGCGGAAATTGGACTCTTCATGGGCCTATCAACCATTAGTATTACCAGAAGATTACCAGAAGATTACCAGACTATGAGGTACCAACATCAATGCGTGCTTGAGTTAAGAGAGCCTGGATGCTAGCGATCTCTTCATCAGAAAGCTCATCTGGTAGAACAGCCTCGTCATTTAAAATATCGTCGCGCCGTAACATAAGCTCCAACTCTAAATCGTCTTCAACCTCAGTATCCTCCCATTCGCTGTTATGATCGTCATCGATTGGGATACTGGTGATACCCTCAAATGCAGCAAGCTCAGACAGAAGTTGTGGCGGAGTAGATGGTGGGGCTTGTGGAGAAGAAGAAGGGGCGCTAGTATTCTTGACTTTCTGATTCGCAATGCAAGATGCATGGGTGCCCTTTTCAGTCCTGTTTATAGTTAGATTAAGGCTACCAGAGATTACCAGAAGGAACTTACCGAACACGAATACGCTCAACCTTCAATTCATTCTGTAGACGTGTCTTGTCTTCAGCAGAGGCAGCGATATACTTTGCAGACTTGTATAACTTCTTTAAGTAGTAGCTCAGATCGCCATGGTCAGCCTTGAGTGCTAAATGAACAGCCTTCTCATCTTCAGTAAGGTTGGAGACGCGGTTGCGAGCTTTGATAGTATTCAAATTAGTGGAGAGTTCTTCAGGTGCCTTGCGTTTCGCCATGCTAAACACGTGATTAGCAGAAGATCATCAGAAGTTCTGACTGTAGAATCAAGATAATAAACTTACTTGAGGTCCTAGTGAAGAGGTAAAGCGCAAAAGAGAAGAAGAATGTGTAGATCGGAACGTAACCAAGGAAGGTGGTTGGTTGTAAGGTTGTTGTTTTTTTAAAGTTGCAAACAATTATATTCGTCAAGGAATATTCACCTGCAAATAATTACTGTTCTAAACAACACTACAACGCGTACCTTCAAATAAAACACATACCTTTCAACCTCTACCTCTTTCTTTACTCTTTCTACAACATCCTTGCTACAAACTCACTGTAAGTACATATATCTTTTGATCTACTTCTTTGTCTTGTGTATACTTCACTAACTCATCTTAATGTTAGCAAATGGCTCGTATTAAGCAAACTGCTAGGAGATCAACTGGCGGCACAGCACCAAGGATGCCACTTGGATTACAGGCTGGCTCTAGGCTTGGTGGAAAGGGAAAGGGAAAGGAAAAGGCTGTGCGCACAGCAAGAAAAGCTCCAGTTCGCTCATCTCAAGCTTGCAACAATCATGCTCAGAAGGCCATGCGCCGTGCAAAGTCTGGTAAGAGGATTACCAGAGGATTACCAGAACTCTCTAATAAACATATAGGCACCAAGGCTCTCCGCGATATCAGAAGACAGCAACTTGATACTCGCCTGATTATTCCAAAGCTCTCATTCCAGCGTCTTGTTAGGGAAATCGCACAAGACTTCAAGTCCAATCTTCGCTTCCAGCAATCTGCTATCCTAGCTCTCCAGGAAGCTGCCGAATGCTTCCTCATTCGAGAATTTGAGAGTATGATACTTGAACATAGTGACAGGGACATACTAACAGTTATAGTGACAAATCTCCTTGCTATTCATGCGAAGAGAGTGACAATTCAGGCAAAGGATATGGTATTGGTTCGGCGTTTGCGGGATATGATGTTTAATCATGGAGCTGTAGGCTTAATCGATGGAAATGTCTCTCACCCAGGAATGAAGGTTAGATAAGTTCTGGCAACCTTCTGGTAACCTGGTACCTAAAGGCAAAGGTTATAGTGTGGAATAGGATATCAACGACATGGGAATGGAGTTATTGAGTTATGGCGTTTTACGATATCGATATCAATGTGAAGTCACGATCACACCCCCTTTTCAATGACTAATCAAACACGTGATATAACTGGGTTGCCAAGACCTATACTAGGTACCCGGCAAGTGAGTAATCCTCATTCAACAATACTCGGGATATGAGTGAGTAACTCAGCTGGGTGAGTAGAAATTCTACTACTCGACTCATGAGTACCCAGTGCGCAGCCTAGTTGACAGAGTACTCAAGCTCTTGCGAACATCTCTCTCCATTTGGTCCAAGGTGCCAGCCAGGATAGAAGTCAACGCCATTCTGTCACTATCTCCTGCAGCCCTAGGACGGCCCCAGTACCTCATCTTCGGAGCTATATTTTGACCTTCTCTCTCCTTTGGCCCTTTGAGTTTCGGTGACAGCTGGTTCACTAACCTCTGCACGCGATGCAGCTCACCAAGAACAATCTGAGCAGCCACACGCTCGCTGACACGGTCGTCATACGATCCATTGGGGGCATGACTTGGCGCTCTCATCCAGTCGTCGCTACCAGAAGTAGTGCTGATCGATAGCCTTACTGGATTGTCAGCTTCTGGCTCGCTTTTTCCAGTCTTGTGGGATTGTGCCTGCGCCACAGTGGCGTATCGTTCCAATACCTTCAGCACGATCATGGAGATGACTGTCAGCAAGAAGCTATCTTCAACGCACGAAGAACATGCAAGTTTGCTACTGACAACCTCCATGCTTTGCTTATTTTCGAAGACGACAGCCTGCGCTGAGGCAGCATTAGCAGTTTTTGGCATGTCCGTGGTATCCGGACTAGGAGATTCCGTGCGAAAAGAGGTTGAGCCAGTGGAAAGCTTCTTCAAGAGATCCAGTGCCTGCATCAGACATCCGCACGACGAGGTTTCGGTGATGTCCGATATACTCGTCTTCCCAGTCCGCAGCGAATGGATATTGGAGGCAGTTGATGACGCCGCGCTCGATGTGCTCAATAAATCAAGTGACAATGGTGTGTCCAATGAAGCATGGTCAAAATCGATCCTCTCGGCGGGCATGAGCAGCGACTCAATATCATTTGGTGTTTGCGTGATGCTACCAGTGATGCCACCGCACTCCATTCCAAGAAGGTCAAACGGAGAGTCCATGGCTGACATGGTGAAATCCATGTCGTTGCCCTCAAATCCAAAATCTACTAGACCGGAGAATATGCCGACCTCGCCAGGTACAGAAAATTGTGCTGCATTTGTTGCAAACACACTCTCTCGTCTTGGAGACGCCGGGACGCTTAGGCTTAAAGGTGTCATAAGGTAGCCATCGGTGCCATACGAATTGGTTGGAATTATTGTGCCTCCTTTTGATAGCAGGCCGGCCGCGGGAGTGGGTTGCATCTCTCGAGGTGTCTCCCACTCCATAGACCGACTGGTCTCGGTATTGGATTTAGTATTGGGGTTAGAGTTGGAGCTGAAGCTTGTTCCAAGGCTCCCGCTGGACTGGCATCGACTTGTGCTGCTCCCCGTGCTGCTCCCTGTGCTGTTGCTTGTGTTGTTGCTTGTGTTGTTCTCACGCCTGCGCCCAGGACGTTTAGCCAAGAAGTACTGGCATGTGATGCCACGGCATTCGCATTTTGAGCATGATGGTTTTTCTTTGGGACATTTAACCTTGGAAATGGCACAGGCATGGCAGCTATCGCGAAGCTTTGACCGTGATGATATCTGCTTACGCGTCCGATTAACTTGGTTGTCGGATTCTAAGTCCAACATTGCGTTTCGTTGGATCGCACCGAGGGCGGAGCCCCGTATAGTTATACAGACAGCACACAGGCGACACTGCGCAGTGTCCTACCATAAATAATTCAAAGTTCTGATAAGAGGACTATCTCAGCTAGGGAGGCAACTAGGTTACGAGTTGGGTTGAAAAGGATTCAACAATGACCTGACCTTGAGCTTGTAACTTATACGATATGCGCATTCCGAAGCTAGAACTTACATAATTCAACGGCGAAAGGAGGTGCAAAAATGTCTTACGGCTGCTTTCGAGCTGAAGAATTCCAACGGTGTTATGCCCCACGTGTGAGATCCGGACTGGAAACGTAGACTCAGTGTCTTAGGATAGATACTCAGCTGAGCCTTCAGCTGAGCAACGTTCCGTGTCACAATGCATGGTGCATGGTTAGTTACACTCATGCTAGGTTTAACTCAGTCAGAAGATTACAGCATTTCTACTCGCGTGGAATACCTTCGGCGCATGAGCTTTAGAGGGTGGTCGCACGACAGTATTTCACCGTTGTGTTAAGTATCTGTATTTCTTTGTCTGAAATCAAGTCTAAACTGACGCCAGATATTCCTCGCCGAAGGGTGAGTCTATGCCAGCATTTTGTGTATAGAAAATAGATTCATCATAATAGTTAACTGGTAGATCACACTTCACTCTGTAACCGAAATCTGGACTTGCAACAAATGGTCTCTTGAAAGTAATTATCCTCTACCTCTTTAAGAGAAACATGCTAATTTCATAAGGGACAAGTCCATGGCTCAGTAAGCTGCAGCGAGCGGATGACGATTGTTTCTGGGATGATAACCCCGAGTTGATAATCTGACTCATAAATATCATCGGGGTGTCCGAATCAATAAGCCTTTCCTACGCGGCCAAACTACACAGTACTTTTGAAGGACTCGTATAGTTCCTAGTCTGGCGGCCATAACAGACGGTTGCCGGGAATCCGCGGAACCTTGGAACAGTCTATATGGTCCCAGAAATTGTTCGAGGTCCAGCTCCAACGACCAATACGAACCTAAATTACCAACAGATAGAACAGCCTAGTTAATCGATAAAAAACTGAATTTGGAGCACCCCCTTGCTGGCTCTTCGCATGGTGGACATTTACGCACTCTCTCAGTACCACATATAGGGCCGAAAAGACTGGTGGACTATTCCTAGTGTAGTAATACTACCTACTGGCTTAAACATCCAACTCATCCGATGACGACGAAGTATCTGAACAACACAAAGGTCACACAGTTGCATGTGACGTGCAGTCGTCATGAGTAAATGGTTCCTCGCCTCTCTGCATCCGCCACCGATTCGTCGCCGCCATCGGCCCCGGCAACTCTAAATAGCCACCCCCATTTCTTGAGAAACACTTCCGACATCTCCTACCCCGTGATATCCCAAGGCGGCGACCACGCAATAATGCCGCGTCGCTCGACCTCGTCGTCGGGAAAGCCTTCGAACAGCCCGCCGATGCAGTCGGCCCAGAGCTCGTCCTCATCGAAGGTGCCAGCGGCCCGGATTAACCGGTCCCGCCCCTCGGGACACGGGAACATGTCGATCCAGTCGCCGTGCGGCCTGCGGGACCGTTTGTTGAAGGGCGGTGGGTAGGAGTGATAAAGGGAGTAGTTCGGGCTTGGTGGGGTAGGGGATGATGTGGATAATTTCTTCGCCACAGTCGAGCGGTGTGACAAGGATGCCTGAGATTAAAGTTCGGTTGACAGCCAGGGCGCGGAGGGCGTTTAACTGGAGGAGTGTGATGAGATGGTCTGGACAGAGGGGGAAGATAATGTTAAACTGGGCTTTTCTCTGTTTGTCTGGCAGCAAGGCACCCCTCGCATTGTATAGTTCCTTAATACGGGATGCTGGCACGACGGAGATGGATTGCTGCTTAATATCCCAGCATTCTACCAGCTCCTCTGATTTAACCGGTGTCTTATTTTCAGCCAGGGCTTTGCGTTCTCCTACTCGACTATCAGTTTCGAGAATGGGATACCCCTTGATCGGACTAGTCCTGGCTCCTGGCTCCTGACTCCAAACTTGGACGAAAGGGAAAACAGGGTTTTACTAACGGTATGCCCTTGTGATGAGTCTAGTCTGTGCCCTTCTACGTGCCGCGGCATCCTTGGTCCCAGTCCAGTCGTCTTCCTTGCTTATTGCCTGTATGCAGTGAGCAAGCCACGTCGTCTTGGTGATTCAAACGCGGTCTCATACGTACCTCGGCCAATTGTGGCCTCGACGCGAGTTGGTAGCGCGGTGCTGCCGGATTTACAGGCTGGTACGTACTAATCATGATGCTATCCGGCATATTAATTACGGTGATAATGAATCTAGTGATGGACGAGGGAAGTTTCTTCAAATCGGCCAAGGCAGTTTTATGTAGCCTGCTCACAATCACCATGACGAATCTGACTACTATACGCGTATGAAGATTATTTTGCAGCTAAGACGTAGACAGGCAGTGGTTAGGAGCTAGGGGTTAGGGGTTAATCGTCGGATCCGCCTGGTCGCTTCGCTCCCAGTCGGAATAAGCAAGTTGTCTTGTGGGAAGCAATATGTCTTGCCCCAACATTTAATTTCCACAACAATTCTATAACGATTCAACAACATGTCTGACCACAAGACTACACTTCGTGAAGCAAAGGAATGGCTCCTTGTAAATCCTTCTGAATTAGTTTCTACTGCTGCAACTATTTTCAAAGTCAAAGCAGATACCCTACGTCGATCAATCCTCCGAGAAACGAACACAACAGCTCAACAAGAACAGCATGGAGGGCACAATAAGCTATTATCAAACACTCAAGTTGTCGCAATCAAACAATGGATACATCGGCAATACGAGAATGGAGCAGGTGCTACAAAGCAGATGATATATGCTGCTCTCTGTCATATACGTGATCCATTACCACCGCCATCAGATAGTTGGATGAGAAAATTTGTCCAACATGAGCTTTCTGAATTTCATACAATTACTACAAAGCCTATATCACGACAGCAAACAACAGCACATGATGAAACAGTAGTTGAAGAATGGTTTCAAAGATCTACTACATTTCTACAAGAGCATGGGATAAAGCAAGAGCATAGTTGCAAACCATGCAACTTATGGAATATGGATGAAACAGGATTTCGAATTGGAATCCCAGGTGGTGAACAAGTCATGGTGCCTATTGGAATATACGAACTCTACACACCAAGTCCTGAAAACAAGAGTTCCCTTACTGTTGTTGAAGCTGTCTCTGCAAGTGGGCAAGTAATTCCACCTGTTATTATCATACAGGGCAAAACTCATATGGAATCTTGGTACCATAAGAATCTTAAACATACAAAAAGCACACAAGATTCAGAGCCAAAGGTCCTCTTGCTTGATTCTTATGCAAGTCATCATTGCCCTCAATTTGCAATCCTTGCAGAGAAGCATAACATATTCCCATTTACATTTCCCTCTCACCTCACGCATATTCTACAACCACTCGATGTTGGGGTTTTCCAACCTTACAAGCACTGTGTCATACTGACATTCATTGCACTCAGTTTGCTATTATCAAACTCAAGAGCAAACTTAGAAATCTCCTCCTCAAACCTACAAGTCACAATACATATTTTGGCTTGTCATACCAACAACAAGAGCAATACTACTCAACGATTGCTACAATCCTCTATGATTCATTACACGTCATTGCTCCTTAGTTACTCGGCCGATATGACCACATAGCATATCTCTACAACCCTCTATGATTCATTACATGACATCACTCCTTAGTTACTGGGCTAATACTACACATGACATATCTCTATCAACTAGAGGCCTAGGAACATGAACGATAGCTTCAAAAGTTCTACAACCCTCTATGATTCATTACACGTCATCGCTCCTTAGTTACCCACAAGATTGGTTAAGTTATGACATAATTTGTCTCTAGACCTCCTTTCACTTCCTATAGGCTAGGAACCTAGGAGATGGTTCTATGGGATTCTCTTACGTCGACTACAGTTACCAAGCCTGGTTAGTCATGGAAAGTCTTGGAAAATGAGAGAACTACACTCCTTTAGCATAAATAGGATTGCCCTTTCCTTAAGAAAGGGCAAGCAGACAATACAGTAAATCGACTATCACATACTTCCACGTCTTTTCCAAGCTTCCAAGCATTGATCTTGTTACTCCTTGTTTCTGAAAAGTCAGTGAGGTGTTAACCTTTGACTTATCCCTGAGTTCTCACACTCAATAAAATCATCCCTTCCCTGGGTGGCTAGACTCTATGATCCTGGTCTATAATGTGAGCAGACCAGATGTGAGAGTCTATAGACCAGGATCATAGACGCCAATATCACGGCACGCGCAACGTTATGATTTTTACAAAATGGCTAATTTAAAGAGTAGCTAGAGATATGGCAGTGAGCCCTAAGGTTCATGCAGGTGGCTCACAATCTAACTTTTAAGATGGATGGGATGACTAGGTCTTAGCGCCATGCAGCTTGCTCACCATATCTGATAGTTCGTAGGTGCAAGAATCTCGGACATTTTTCAATGAACCCAATATAAGTATCATGGCAACGCCTTTCTTTCAACGCATGTTTTTCTATCATCAAAAACATAGAGCTCAGTCAGACATTAAATCATCTATTTCTTACTATTACGCCTTTACATGTTAACTCAAGTGCTCGCTTTAAACATGACTTTCCATCCCGACACTCTCCCCACTCTCAAGGGCAAAGTATTCATAGTCACCAGTGGGAATTCCGGCATGTAAGTCTCCTTTTCACTACGAATCCCGAATATCTGAACTCACCATACCACAGAGGCTACTATACCGTATCCCACCTAGCAGAACACGGCGCCCACGTCTACATGTGCGCCCGCTCCCCAAAGAAGGGCACAGAAGCCATCACCAACATCAAGAAAACGTACCCCTTAGCCAACATTGACCTCCTGCAAATAGACCTCACCAGAGTCGTCGCGGCCGCCAAGCACTTCCTCGCCCTCGAAACATCCCTGCACAGTCTGGTCAACAACGCCGGTATCATGGCGACGCCCTTCGAAATGACCAAGGATGGCCACAAGGCCAAGTGGCAGACCATCTACCTCTCGCACTGGGTTTCTACGGAGCACCTGCTTCCTCTAATGCTGCGGACTTCCAAGACGCTTTCTCCTGGCAGCGTGCGCATCGTCAACCTCACTTCATCGGGTCACCTAATCGCACCCAAGGGCGGCATCAATTGGAGGACCTGCCGCTCAAAGATAGCGGCCCATGGCCGCGCTACGGACAGAGCAAGCTCGCCAATATTCTGCACACCAAGACGCTACATAAGACGTACGGCCCCGGCTCCCCCAGCGCGCAAGGGAGAGGGTGAAATCTGGGTTTCGTCCGTGCATCCAGGCATGGTTGAGACGAACCTTGCCACGTCGGTGTGGGAGTCCGGGTCGAGCATTTCGAGTGTTATCTCCGTCATGCGCATGGTTGGATTGATATGGCCTGCGGATAAGGGGTCGTGGACTAGTTTGTACTGTGCGGCTAGTCGGAATATGAAGGCGGAGCAGAGCGGGACGTATATGGAAATTTCCAAACGTTTTGGAGAGCCGAGGTGGCAGAGTGGTGCGTCGAAGGATGAGTAGCTTGCGGAGAGGTTGGAGGATTGGACTAGGGGGGCTATGGCTGGGAGTTCTAAGTGAGAAGTTATTTGATAGAGGGGTCTGTTTGTTGGCGAGAGTTGGTTGTACACACCTTTATCATTAATATGTGAGAATTTTGTCCGTAGGAATAACACGAGTGCGTTAGACTGGCCTGAGATTACTGATCAATCCGTAAACTGGGGAAGCATATATGTATTGCTATATCTGGAGAGGGTATGCAACAGTAAATAGCTAAATAGTAAATCGCTGACCCCAAAAACGAAGGCACTGGACATACTTCAAGCTAATATATCTTGGCCATTCCTCACGCCCCCTCCCTACCAAATTGTAGCCCGACTAGCTTCTCTTGCAATAGATTCCGCAAGCCTCCTCCATCCGCACAGAACCCTGCAACAAGAATTGCCTTTTCCGCCCACCTCCTGCACGCATCATCTTCGCCGGTACAATAGTAGTCCACCGCACGATTGAATGCCGTCGTGGATACATACTCCAGCTCCTCCAATGGATACGGCGTCTCGCTGTTCTCTGCCGAGCTGGCCAACTCTGAGACCTGATCGAGAAGGCTCTCAGCCAGTGGCCCATCGCCGGAGGAAAGCCCAAGACGGAAGAGGCAACGCATATACCGCGAAAGTTTGGCAATATCGAACGACTCGAGGGACCAAGCTTCATTGACGATGCGCTTGAGTGTTGGAATGAGGACTGTAGTCGTCAGCGCATGGTACATATGGTCATGAGCGAGGGGAGACTAGAGAGGGCACAGGAAAGACGCATACCTGCGACAGGAATACTGGGTTCCGACAGGAGCATATCTGACATATTCTCATAAATTTTCATGCTTTTGCAGCAATCGGCTTTTAGGATTATTTCTGAAAGGTCGTCCCAGGCTTTGAGGCGGATAGCGGCTTCTAAGTCGAACACGAGAAGGGTTGCCAGTTTCTTTAGAAGGTCTTGTTGTGGGCCTTCTTCAAGAACGTCGGTAATAGATTGAAGGCGAGCATCAAAGCTATCGACGTGTTTTCTAAGCTCGAGATAATCCTGTAGTTGAGCTTCGATGTTGTCTTCTGCTCGAGCGAGAGAGACTAGTAGTATCACGGCAAGAAAGTCGCAGAAAATATGACGGTGCGTCACATCGTTCGAGGTTGCATTGTCGATATCTTTTGGATATATGCTGGCGAATTTAATGCAGCTCTGGATAATTCGTAGAACCTGTTCTGGGTGCCACTGGGAGCAGTACTTTAAGGACAGATTGTACGCATTCTTTGAGAACCAATCTAGCTCTTGTATTGTCCACAATTTGGTTCCGCTGTCCTTGTCCTCTTGCTTGATCGATCTCTGAGCGTGGGTGGAGCCTATGACATATTAGCTGAATTTCGTGAGAAGGGCAGCGCGGATCAAGGCCATACCGCCATCAAATAGCCTGCATAACTGATCGACTACTAAATACACGTTGGTGTCTTTCTCTGGTTCCACCGACTCTAGCTGCGACAATATAAGTCGTATCATGCATCTGAGCAGTGCGGAAAATTTGACAGACGACGGTGCATTGTACTCGTATTTTTCCAGAACTAATTGGAGGCCTGCTAGGGCAAGAGTCCTGTCGCCAACTTGCTGCGCGTCAATAACGCATGCATACAGCATCGTAAAGTCGTCCGTTGCTGCCTCGTAGACCTTTTCGAGGCACGCCGAAGCTAATTCAAGTTCATTACTACGAATTGCGATTTTGAACATCAAAAACTGAGTCATCGGATCATCCTTGGATGACTCTGGAATCTGACCAATAATTCCGCGGGCATCGGACATATCACCCCGACCAAGAGCGCAAAGTAAGAGCTTTCTACAAATAGGTCAACGTGTCTCCAAGGTATGTGATAGCATCGAGTAATTACCTGACAATCTTGGCTTTGTTCAAATCTCCAGCTTGTTCGAAAACTTTCTGCATAGCCAACCTACACCAATCTTCAGCAGCTTCGTAATTTCGTTCCCTGTAATTTGACTCAATACGCTTCCACAACAGCTTCTTCAATCAGTCTCCATATCTTTGAATGGGGGCATAGACTTACTGTCTGGGCGGCATGAGTGGCCGATGCGCTCAAGGGTTTGCTCATATTTGAGCCGACGGCCTCTAAGACCTCCCCCACGGATTTCAACACCTCGGGGCAATCCCTCGAATTTGTAGATATCCATATCCTATTGACGAGAGCCTTCTCGATCCATTCCTCATTCCCCGCTTCGAAAAGACGACTCTGCAGAAACGAGTCAAGCATACTGCACGCAAGACTCGGCCCCTTGTCGTTCAGTTTCCGAATATGGTGCATGATCAGCTTGAAATTGCCTTCTGTCAACATGACCGTTCGTATCATCCTGTATATCACGTCGCCATATGCACTGCAGTCGAAGGTCCGGCTCACAGGCGCTGACAGCACCTCAAGTTTTAGCAGCAGAACGATCAGCCTGTCCCCAACCTCGCTCTCGAGGTTGTTAATCAAGCTATTTGCCATATCTAGTGCATCTTCTCTCTCAATGGCAAGAAGGGCTTGAACACGGGCTTGTATGATGCTGATCTGGAGATTCGTCGCGTCGGTACTCAGCTTATCTATCTCCTGTGCCGTGATGATGCTCGAAGCTCGCTCCAACCACTTATCCGCCAACTCATATTGCTTCTTTTTGAAGAGATCTCGCCCCATTTCGTAGAGAAGATCTGCTAGGTCTTCGGCGGTATCGGGGTCGAGGACTTTGTCGGATAGAGCTGCTTTCTTATACATGTGCTCTGCGACCTCAACTTTGTCCTGACGCCAGGCCTGGCGAGAAGTCAGCAATGGCAATCACCAGGAGAGACAAAGTTGTCATCAGGGCAAATATCATCTCACCAAAGCTGTTCTGACCACATAGTATTCGGATTGTAGCTGAGAGTATGTCTCTTCTTTCTCAGGTGATGCCTTTACAGCGCCATCATGCATGGAAAGTTGGCCTTCATACACAGCCGCCTTCTCCAGCACCTTGAGTGCAAAATCAAGCCTCTTGGCCTCTGTATCTCATGTGTCAGGCTACGCTACCGTAAATTCAGTATGGGGACCTACCAATGCAGCTCTTCGCGGCCTTGAGCGCAACCTTCATAAGGCGCGAAACACAGACGGGTGAAGTGCTGCCCTTGCCTAGACCACCATCCAACAGCAGAAAGGCAAACACCCGCGCCGCAAGCAGTGTCGCCCGTTGGTCCGGTGAGATTGGAAAGTCCTTGGCCCGCATGAGCCGTGTGGCGAGGTTCCATAGTGTCAGGCCCTCTGTATCCAGATCTTGGCGCTTCGAAACGGCCAGAGACGTGAGGCTGCTGGGAAGCCCGTTGATTTGTTCGTAGAGTTGTGTTTGGAGGTTCAACGATGCAGGTCCGGACGGCAGTGGTGAAAGTTTGCTTCGGGTAGTTGCAGAGAAGGCTGAGGAGCAAGGACTGTTAGATGTGCCAGCTTTGAAAAGAAGAGGTCAATACTAACAAAGAAGAGCAGTGACACGCTTCTCTTTGGCCTGGCGCTTCCCAGGAGATGGATTGGTCATTTGGATGCGAGTAAGGATGGGGAATATTGACACTGAACTGAGATAAGACGGACTGCCTGCTTCAACTGGGAGTGAGAAGCGTACAAATGAAGCTCACAGAAACCTCACAGATAGAACAAGTATGGTATGGAAGGACACATATTCTATTTCGCGGCAAACGGAATGCGCAGATATAAACCGAGCTCTACCTACAGAAGAAGTACAAAAGCCACGAGGGTCGTCAACACACCCCCCTCTGAACAGGGCTCAGCCCAAAACGTCTTAGTGGCTTGCATCCGATGATTACGCCTCAGATATACGTAGGAAACGAGGCATGCGTATAAATCCAGAATGCTGCCTTTCTCTACTCTCAGAAACTTCTATTTTTTTGTTCGTGCTTTTTAATTTGATCATTACGCCTTTCCTAGCTGATGCTCTATTGTGGTAGGAAGTTTCCAACAATAAGGGTGGGTCTGTGGATGGGATGGATTAGTATAAGTATTGCAAAGGATTGGACGGAAGAGAGCAGACTTACATCTTGTTCTCGTCTCTCCGTATCGTGAATGAAAAGCAGCATTTTATGGGCTTGTCTGTAGAGCCCTCGACCGGATTCTTCAGTGAACAACTCGTCAAGAGAGCCTTCTGATTCTGGTCGAAGGCGATGGCACCGAATTTCTCCCAGTAGTTGACCAGGGAGTCTTCCGTCAGTATCTCATGGATCCCAATTTTGCCCTGCGACGACGCGCGATTAGCATTTGTTGCGAGAGAAGAGGTAAAACACAACTCACATCCCGCATCTGCTCGATCGGTACATGGATGAGCTCAGCCATCTCTTTGTTCCCTCTGAATATCTCGCCCGTTCTTCGCCAGCAGCATGCCGGTATCGCCATACTGGCGAAAACGCGATCGTACTCCATCAGCGTCTTCTCGAACCACATCTCGACATAGATCAGCTCGACATCCGTCAACTTCTGCACCTTCTCTCTGAACTTCGGTCGGAATCGGTCGAGCTGGCGCAGGATCTTCTGCTTGGACGAGGCGTTGATATGACCGTCCATGTACGACGAGAGCTGTGCGTAGCCTCTCACGTAGTTAAACGGCTTCAGCATGCCCGCGTCGTACTTCGCTTGTAGCAGACGGTTCATTCGCTCTTCGGGCGTGTCGTTGCCGGTCGGATCTGCAGCCTGAAGGTAGTATTCTTTGGCCTTGTCAGTGGGCATGGCGCTTGCAGGCCTCGCGATGGCCTTCCCATTCTGATTGCTCGCCTGCACGGCGTTCTGCTGGATGTTGGCGGGTATCCCGTTGTTATTCATACCTCCAGGCATGAGAAGGGATTGATCGTTGTAGAAGTGGGCAGCGTCACCCTCGAGCAGTCCGCCGTCGTCGAGAAGGCTGTTATTCAAAAAATCATTGAGCAGGTTAAACTCGTTCGTGAATTCTGAAGTGTTAAACATATAGGAGGGATGGTAGTTATGCATGTCTTGGTATTGGCTCTGAGCCCCATGCCAATCGCTCGGTCGGTCCCCAATGACTGTAGGACGGTTAGCCATCGCCACCAGAAAAGGGGCCCACGAGATCCACATACAGCGCCCACTCGTTCTACTCAACGCGTTTGCCTGTGCGCCCGAAACGGGCGACGGTTGCACGATCTGGAGCGGCGCTTGTTGTGGTGGCATCGGCGCGTTGCCAACTCCCCCCAAGGCGTCCTCGTGTGTCTGGTCGACGCGCCGGTCAAGCGAGCCGCTCATACCGCTTTCTGCTGGCTGGGTGGGCTCTGCAGTTGCGCCTTCCTCATCTTCGCCAGCGGTGCTTTGTCGCGCCTTCACTTTCTTCGTGGACGAGTCTGATTCGCGTCGCTCGTCGTGGCAGAGGTGGCCGATGTTTCGCTTTATACAACGGGCGCAAGGTCTTTCCTGTGTGACGAAGCAGAGTTAGCCTTGCTAGTGCCTGAGATGTTCGGCCGTGGCTGAGACGGTGAAGAGGGGGGGAGGGTCGCAAGAAGACAAGAGGGTCGTACCAAGTCGCATGTCATATGCTATTTCAAAGGTATCAGGTCAGCACAAGCAATCTGCACAAACTCACATGCGACACAACTGGCATTGAAGCGAGCTGGACCAATCGATGACTTACAGAGCGACGGCAATATACACAAGCTGTAGGCACGCGTTCCAGGATTAGCGACAGCGCAGGAAAAAAGATGCACGGAAAAATGGAACAGCCCGGCGTGAAGGGATTCTGCTGCCCAAGCAGTCAGGTCGTGTGCTCACCATGATTCACCTTGCGCCTCTTCTTTGGATTCTTGGTGGCGCTCGTCGCTGCTGCAGGTGCAGGAGCAGCAGGAGGGGTCTGCGACGTCTTGCGCGGCCTATTCCTGTCGCCATTGTGCTCCATGACATCGGATCTGGAGCTCGACGGCTTCCATTTAACGTCTGTTGCTCAGGGTGTGTGTGAGCGCCTTTTTCGGTTTGTACCTCGGGTCAGGCAGGCAGGATCGCGATACCCGGCACGGTACAGGACCAGCGGCGCACGCAGAAGAACAAGTCGCACGGCGGCGGCGACGTGTATGAAGGCTCGGGAATGGTCAAGGAGAGTATGCGCGCAGGCTTGTCGCATTTATTTCTGGGCCGGGATCGAGTATAAGGGAGGGATTGGAGATTGAGGGGCGATTCGCAGGGTTCGGGTCATGTCCCGTTCCCCTCTCCAAGCAAGTTTCCATGATGCTAAAAATTAGCCCGCGCCTCGCGCCCGCCTTGCAGTAGTGGAGTGGGTGACCACCGAACATCTGATTCAGCCAGCACATGGGAACAGAGCGGGCCAAGCTGTCGACGCCGCTGATGCAGCAACTATAGAGTAATTAAAGAGTATAAACTTCATGAGACACGAGTGCAGCTGCACTCGTAGCTATATTCATAATTTAAACAGATCATTATTCGTTCTAGAATTCTGTAGTAGAACCTCGAGGAGGGGATCTCATTTCCTGGCATTAAGCCACTTCCTCGACGCTTCATCTCATAACGTGCCCATTATAATATACTCATGGCACTGTGCATCGGTCTGGTTCAACAGAGCCCACCAGTTCATCCCATAATAGCATTCCCATACATAACCTTGCGCATTGACATGATTGACAGAGCTGGCCGGGGCATGCATCCTATAATCACATGCTGATGGTGCCGTCCCTCAATCTGATTCAATGGAGTAGCCATAATGGCTTCCTCGCGGCGCTGTGCATCGGTTTGGCCAAACAGAGCAGACCGTTCATCCCATAATAATTTGCTCATAGCGCTGCTCATCGATCTGCGTCAACAGAGTAGCCCGGATACTTGCCTCGCTCTTCTCTATCGCAGGGATGATGCCTTCGACTTGCTTGAAATTATTCTCCATGCTCTCCAGGTGGTTCTGTAGCTCCTCCATAATCGGCCTCAGGTCGTCATCGATCTTCGCGTCCTATACGGATTAGCCCCATCTCATCGAGAAACGATTAGTAGACTCACCTCTAACACATCCGCCGTAGTCTGCTCATCCGCAAGGTTCAGTTGATCGTGACCACCCCACTCCACCACCTCCCCTCCTCGCTTTGCAAGAGAAGGATCCAACTTCTTCGCCTCCGCCTTCCTCCTCCCCCGTTCCGCAGCCGCATTCTTCTCCAGTTTCTCCAGTGCCTGCTTCTCCCTCTCCAACATCACCTCCTCCCTCCTAATCTCCGCCTTCAGCAACTCCCTCGCATGTAGCGCCGGCGTTAACAGCCCTTCCTGTTTCCTTGTCGCATCCAGTATCCGCTCGAAATCAAAATCCTCTTCCCGCTGCGGCCGCGACCCAGGCGGAAACGGCAGGCCCCGCGCGATCTTGCGCCCCAGCCGCCGCGTCACCATCTGGATCGCTATACTAGCCTGGGTCCGCTTACGCTCGTCGCGGAGGCGCTGCACGACCGACTTCTCGATGTCGCCGAGGAGCTGCATGGCGCGGTCGCGGGCGGTGGCGGGGAGGTGCTCCCAGGTGGAGTCGATGGTGTTGTGGGAGATACGGCATTCTACGGGTTCGAGGTGCTGGAATGGGAGGGGTGAGGGGGGCGAGGCAGCTCGTGGCGATTGACGCGTCCGTGGCTCTCGTGCGCGCTTGCTCGGAGCCGCTTCTGATCGCTGGGAAGATTCGCCTCCCGTCGACACTCGTGCCCTCTTCTTTGCTGGTTTGTCTCGTATTGGATCGGGCCTGTTCTCAATCTCCTCCGCTATTCTACTAGCATTCGATGGTCTCCCGCGTTTTCGTGGAGGTGCAGCTACTTCCGGTTCGTTCTCGATTTCTTGTAGTACTCGGCTCGCGTTCGAAGGCCTCCCGCGCTTTCGCCGAGGTGGGGATGGTTCGGGACTTTCTTCGGCTTCTTGTTGCACCTTGTCACGTCGTCGTCGAGGTTGCGATGACTCCGGCGTCTCGTCGCTCTCTTGGGGCGCTTTACTTGCATTTGATGGTCTGCCACGTTTCCGTTTGGGTTTAGGTGGCGAAGCTTCTGGCCGCTCTTCGCTTTCTGCCAGCAATACACTCGCATTTGAAGGTCGTCCACTCTTCCTCGGGATTTTAGCTGCCTCGGGAGCCTGTAAAAGTTAGTTGTAATTCATATCAAATATCGAAGATTGTAATTCACCATGTTTGATGGCCGTCAGACGCGTTTACTTTGCAGACAAGGATTCGTGACTCGGGGTTGTTGACAGTTGCGCAGACAATGCTTCAGCCAGCACTAGCAATTCAATTCAGCTTCCAGCTAGGACCAGTATCAATACGGCTTTGCTAGAGCAACCAATGTACAGATGTCGTGGAACTACGATGGTGGTAGCTGAAGGTGATTGATTGTGATTGTTTACAGCTTACTGCCACTGGACACCGCTTATGGGGGACAGGAATGTGGTTAGCGCGATTGTGCCACCAAGGTCACAATCATACCTTACCGGCGCACCATCTATTTTGGTAAGGGTGGTGGGTGGGTTGTGAGACGGTGGATTTTCATTCACCGTGGAGAGCTTCGACCGTGCTCCCTCAGCGATGCTACGGTTGACTACCTCGACCGGGCATGGCCAGCGACGGTCGAATGAAGCCTTGGCAGTAGATGCCACTACACGGTCATATATAACTAGACTGTATAATTGAAGCCGCTGTAAATCTTGTGATCCTCCGCAGTGCTTCGTATGCCGCGGATGAAAAGTGACTGTTGTAAGGCGGTGATTTGTACCAACAACGATGTAGCCGGCCACTCCCCAGTAGTACGGCAGTATTGATGGCGCGCCAGTGGTGGTCAGGTCACGGTGGACAGGATCATCAATGGTAAATAGTGTAATATACCGTATATTATATTCTACTCTATCTACCAGTAGCTACTGCCCCGACCCTCACCCCAACCAGGAGTCGTGATGCCACTTGCGAAGCGTGGCATCAAACGTACTGGTTATCCTACCAGGTACGCAATCCTTGAGCGAAGTGTCTGCCGCCCCTCCGAATGCCCTTGCCCTCCCATCACCAAGTCCAGCTCCCCCCAAGATCCAGCCCTGTCTCTCCGGTATGCGTTCGTATTCCAGCTGGATGGTGTTGACCTAGCTGTCGCAGGTATTCGAAAGGTTGTTGGAAGCGCAGTTGAAAGTGCGGGTTCGTGTATTGTCGGGAAGCATTTCGCACACGCATTGCTCGAAGCCTGAAGCCTGTATCATGTCCCCACGACACAGGAAGATGTTAGCCCATTGTTTTCAAGGAGGGGGGGAGGGAATGGGAGGTCAATTCAACACAGACTTACCTCGGGGGTTGCCAGTATTGATGCGATATGTTCTTTTGGCGAATATAGAAACAGAATAATGAAATGGGAAGCTGACTTACCTGGGTGCTTTCGCAAACGTAAAATGAAGAATTGTAACTTACTAGATCCATTGATACATGAAGCACATATCAACAGCAGCAAAAAAAGAGAATATACTCTGACCTGTTGAGTATGATCGGCCAATACGGCGTTGATCAGGGACTCTGAATGAAACTCCCAAGCACCGAAGAAAGAAAAATGAGAGAGATACTCAGACCTGTTGAGTATGATCGGCCATCTCTGGCGTTGATCAGGGACTCCAAATAAACGTCCCCAACACCAAAGAGAAATGAGAGCAATACTTAGACCTGTTGAGTGTGATCGGCCATCTCTGGCGTTGATCAGGGACTCCAAATACCTACCATAACCCTCAACACTGACAGAAAAGAGAAAACCGAAAATAAGAAATGAATGGCAGCTATGACAGCTGTCGAAAAACATGACCACGAAGAGGACATAGTTGAGGCCCCAAAACAGGGCCAAATTTTGGAATTGCTATGCATTCCTTGTTTCTTTCAAAAAACCAAAGGCCCCCCCTTTGGACCCCCCAAAACCCATACAAATCCAGAAAATGCGCAAGTCATGGCCAAATAGTATATGTAACGCGAAGAAAATGGGGCATTCCAAGCTGGCTTGGGATGCTTCAAAAATAAATAAAAATAAAATCGAAATTAAATCGAGATCTCAGCGCCACCCATGGGCGAGTGTCCAGCAAAGATAGCCAGGATTTAGCCCAAGCCAGCTTGAGCTGGGAAGCCTGGTTATAATGGCAGATGGAATGGGGATCGTTCATGGCGAGGTATAATCCTTGGGGGGCAGACAGATGGTTGATGTCGGGGGCCAGGTATCCGAGGGATTCCAATGTTGGGGTTTTCGTGGTGAGAGCTAAATGCTGTCAATATCCATGGCTGGGAGGTTTTTCGAAACCTGGCAGCAGTAGGAGAAGATTGATTCCACGAGGCTGGGATATGGGATATTAGGCTCCTTGGGTTTTGGAGCAGGGCGCAAGGCAGGATAGTTGCGAAATGGCAGCTCGTTTTCGAATGCTGGCAAGTACCTGGATTCCATTGAGGTTTCAAGCTATGCTGGAAAAAGCACATAGTTAACGAATCTCTACAGAGAGAGAGCGAGAGGACTTCCCTTTTGACGTGGCAAGTATGGCCAGAATTTCAGCGGAGCTGGGCGAACGAGCAGGGAGCGGGCGGGGAGCCGTTTTAATGGGTGTGTTTGGTGAGCAGCTTCGAGCAGTTGTATCCAGAGTATAGATGGATGTTTGAATTGTTGAAATAGGCCCGGTATCGATGGCAGCAAAACGTTTGGATTCTGTATAAGGCGTTAGTTTACATTTGATGAGATGAGACTTGAAATGGCAAAAGCAACTTACCTCAGCCAAATGTGAGCTCGTACACCACTCGAAACGGGTCCAAAGACCTTGCATATTGCCATACAAGTGAATTTAAACATATACCCAAATAGCCTAGATGCAATACACAGGAAATAAAATACAACAAAACACTTACTTCGTGCATATAAGTTCATTTGAATTGCGTTGATAGGTGAAATGTGAAGCTTTTGGGTGAGGCTTGGTGCTCCTTCCGTTTTTGGCCAACTCTCGCTTTTACACAGGAATTGCCCACATTCCCATCGCGGCTCGTTGAGCTCAATCTAAGTGGCCCTTTTTGGAAAGGTGCAGCGGCCTGGTCATGCGTAGGATCCATGTCCATGTCAACAACGTATACTGGTTTACTCCCAATAACGGGGAGCCCAATGATTCTCTGGCTCTGGCTCATAAGCCGCATTCGTGGGAGCTGTAGGACTGGGTCATCCTCTCCACAATCTTCCAACTCTGTGATGAGAGCGAAGAGTTTTGCTTCACCAGGGATCCTCTCGTGGACGAAGCCAACATCAAACCGACAAACCGCATTACCGTATGCTGTAAAACTATTCCCAGACGTAAATGTAACGCGGTGCCTTGTCAATCTGATAATGAACATGATTAGCTAGTATCAGAATAAACGGAAGAGAGAAATAACTTACGGATCAGTAAACGAAAACTGGGAGAACCATTGAATGGGCTGAGTACCAAGACTTGCGATGTGTGGCATGTTGTAGTCGACTCGAAATGCTTCCCGGAGCTGCTGTGTGAAGTAATGGCCTTCATTCAACTCTTTGCATTCAATGGTAGGTCGAGCTGATTCCGGAGATGCATTTTGTCAGCCAAGGGGGCAAGGATAGATGTTCGGCGATATCATGCCGCTCAGATGATGGTAGGAGATTATCCATAAGCATTGGACATGTCTCATGCAAGCGCCTCATCTGGTGTGAGATGTCTGGCTCGGTATATTCGAATGCTCCATTGAGCAATAGCCGGAGTGTCAATGTGATGCATTCCCTCTTCATTAAAACTTTCTCGATTCCTTTCCCGTTCAAAAACTGAGCCCAATGCTTGAACAAGCTACCCATTGGCCATTAGCCAGTGAACGCAAGTTAACTGAAGTTAGATAGGAAATGAAATAAAGACTCACCGATGCCGGTCCTCCCCATGGAGAACATTACATGTATAGCTGGTCCCGTATCGCATTATAATGTCATGAAGATGAAGGCCTTGGTGTAGATTTGGACGGCTCGCCCAGTTTGTATACTCTGTGGACTTGGCCGATGTGGATTCTTCCGTATCCTGGATGTGCGCAAGATGACAGCACTCAGCGCCACCAGCTTGGGGATCCTTCCAATCCTCTCGACCAGCACACATCAAACATTCGCAGACTTGCCCGAGAGGAGCGCTCAAGGAGGTTGACGGAACCGACTTCCAAGAAACGCCAGAGATCATCAAGGAACTGGGTGACCGCTGAAACCAGTGGCGAAAATGACATCTGGGCAGATCTGCCTGCTAGAGACGCCATAGAGCGCCACCAAAATACAATTGCTGCGATCGAGACCCATCAGCTTGCACCACCTGGAAAAACCGCCAAGGAGTACTGGAACGAACTGATTGAACTATTGAATCGGGAAAGCCGGTTCATGATGTTGATTTTCCTCGACCACAATGTAAAAGGCGCCAAGGATGCTGTCCTCCGAAATGTTCTCCCATCCGTTGCTATGCACACCAAGATATATGTCGACTCGAGATCATATTGGAGCAGGTCAAGCAATGGCGGAGCGTGCTTTTGAAGAAGTTGATTGTGAGTATTTTCATTATTCTGAGAGAAGCATATCTAACTTTATTACAGGCCCATGTCACCATTGTCGTCAAGAAGGACCAGAAAGTTCCTGGTGGGATGCTGAAAAGCTGCTCCAAGTTTGAAGATCTTGTGCTGTCGTTCCGTGGGCGATACACCACTGCCAACTTCATGGAGGTGTTTTACTTCGTTCACCGATATGTCGACATTCCCTACTATACTGCCCTGGGGCAGTATTACTGCTGTGAGCTGTACGCTCATATATGTGCAAAGGGCAAGCTGATGATGGATTGGGAGGCCAAAAAGGGACGCGCCGTGGATGACAAAAACTCGAGGAGTAAACTGGTTGAATTTATGTCCCAGTTCCCCCTCATCGAGAGGTTCGACGAGCTGAAGAAAGAGGACTTCCACGAGCTTTTCAACAAGACCATCCTTAACGACGACAAGATCCGACCGAAAATTTCCACCCTCCAGGCCGGTGTTGATTATTTCCTTGGCGCACCACCCCAGGTATGTTTACACTGTCGATGCTTACGACAACCCCCCTCCCCATGTTCTTGAGGTCTCTTTCCGTGCTAACTCTTGGATGTTATCGGCTTAGTGAGCTCGAACATACCCGGAACAAACCTCGAACATACCTCGAACCATGGCGAACATACCTCGAACCATGGCGAACATATGAAAACATACTGGAATACTGGGATATACTTGTGGCTTGGCTTGGCTTGGGTTTTCACAATTGGCTGGCAAGAGTCATGTTCTTGTCGTGATGGCTGTGATCTTCGATCATCTTCCTGCATACTTGTCACAGGTTCGTTTTCATTCTCCATCTTGATCTGGCTGCTCATCGAAACTGCCTATTGTCCCATGCACTTCCTATTGTCGCCAGCGTTATCCTGCAATTGCTTCTTCTCCTTCCTGTTGCTTCCTTCTACTGTTGGTATTATCATGCCGCCAGGTGTTCTTTTGCTGATCGTTCGCTGGTGACATATCTACGCTGGGAGTTGCCGCTCATGGCTTGGGGCTGTCAAACCCTTGATCCCCAGAAGTAATTCGCGCTTTTCCGGCTTCTTACTTTCTGTGGTATGGCTCTTTCTGTCTTCTTGCCACCACAATGCAAATGTCACTGCATATTCTCGTTGCCGCAGTGTATTGTCACCGTTGTGCTCTTGTTACCACCCTAATCCCACCACTACATGGCTCTGATAGCAATACTCACCGTCGATGAGTGGGCTTCTGCGAGACTGAGCATTTGCACCATTGGGCTGGTTAGCTGCGGGCGACCACCACCACCACCCCTACGCCTTCTTCATACTTATTTCCTTGTCTATCAGATTGATCAGAGCTGATCTGGATAGATATATAGGCAACCCTTCCCCGAGCAGGCGGCACTGACACCCTCATACTGCTCCTGGTGCCCCTTTCGGCGATTCTTCTGAGGGGCTGCAGAGCGACCGCCATACAACCGGGCGGACCCCCTTCCGACTGCCCTATGACCAGCGTTGGCCACTTTGCCGTTGATGGCGACACCAGCGGCGGAACAGTTGTCACGGTTTTTACGACAATTTGGGTGGATTGGCCACCACCGAGCTCAATATGGACAGCGGTAAGTCAATTAAACCGTCATATTACTATATACTTATTATCTACAGCGTATTTCCAGACCAGCGTGGAGCTGGTTGGCCGTTGAGCTCGAGAACGGCCGTTCCACCGAAGCTCGGGCCACTCCACCATTGGGGAACCGTATAGGTTTTGCCCACTTTCCCACCACCGTCGTACCACCCTTACCAAAATAGGTGGTGCGCCAGTAAGGTAGTTTTGAACTTCTCATGGTTTTATAAATAAGTTATGTATTTGATAACTAATAATGATGCTAGGTGAGGGCGAGTTCTCCGAAAATCCGAACAACTTGAAAGCCTCTCCTGATTAAAATAACCTCTCTGGGAAAATATCAACGGTAAAACCGCATTCGGAAACCACCAGCTCGTAAATCATGTTGAAAAATCCCCTCAAGATTCCGTCCAGTGCGTCCCCACCTGCTCTCGCAGAAATAGTACACACCGAAAACTCCATGTCGGCGCGCTGGAAATCAATTAAATATTTTGTCTTCAACTGTCGATCATGATACCCTCTTCATCTCAAAAGCCATCGTCATTGCCCTGAGAAAGAAACCCTCCGGTGAAGGGACCAAGTAAACTGCCACCCAGAACCAACAGCCACCACAGCCCCTGGGTTTTTCTATTTCAGCTGTCAGTCCCTCTACCTGTTTCTCCCCCTCCCGCCTCGCCCCCCTTTCTCCCCCTTTCAAGTCTCTGGCCGCTCAGCTCTCCCATTTCCTGTTGTGCCTATCAATCTTACGCGTCTCCTGCTCTCCCTCTCCAGTCTCTCTACCTGCAGCTTTAGGTTCTCCCTCTGCGCCCTTCTTGCCTCACTCTTCTTCCTCTGCTCCTTCCTTTTCTCTTTCATTGCTTTCTCCCTCGCCTCTCCCTCCTTTCTCTCTCAATGACCTCTTTCCCGAAGATCTCCCTCTCCTTCTTCCCCATTGCCATCTTTTCCCTGGGCCATGATCCAACCGCCAGGGGATGGTTTACATCAACCTGTACCCACGCCTCGGCTCCATCCACAGCCTCGTTCACATAGTCCGTCCCAACTATCTCGAACGTCTCCAGCTTCTCCCATCCAGCAATATACAACGCGAAGACCTCCATGCCACGCGCACGCCTCAACGATTTATGCGGGCCCGAAAAATTATTCCCTTAATAAAATTAATAGCGTATAAGGTAGCGTTTTTAAGGGCGATGTATGTGTGAGCAAAGTTTCTGAATATAAGAGCATTAAGCTGTAACTTACTACAGAAGCCTAATTAAAAAGTTATTCAAGGTTGAAATACATGACAACTCTGGACTGTAATGTCACTACCGACTTTACGCCATTGCCGACTTTACGCCACGACTTACGTTATCATCTCACCTGCTCGCTATGCTACACCCCCCTTCTCATCCCCAGCCAGTCAGTCCGTCCCCCGTCACCCTCCTCATCGCAGCGCTAAAAATCAAATATCCAAAACGCCCAGTAGCGGTGTGGCTCCCCTGTATATATCATCATCGTATCGTGGCGTGGCGTGGCGTGTTTTTTTGTACACCCGTCGCGTCTTGCAAGTCCTCTAAAAAAGACCAAAATATCCCCCTCTCCCCCAACCTCCTCGCGCTGCCCGCTACCCAAAAACCAAAATACCCCACCCCACGTAAAGCTCCCAGAATCAAAATCACCCCCGACAGCTCATCATCATCAACCATCCATAACACCCACCAACAACCCCCCCCAACCATACACCCCGCCACAAACCCCACCACAACCCCAACCCTCTCCCACACCCCCGCCGCCTCCCACCTCAAAGCCCCAACTCTAACACCCACCCCCACGAACCCCAGCGCAGCCACCACCCCCGCGATCACCCCCGCGTCGACTTCAGCCCTCAACCTGTTCCGTCCCGTCGCAACCAGGATCCCGCCAATCCCCAGCAGCAGCGCCGAGGATGTATAACACACCACCAGCGCCAGTAAGAGTAATCTGCTCCGCTGCGCGGTGAGGCGCTGCGTGGCGATCGAGGGGAATGTGGCGTAGTGCGTTTCGTAACCGAGTGGGAAACCATCAGCGTCGTAGTCATCGACGTCTTCGTCTTCTCCGGTCTCTAAATCGGAGGTGCGGCTGCTGCTGCCGAGTAAGGCTCGTCGCTCTCCCTTGGAAGAGGATTCCCCGCTCGAGGAGGAGGGACGCCACCATCCTAGCACGGTAGTTTTTTCGCTTAGGTAGGCGAGGGCTTTTGCCATGCGCTGTTGTCCTGGGAAGCCGCCGTCGTCTGCGTCGAAGGCGATGATATAGGGCTCTTCGGCGCCGCCGCCGTCGCTGGGGTAGTCGTATTCGTTCCAGTACGCGGCTGTCTGGTCGGCTTTATTGCGCGCTGCGACAGGGGAGCGCAGGAGCGGCTGGGACGAGCGGCGCGAGAGGGTGAGGGGCGTGCTGGAGGAGGATGGGGGGGGGAGAAGGCGGCGATGCGGGTGCTTAGGTCGGTGAAGGCGGTGAGGAGGGGGAGGAGGGAGAGGTGGGTGAAGGAGGTTGTGGGGGAGAGGAAGGGGTCGGTGAGGCGGGGGAGGGTGGGCGAGCCGGTCCATTTGCGGTATTTTTTGAGGATCTTTTGGAAGCCAAGGCGTTGGGCTTGGATGAAGCGGTCGAGGTTGCGGATGTCGTCGGTGCAGCTGTTTGGTTGTTAGCGTTGTTCGTGGGTGGCTGTTGTTTGTTGTCTATGGGCAGTGCCCAGTCCATTGCCAATTGCCCAATGTTCTTGTCCGTTTCCATATCATCCGAGGGAGACTAACCGTAAAACCCTCGTTTCCAATCTCGCAAGTCTTTCCCTCCTCCGGGCCGTCATTATCCCTCCACTCCCCGGGTCTCCACGAACAATGAGTCGGTTCAGCTTCTGTTCGTAGTCACCTATTCCATACTGTCAGCTTCATTCAAATACACAATTTCCAGTTTCCAGCCTCCAATCCCTTATCTGCCATCTCAATCCCACTATCTACCTCTAGCCTCGGCATACCCGAGCTCACCAATCCATGACGACGTACACGCAACGAAAAGAAAAAGGTACTCACTCAATCGCCTCCAAAACTCATCCGCCTTACTCCGCACAAACAAATCAACCCTCGCATGCTGCGCCCCTAGCTCCCTCGCAAACCGTGCCTCGAAGCATGACAGCGCCTCGTCGGTCTGCCCCGGTATCACAACCGGCTGGCTGGTGTCTGAGTGCGACGAGCCCGGGGGGGGGGTGGTGTGCGTGCGGATGAGCGTCTTCAGCTCGTTGTAATCGATGTTATCTGGTGATTGAGAGAAATGGTTAGTTGGGGCTTTTTTTATCGGTCGTCGTGGTTGCTATGACTGTTTGGGTGGGGATTGGAGAGCGGGGAACGTACAGGGCGCCCATTGAGGGACGCTGTGCTCGTAAAGAGCTTGGCCATACTTCATTGATGCAGCTGGCTGTAGAAGTTGTGGTTGTGGTGGTGGTGGTGGTCGAGCAGAGGGGACAGAGGAGGAAGAAGAAGAAGAGAACGAAGGGAAGAAAAGGGTGGTGAAGTTATTTGGATTGGGACTCTGGGGGGCGTTCGGCGAGAGATAGTGCGGGCGGAGGACTTGGGTCAGCAGCTGGTGGGTGGAGACCCTTGTGGTTGGTCCTTGCGCCCCTGACCCGTGATCGGCTAATCCACGCCAAACAGGGTTAAGACGTTTTGGGTAGTGGGGTGGGTGAATCTTGGCGCGTGTCTGTTGGAGGACAAGGAAGCAACCTCGGGACCATATTTGATTTTGGGTTTTTACTTTTATTTTTATTTATATTTTAATTTATATTTTAATTTTGAGTTTTTAATTTTTAATTTTGTTCATCGGGATTTGTTATATTGCTGGCTATGGAGCTGTGCTTTGGTGTGATGATGATGATGATGATGATGATGACGACACAAGACGAATGCACGTGCACGGCCTGTCACGTTTTGGCCGTCGGCGCCCCACCATATTCTCATATTCTTCACCATATTCTCATATTCTTCACCATATTCCAGCATATTCCTCTGGCCACCACCGGCTTAAACCATTCTGCCGCCTCCGCTTAGATAAGAGTACAGCTGTCTCCCAGATGTCCGTTTTCCCTCCCAATTGTCTCCATAACTCCACATAAGGTACTAGACTCTCTACTAGTACTGTCTAAGGCAGGACTGACCTGCAGTCTGTGGCCGAGGCCGATCTATTACCCTACGACTGCCCGTACTAATATGCTGTGGTGTACTGCTATATATTATAGTCTGCAGTAGTTCCAACAAAACATTGGCTTCTCGCTACTCGTGCGGCCCAAAAGTCCCACGCAAGGTCTGTGCGTAAGATGTGGGCCACAACAAGTACTCGGTACATTTCTCCGCTCTCCGTACAGCCTACCCACGCAAATTGTTCCCCCCATTAGAGCGTTTCAGCTCAAATTGCATAACATAATTGCCTAAGCCTAAAGTAGACTAGCACTATGCAATTTCCTAGAATCAGGTGACCATCAGGCAAGCTAGTCTAGCAATTGGTAAAAGTGATAATTTCAGTATTATCACCACAACTACAAATACTACCTAGCCTCCTTACCCTCACCACCCTTCCTCATACGGAGGTGTTGTTCATATGTTTTGTGAGTGGGTCGGGCTAGGGCCCCCTGCGTAGGCTGGCTTGGCAATTCTGGCCAAAGTACCGATTCTCACGTGTCACAAACACTTGAGTGTGAGAGCAATCAATTCTGTAGAATAATGAGTAGAGTAGATACCTAAACCCCTATATAAAACTATACTATAAGCCTAGTACTCTGTGTGCATACCATGCAGCAATTACTGCTGCCTATGTGTAGGCATACTATTAAGGAGAGCATTAAGCTCAGCTTCTCCAACTTGCTCCCACGCTTCCTTGACAGCTACATGGAGCTGGTCATAGGACATATGTTCTGGATGATTATCTTGTAGATAATTCTTCATAATATGCCACACCCATTCAATTGGGTTGAGATCTGGTGAATACGGGGGCCATTCTATAGGGCAAATACCACAGGATCTCAACTCTTCATATGTTGCACCTGCTCTATGACCTGGAGCTCCATCTTGCATCAATGTAAGGCCTGGGTGTAGGCATAGCCAGCCGTGGATTAGAGGGACAGTATGAGCCATATAGGACTCAGCTCCTATTTTCCCATATTCCTTCTCCCAAAATAGTATAGGACCCTTTCCAAGACCACCTGAGAAGCAGCCCCAGAACATCCAACCTCTAGGGATTGTTAGTAAATCCTATAGTAAATAGGAGTCTCTTACCTTCTCCACTGTACTCTATCTACAACACACGTATCATCCCACATTTCCCCTGCTTTTCAAGTAACCCACATTCGCGTATTGCAGCCTCCCGTTACCCACGTCTTGTCAGTCCAAAGTATCCTATTCCAATCATTCTGTACCCAATCCTTATGTTCAATAGCCCATGCAAGTCGCTTTTGTCGATTTGTCTCTGAGATAATAGGCTTCCGCATAGCAATCCCTTAATAATTATTAGTCTATATAGTAGTAAAGTAGAGAGGGATACTCACGTCGATTATAGCCTCTCACAGACAGAGCACAGGTTAGGACAAGCTGTGAGCATGGAATATTAAGAATGCGTATTATATTTGTATATGGCATATGCCTATTCGTGCGAGATGAGGCTATAAACTCAATAACCTCTTGAACTTGCTCATCGGATAGAATAAGTGGCCTACCTGAACACTTCTTCAGAGTTGGAGGGCCCTGGAAAGCATACCAAGCCTGCCGTTCCGTGCAGCCAATATAGGCTGCAATTTTTTGGAACTCCCAATCTAGGGAGTGTAGTAGTGCGCAACGAAGCTGCTCATCGCGAGTAAGATGAGGCATTGTAGTTATTGAAAGAGTATGAATTTCCTATATATAAAATACAATAGTAGGAATTTTGACATGTTAAAAAGGTACAAACAAGCCTACGCGTACCCATGCTACAACCCATGCCCAACCCCCGGTCATCCCATGACCCACTCACAAAACTTATGAACAGCACCTCTGTAGAGTTTGCCCCTCCCCTAAAACAGCCCTCTATATTGTCCTTATAAGGCTTGTATATCCTAGATGGTAGACAGCTTATGTTAAGCTTTATAGCCATGCTTAACAGCATGGCTAGAAGTAGCAAGCTGTTGTAGGACCTAACAGTATCTGTAAGGATGCCTCTGCCCTCAGTGACAGAAGGGATCGGAGTTGGACAGGTTACGGTCACGTGGGGAGAGTTAGGGCAGGTTAGCTGAGTCGGGCCCATTTCGGGTACTTAAGGGGATTGACCCAACGGAGTTCCTCATCATCTTTTTTGTATCCTTCGTAGTAGACCTATAGGATAGCATCCGTTTAGCCTCTGACTCGCACTCTCATATGCTAGTACTGTGAGCTGGGTGCCCTGTGTCCTTACAGTATCATCTAGTCCCTTACTAGTCCATTTGTTAGACTAGTAAATGACTAGAAGATGTAGCAGGTCTCTAAATTAGAGACCCCTCTTCGGAACATCATTAGCTAGCATCTCCTATCGCCTAACAAGAGAGCCTTCAACTAAAGACTCTCTTCTGTCTAGATTGCTGTTAAGTATGCCTTTAGGCATTTTTAGGTCCTTTAGACCTATATAGCCTTTAGCAAGGGACTAAAGGCTGATAGGCAGCTAGTTACAGCATAATTTGCTGTTACTATGCTGCTTACTAATTGCTACACTTGTCTACATAGGAACTAGACAAGTTAGAAGTTTAGATCTCCTCTACTAACAGTAGAGGAGTATTTAAATTAAACTATATATCTATAGGTAAGTCTCTCCCTTTTCACCTTCTTCATTCTGCCACCCACCTCTAATCCAGTTACTCCCTCTCTCATTCCTCTCCCCCCCACCTTTCTTCGCCCTTAAATAGAGGACCTGTTTTCTAGGCCCTTAAGCTGAGAGCATACTTTGACTCACTTTCAGCTTTCCTCTGTATTATTCGCCTTTTTAGAATATACAGAGATGAATTAACAGAAGCTAGACTAGAAGTCTGATTCAATTTGGGATGCTTAGGACTGGAATAAGACTAGGATTAGGACACCTGCATTTAGGACTAGCGATGGTGCTAGGAAGAGGAGGATATATCTAGGGTTTCAGATTAGGAGGCATTGTTCTCTATAAGAGGAGAGGGAGGAGGAAGAGAGGTGGCATTGATACTGCCCTTGCTACTGTTGTTGTCATTGTTGCAGTTGTTGTTATTGTCGTTAGAGAGAGTGATCACTCTCTAGTGCTTTAAGAAGGTGGTGGCAATACGCTACTCCTTCTTATACCATACATAGGCCAAATCCTAGGTAAGGGAAAGGGAGTCCTCTATGTCTATGTCTATGAGCCCTTAAGCTCTCTCCTGCAACTAAAGGTCTTTAGCATCATTATTAACGACTTTGATCTAGTCGTTAATAATGATGTTATACTCTAGGGAGCTCTCCTCCTCCCTACTCCCTACTGCTACTAGCTCCTCTTTCTGTCTCTTAATGAGATTAGTAACAAGATGGGCTAGACTAGTGTGATCCTAGCCTGTCTCCTCCTAGAGGCCATTCTAGATCCTCTTCCAGAACACCTTCTAGGAGATCTAGGGCCAAACTACAGAGATGCAGCACCAAAATCCTTGTCTTTCTTATTAAGATGAGTCTAGAGAGACTTAGTAGGTAGATGATGGCTTGATCTTGCTATAAGAGGCAGACTGTCACTAATATTAGCATATACGTTACTAAGTGGGCTTAGAGAGGGAGGAAGGAAGTTGCTAGGGCTAGTTACTTAGCCCTAATTCACATTATTCATAGCCATAGTTAGTATATAGAGTATATAGATAATATATATATTATCTTACGTCATTAGAGTAGAGCCTCTTCTAAGGCTCTACTTTTTTACACTAATCTACATGTAGGCATGTCTAGGCTTACAGAGCATAATTATGCTACGTAAGGACATACTTACATATGCTTTGGGTTGACGCTAGCAAGGTGGCACCTCGAGCATAGGGGTATTATAGGGGGGTTATAGGGGGGTATAGGGGATAGTGTAGAGCTTACTGCCAACAGTATGTAATCATGTTATGTTCCCCTAGCTGAAACCCTCTATTAACTGCATTACATCTCTCAAGCTTATCCTTAAAGGAAGCACATAATTAACCTACTTTCCCATCTATTCTCTTTCCCCATTCTTCTTTAAGAAATAGCCTTACATGAGCTTTCTTAAGCTTACTCCCATTTTGAGGTTTATACTCATCAACTTAATCTTTAAGATAATCAAATGCATTCTCAATTAGATGAAAATTAGGAGAATTTAGAGGCCAAAGCCCTACTCTATATATCCCTTCTCTTTATATAATCTTCAAGTGACTGATGTGCTTTAAAGTAAAGACTTACACTGCCATCAACAATACCCGTTTATTAGGATATAATGCTTTGACCTTTTGATAGTAGGGAAAGACAGGTTAAAGCAGAACCATTTTACAGTATAAAAACCAATTAATCCCACCCTTTGAAACTTCTTGGTTTTCAGAACCTCTTCCTCTACTCTAATTCTCTGATTCTCTAAACTCTTAAGATGCACTCTGTTACCGTTTCCATTTGCTTTTCCCATTCTAAATATCTGTATTTAAAGTTTCTATATATCAATATTTAAGAGTTCTAACTGTTCTTGCTCTTAAAAGTTCATCATCTGCCTTTTTTTTCTAATATGCATTTATCTCTCGAAGTATTAACACATGTTCCTGCTTTTCTTCAATGCTCTCTAGCATCTATGACAATGATGGTGTTATGGCTATAGTAACATAACATCATAGCTGTAGGGCTAGCAGGGCTAGGCTATAGTAACATGACTTATAGTCATAAGGCTAGTAGGGCTAGGCTGTAGCGTGACCTAGCTAGTGGATAGTTGGGTAAACTAGTAGATAGTTAGATAGAACTATCTAACTATCTAAACTATCCCACAACTATCCGAACTATCCATAAGGCACGATGCCACTATATAAGTAGATAGTATTCCCTTAGATAGGAGGTTCGTGCTTAACTTAATATAGTAGCATGTTACCATATCTTTGTAATAGATGAAGCTGGAATTCCAAGCTTCTCTTTAATCTCTTAATAGCTTAAACCCATAAACATACGTAATAATTGCAGAGCGTAGTGGTGTTGAGATTTCTACCATGTTAAGGTTGTTAGATTTCTCATATTCTACCTACCAGTATTTTGTGTACCTAGCTAATTGATCCTTGCGTTCTAATTGGCTCTGTGCGCACAGACCTTGCCTGGGCTTTTGGGCCGCACGAGGACTAACTTAGTCCTCGTGCGGCCCAAAAGGTATACATACTTTACTAACCCGTGCTAACTATATTAACCGCACTAACCCGTGCTAAGCTTAGCTACGGCGCAAGCAGCACCTGACGAGCACCGCAAGTAGATAGCAGTCGCGTGCGTACAGTTTCAGTTTGGCACAATCGTACTCATCCTCACAGTAGCCGGGAGCATCTTAAGAAGAACAATTGTATAGAATATTGGCTCTGCATGCGTATACACGCATACGGACTGGAATCTACTCTCCAGCTCTCTGCGAAGATAAAATCCACGCCTACGAGTAGCGCGGGCGAGTGTCTCCATTTAGCATGTGCGTTTTGCGTGGCAGAATTGCTGACAATCGCGGCCTGTTATGTGGGGCAAAGTGGGCGGTGGGTGTTGAAGTGGACAGGTGTGGGATTGCGGGATGCCCGATTTTGTGGCGCCGCGAATCACGGGATATCCATATCTCAAATACATACGTCACGTCATGTCACGTCACGTGTATATACTATAATATAATTCTACTAGAGGATGATCTCCCGCTAAGTCTCACGTCTCGTGTATATACAGTACTATAATTCTACCAGAGGATGATCTCCCGCTAGGTTCGGGAGATTTTAGTGTGTGATTTGGTATGGGAGGATAAATATATTTCCCACTTCTTCATTTCTCACCCATCTAGTCGTTGGGGTGGGGAAGTCTATGCACGTGACTGAATATATCACGTGATACCACGCTAGACAACTTTCAGGTGAGCTCCGTCGGATGTCGCCGCCTTGTACTTTATCGCCCCGCATATCTTATCGGAGCTCTCCCCACACCGAAAGTGGCAATGCTATCAAAAATAAACTACTCCTCCTCTTCTCTCCACCCCTCATTATCAACCAACTGACTAAAACTATTCTCTTCTCTCTTCCTTAATATCTCCGTTCCCCTCATTCACATATATCAATTGCGTCCAGCCATGCTCCTCGCCCTCTCATATCACCTGTTCTGATGCACTTGTATCTATATATATACCTATACCCAGCCCTTCGTTGTTCGTTCGTGATACCCCCGTGTCTCACCCTTACTCCAGCCGCCCTTGCTTTGTCAGGCGAGTGAGTGAGACGCCTCACACGGGCACAAACAAACACCAACGCCAACCACTGTCCCAAACTCTTATCTGCCATGGCGCCCAGTGCTGTCTCTCCCACCCCCGCCGCCCCCGCCGAGCCATCCACAAACCTCGCCGACGTGACCGCGTTTTACGACACAACCCTGCGCTTCTTCCTCAACGGCACCCGCGTCAATCTCGACAACATCGACCCCGAGATCATCCTGCTCGAGTACCTCCGTGGCATTGGGCTCACCGGCACCAAGCTGGGATGTTCTGAGGGCGGATGTGGCGCGTGCACCGTCGTTGTCAGTCAGTGGAACCCTACGACGAAGAAGATTTACCACGCCAGCGTTAATGCGTGTTTGGCGCCGCTTGTGAGCGTGGATGGCAAGCATGTTATTACGGTGGAGGGGATCGGAAATGTCGAGAGGCCGCATAGTGTGCAGGAGCGCATTGCGAGGGGGAATGGGAGTCAGTGCGGGGTAAGTTTCTCCTTTCAGATAGGTGGAGCCGTGGCTAATGTGAGGACAGTTCTGCACTCCCGGTATTGTGATGAGTCTCTATGCATTACTGAGGAATGAAGATCAACCCACTGAGCATTCCATCGAGGAAGCATTTGACGGGAACCTGTGCCGGTGCACGGGGTACCGGCCTATCCTGGAAGCAGCGCGTACATTCAGCGCTGAGACTGGCTGCGCGAAAGCAAAAACTAACGGCGGTGGTGGATGCTGCATGGAGAAAGAAGGAGGTGGCGGATGCTGCCAGAGCGAGTCCGCCGACGACGACCAGCCGATCAAGCGCTTCACGCCGCCTGGATTCATCGAGTACAACCCTGACACCCAACTCATCTTCCCGCCCGCCCTCACTAAATACGAGTTCAAGCCGTTGACGTTTGGTAACAAGCGGAAGCGCTGGTACCGCCCCGCCACTGTTGACCAACTCCTGCGCATCAAGCACGCGCTGCCGTCCGCCAAGATTATTGGTGGTAGCAGTGAGACGCAGATCGAGATCAAGTTCAAGGCGATGCAGTACTCGGCCTCAGTGTTCGTCGGGGATATCCCGGAGCTCCGAAAGTTTGAGTTCCACGACGATCATCTGGAGATTGGCGGGAACATCACGCTCACGGACCTGGAAGCCATTGCGCTGAAGGCTGTTGAGCATTATGGACCTGAGAAGGGACAGGTGTTTACGAATATGCACAGGCAGCTGCAGTACTTTGCTGGAAGGCAGATTAGGAATGTTGGGACGCCGGCGGGTAATCTGGCGACGGCAAGTCCGATTAGTGATCTGAACCCTGTGCTCGTGGCTGCGAATGCTATCCTGGTTGCGAAGACTCTCCAAGGGGACACAGAGATCCCGATGACAGAGTTCTTCAAGTCATATCGTACCACTGCGCTCCCGGCGGGTGCAATCATCGCTAGTATTCGGATTCCCGTCACGGCGACGAATGAGTATACCAGTGCGTACAAGCAGGCGAAGAGGAAGGATGATGATATTGCCATCGTCACTGCTGCCCTCCGAGTCAAGCTTAGCGAGACCCACGATGTTGAGAGTGCCAACCTCGTCTACGGTGGCATGGCGCCTCTCACCATTTCAGCGAAGAAGGCGGACGCTTTCCTGATCGGCAAGAAGTGGACAGACCCAGCAACGCTTGAAGGCGTAATGGGGGCGCTCGAGCAGGACTTTGATCTCAAGTTCGGCGTTCCCGGTGGAATGGCAACCTACCGCAAGACCCTCGCGATGAGCTTCTTTTACCGCTTCTACAACGAGGTTCTTATCAAGCTCGGCAACGATGGTGCGGATCTCGAGGCCGTTGGCGAAATCGAGCGCGAGATCTCACGTGGTGAGCAGGATCACGATGCCACTTCCGCGTATGAGAAGATCATTATGGGCCGCGCACAACCGCATGTTGCCGCGCTGAAGCAGTGTACGGGCCAGGCGCAGTACACTGATGATATCCCGGTGCAGAGGAATGAGTTATACGGGTGTCTGGTTCTTTCGACGAAGGCGCGGGCGAAGCTCATATCTGTTGACACATCGGCGGCTCTAGAGCTGCCGGGTGTGGTAGACTACCTAGATCATACGGATATGCCTAGTCCAGAGGCAAACTGGTGGGGTGCTCCGGTGAGAGACGAGGTATTCTTCGCTGTGAATGAGGTCTTTACCTGTGGTCAGCCTATTGGTGTTATCCTCGCCAGCACGGCAAACGAGGCTGCTGCGGGCGCGAGAGCAGTCAAGATACAGTACGAAGAGCTACCTGCTATATATACCATCGAGGAGGCTATCGAGAAGGAGAGCTACTTTGAGCAGTTCAGGTTCATCAAGACTGGGGATACGGAGAAGGCGTTTGCGGAGGCGGATCATGTCATCTCGGGCACGACTAGGATGGGAGGCCAGGAGCACTTCTACCTTGAGACTAATGCCTGTGTTGCTGTGCCGAAGCCAGAAGATGGGGAGATGGAGGTTTTTGCTTGTACGCAGAACCCGACAGAGACGTAAGTAGTTCGTTCACCAGACATACCGAAGTGCTAACGGGAGCAGGCAAGCATATGTTGCACAGGTCTGCAATGTTGCCAATAACAAAGTCGTCTGCCGAGTCAAGCGTCTCGGCGGTGGTTTTGGTGGCAAGGAAACTCGTTCGGTGCAGCTGAGTTCTATCATGGCGCTCGCGGCGAAAAAGACAGGCCGCCCCGTGCGCTGCATGCTCAACCGCGACGAAGACATGATGACGAGCGGGCAGCGCCATCCCTTCCTCACGAAGTGGAAGATCGCCATCAGCAGCGACGGCAAGCTCCAAGCCCTCGATGCCGAGGTCGTCTGCAACGGCGGCTGGACGCAAGATCTCAGCGGCGCTGTCTGCGAGCGCGCTCTCTCCCATATTGATGGCTGCTACGCCATCCCGAATGTACATGTACGTGGTCGTATCGCGCGCGCTAATACCATGTCCAACTCCGCTTTCCGTGGCTTTGGTGGACCCCAGGGCCTCTTCGTTGCAGAGACATACATCGAAGAGGCGGCGGACCGACTCGGTATCCCAGCTGAAAGGCTGCGCGAGATCAACATGTACAAGCCCATGGGGATTACGCACTTCAACCAGGCGCTGCAGGACTGGCATGTCCCGCTCATGTACGATCAGGTCCGCAGGAATTCCAAGTATGAGGAGCGCCGTATCGCTGTCGATGAGTTTAACAGAACTCACAAGTGGCGTAAGCGTGGTCTTGCTATCGTCCCGACTAAATTCGGTATCTCCTTTACGGCGCTGTTCCTCAACCAGGCTGGTGCCCTAGTGCATATCTACCACGATGGTTCCGTGTTGCTCGCCCATGGTGGCACTGAGATGGGCCAGGGTCTGCACACTAAGATGTGCATGATTGCTGCTGAAACCCTCGGCGTTCCTCTGGATTCTGTGCATATCTCGGAAACTGGTACAAACACCGTCGCCAACACCTCCTCCACAGCTGCAAGTGCATCCAGCGATCTCAACGGCTACGCCATCTATAACGCCTGCGCCCAGCTCAACGAGCGCCTCGCCCCCTTCAAAACCCAGCTCGGCCCCGAGGCCACCATGGCTCAGCTCGCCCACGCCGCGTACTTCTCCCGCGTTAACCTCTCCGCGCAGGGCTATTACCGCACTCCCGAGATCGGCTACACGTGGGGCAAGAACGAGGGTAAGATGTTCTTCTACTTTACCCAAGGTGTCGCCGCCGCGGAGGTCGAGGTCGATACCCTCACCGGCTCATGGACCTGCATCCGCGCCGACGTACTCATGGACGTCGGCCGCAGCATCAACCCCTCTGTCGACTACGGCCAAGTCGAAGGCGCCTTCGTGCAAGGCGTCGGGCTCTTCACGATGGAGGAGTCGCTGTGGTTCGGTGGCGGCCCGATGGCGGGGCAGCTCGCGACGCGGGGCCCGGGGAATTACAAGATCCCTGGGTTCAGGGACGTGCCGCAGACGTTTAACGTTAGTCTGCTGAAGGGGGTGGAGTGGAAGGAGTTGAGGACTATTGGGAGGAGTAGGGGGGTGGGAGAGCCGCCGTTGTTTTTGGGGAGTGTGGTCTTTTTTGCGATTAGGGATGCGATTAGGGCGGGGAGAAGGCAGTGGGGGGTTGAGGCGAGGAGGTTTGTGGGGAGGGGGTTGGGGGAGGGGGAGGTTGGGGAGGCAACCAATGGTGAAGCAAGCAACGGTGAAACCACAAGCAGAGAGAGCGATGAATCTCCGGTGACCAGTGAGCCAAGTAGTGCCTCAGACGATACCACAACCACCACCCCAGAGGTTGGCCCTGCCGCAGATGCATTGCAGCCACAAGGTCAAGAAGTATCTGCAGAGATTGGAGACGGCATGTTATACCTCGACAGCCCTGCGACAACGGAGCGCATCAGGAATGCGTGTGTGGATCCTATTGTGCAGCGCGCGAGGGTGAAACAAGGGGAGGGGGATAAGCCATTCTTTATTTCGATTTAAGAGGGAGATGTAAATGGAAGGATGGTTATGGGGGGTTTTTTGTATAACTTATATCTTTTTATGGATTATGAATTCTGGATTTGTTTTGTTTCGGGGGGTGAGAATTGTATGGGTGTAATGTTTAAGTGCAAATCTTACCCATGTGGTGTTTTAGTTATATATTTATACAATTCAACGATATTTCCACATTTTATTTTGGTTTCTACGCTTGTAATTCCGTAATCTGCATTTTCTGAACTTGGTCTGTCGTCTCACCCATATTTAAAAGGGGGAACGTATGGGAGCCTACAACCGACCCGTCGAAAAACGCGCGCTTGTTTCCAAAGGGAACGACAACGCTAACGTCACCTACTATTTATATTTTTGCAAATGTGAGAAACCACAAATTTTCCCCTCAAACCAAAATGTTCCTCAAAATATTAGCCATCCTGGCTACTACCATTGCCGTCATCTTCTCCACCCTCATCCCCATCGGCCTCTGGGCAGGCCCCAACCATAACTCCCCGCCCTCCCAGTCACCGGCCCCGAAGACGCCGAAGACCGCGTTTGCACGCCCCCCCTTAACAACCACCAGTAATAGCCGCGGACCTCGAGCTCCCAACCCTCAAGCTCTTCCTCCGCGCCGCCAGCTCCAGCCGCCTCCCCGATGACACCCCATCATCCCTCCCTCTCAGCACCAGAGCTCGCGCAGCTCGCACGCCCGTATACGGAATGGGCGCCGAAGCCGTTTTCAGAGCTGCCCGGGCCGGCGTTGGTGCCGGGGATTCCTGGTAGTGGAGTGTCGCCGCCGGTTAGTGTTGCCTACGTGAGCACCGCAAACGCCGTCCTGTATGTTTTGCTGCCTATGGAGCGGCGGCATCGAAGTCGCATATATGCACTGAACAAGCTCGCCATATTCTTCAGACATGGGTAGAGCGTTTCGGGTCGCTGGAAAAGTCGTTGCCTTGTAGGTCAACTTTGCAAACTCTCTTGCCAATACTTGCTAGTTGTTGCGGTCCGGTCACGAAGTTATCGGTCCAGAATAGTTCGTTAACTTTCTTTATGTCGTCACTGTGTAAAAGGTTGGCGGCAGAGCCTTTGAGGTTGAGGAATCGGTTATTAAATGACTTATACGTCTTTGCAACTCGGGTGCCGCTTTGTAGTATCCGTTTAGTGTATATTCCAAAAGCCGTTCCATTTTCCTAGCCTCCTTGCTTGACGGCGTGGCTTCCACGTCGGAGTTCGGGTTGAAGTTTCTTGTCCCACAAGGAGATCGGTACCGTCACCCTGGTATCATATTGCCTTTTAACTTGAATTCCTGCGGTGAATATCCTATTTTCTCCAAAAGACATCATGGAACCTGGATGAAAACATCCCTGGGACTTCAAATAGTCGGTGTTGTCGTATTCGTCACGGAACCTATCCGTGTTCGGCTTCGGGCGCTTGACTCCAGGCCCGTGAATTGGGTCATTGTAATATCTCAGGCCAACCTTTGTCTGAAAACCACACAGGTAAGTACTCCAGACGCCTACAATGCTCCTCGTAAGTAACCTCGATCAGCTCTATAAGAATCTGATGACTGATGAACGAGATTGCGAGCGCGTCCGGGAAATGATCATTCATGATAGTTGACAATGTTTTAGCCTTTGAGATAACTAAAACGTCGAGATCGGCAAGAAGTTCCTGGTCGAGCGATATCCACGGATTCTCCACATATATGGGTCCGACTCCGACAAATTCTCCCATTTCTATATCCTGCCAGTAAAGTTAGTACAGAACGTTCTAAGACACATAAACAGACAGTATGAGAGTTAATTCTCACCTGTGGAAACGAAATTTCCCCATCCACAACCCAAACGGCGACCATGCCTGCGATTTTAAAGGGCCGCTCAGAGTGTGGTGGCACTTTATCCTCACAATACACTATTATATATGGGAATGTTTCTGACACTGAGACAGCTCCGAAGTTCTCGAAAATATAATTTATAACGGTGCTAACCATCTGGGCCTGTTATTGTGCAATTCCCCTTGTTCATTAACGTATGAGAATTCTCAAAGTCAAGTTCCCGTGTCTTTGGCTCAGACGCTGAAACTTTTCTAGAGAGGTGGGTTACCGGCGTTTCTTGTCCGAAGCTTGATTCCCGTTCTGGCGTTGGGAGGCGTGAGTGCCGTACAAACGAGGGGAGTTCACAACGGAGATGTCGACCGACCAAAATCAAGGAAACGTGAAAATGCAGGGAAGACGCAGCTACTTATGTTAACTGAAGTTTAGAGTTCGTGCCTAGATTATTATATAACAGCGACTGGGTCTACTGGCGTGGTCTTAAAAGTCATGACGATGCAAATATAGCGTGACATATAAGCCCACAATATAAGAAATATAATTAAAGCTAACCATACTAAAGCGCTAGTCAAGATCAAGCTCCAAGACTTATAAATCCACCCCCTTATCCCTCAAAAGTGTTCCCATCCTATCCAAAACCTCGGTGACCCACGCACCACAGTCCCTCGCCGGTGGCTCCGGATTCCTCTCCATAAGCACCCTCGGATCATGCGGTGGCGCCACGCTACTCGCGATAGCCTCAAACTCCGACAACAGGCACTTCGGCATCTGGTACATCAATTTCGCGCTTTTAAATGCCGGGTTGAGGCCGAACTTTTCGGCGGGTCGACATTGGTAGTCCATACCCAGACCAACGGTGCCGGTGACGTGGTAGAAGCGGCCGGCGGTTTGGGATTGGAGTTGGGCGGGGACGAGGGCGATTCCTTGGTGGAAGGGACCGGTTCCTTGGGTTATATAAATGTGGTAGACGTTGAATAGGACGGTTTGTCCAGGGGGAGGGGCTGATGGGATGGGCGCTGGGGGTGTTGGGGTTGGAGGCATTGCTGAGGGTGATGGTGGCTGCCACTTGATCGAACTCTCAACCTCGAGTTTTTAACGATAGAAAGGCATTTAGCTGGGAGGAATTATCATCTAGTTCGTTAGTGACAGTCTCTGTCAATTATTGTTTGGAAGTTCGAGTCACAATTTCTTCTCACAATTGTTCAGCCACCAAACATGAACGTTTGAAAACTCAAGTCGCTCGGCTGTGCCCTTGTCTTATAAGCCAACTGAAATATTAAACCCAGATATGTCGTCTGCTCCTTCCCAACTATCAGCCTCATCATTGGTCTTTCCTTCTCAAATTGAATCGCTGGGACGTCTCAAATCACGTGATATGTCCTGAAATCCTAGCTTCAACCGGATCATCAATTATCCGTTTGCTTTGTCCTCAGATTGGGATTGGCAATATTTCGGAAGCTCAAAAACGACCACCAAGGTGCGCGATGGAGACGGTTACTTGACGAAATTGAACAAAACCAAACCCCCACCCCACCCGCCCACAATGAATGCCCCGAGACTCGGGCTTCGGAATGCCGCCAGCGCGTTGAGATCGTGCGCGCGGACGCCGATCCGGCGGCCCGTGAGAGGGATCTCTGGGGAGTCGAAGCCGCGGGGGAGCAATACGGCGCCGACGATGGAGCAGATGAGGGCGCCGTTTGCGAAGAAGAATACGTCGACTATGTATGCAGTTACTTGTTGCTAGGGTTGGGCGTTTTACTGACTGTGTGCAGGTTTTATACGCTCAGTGTTATTTTGGGGACAGTCGCGCTTTCGTACGGCTCTGTGCCTTTGTATAAGATGGTGGGTTACTTTACCCCTCGGGGTTGACACTGGGTATAAGCTGATCTCTTCGTTTCTAGATCTGCGCAACGACTGGCTTTGGTGGACAGCCGATCAAATCTGCAGCGCACAATACCGACGACCCCTCGAAATCGCTCCGGCCCGTCGTGGGCGCCAAGCGAATCCGGGTTACCTTCAACGGCTCGGTCTCCGATGTGTTGCCCTGGAGCTTCACGCCGCAGCAGCGCGAGGTGCGAGTTCTTCCCGGCGAGACGGCTCTGGCATTTTACACGGCGACGAACAAGTCTTCAGAGGATATTATTGGGGTAGCGACGTACAGCGTGACGCCTGGGCAGGTAGCGCCGCATTTCAGCAAGATCCAGTGTTTCTGTTTCGAGGAGCAGAGATTGAATGCCGGGGAGACGGTGGATATGCCGGTGTTCTTCTACATCGATCCAGAGTTTGTGAATGACCCCAACATGAAGGGCATTGAGCAGGTGACGCTGAGTTATACGTTCTTCAGTGAGTCTTCCCTTGCAGTGAGGGAGTTACATGTGGTGCGGACGGGGCTAATATTCTACGCAGAAGCTAGATATGGCAAGAATGGCCAGCTGTCGCCATTGGCTGTGACATGAGCAGGAGCTGTTTCACCATGCAACTAGGTTTTACATTGGGTTCGTCTCGTGGTAATCTCAAATCTCAATTCGACCTCGTATATAACATCAAAAGTATATAACGGTGTTAGGAAAAGGGCGGTAGAGCATAGAGAGTTGTAAACTACTGATACCCTTACCTTACTCGTGTCTCTCATTCCTGCAGTTTTGAGGCTTTTGCTTGATTGTTGCCGTGGTTGCAATGACACAAATGCCAGGTACTGGGGAAAAGATCGGCGATCCAATGCCTGGTTCATCACAAGAGCGCTCCATTTTGGATTACTCAATGCGGAAACCTCGCAAAGCTGAAACCAAGGTACTTTTTTTGGTCCGTTCTGGATCATTTTCTGGATCAATTCTCCATATTTAAAGAGACTATTGTAACTCTTAGTGAGATATAAGCCACAGGCCGGTGGCTTTATCCAGGCTTTATCCCTTGGAAGGTCGTTCGTTATCTTGCTGTGGCTCAAATATTTTGAGGGCAAAAGATCTATATACCCTGATTGACCCCCCAAAAGCCCACGAAGAGGCCAAAGCCCTCCCCGACAAGGCCCCCCCAATGGCCTCCCTTGCGGAGCTCTTAGTGCCCATTGATGGCACTGAGTTTGCCGACATCGACGCCCTCATCCACGCCTTGATGATTGTGCCGTCAGTAAGGGGCGGCAAGGGAGGGGGTCTACAATGATCTTTACGGGGGTCAAACAGGGTATATAGATCTTTTGCCCATATTTTGAAGTTTGGAGGGGTGGGTATGACGTCACAAGGCCCTGATCCTGAAAGCAACTTGGTAATTCACCTATGGCAGCAGCAGGATCCCTTACAAGAAGCCTGTATTGTTAAGGAACCGCAGTTAGGGCATTCAGTGGCCTTCAATTCCCGCCTTGCTGTTTCTCCATTCTTTCTTTCCATTTATCACAGTATATACGCGTCTTTAAACTGCTGGCGGGATATCTTATGAGAACCCCAGATCAAGAGTGACGGAACCACCTTTGCAATTGGGAGCTGCTTGAGTCCCGAAAGTAGCTCCATTGAAACTATTCTATACTGATAGGATATTACTACCTTCCACCATGTCGTCCGGCGACGCGAAGTTCGGCCCTGGGGGGCATTACTCTGGACGCAACCCAGTGCCCAACATCCAGCAGTTCCTTGAGAACATGGACCGGGACAAGAAGACTCACGATGCACAAATGTTGGCACAGCAGCAAGCGCAATCACCCGAGGTCCAGGCACACAAGGACAAGCGAACAACAGAACCGACAAGCTCCCCCAAGACAGTGACGGATCCGACAACTGGCCAGCAGGTGCAGATTGAGGATGTCGATGAGCATTTCATAGATGCCGCGCTCAATCCGAAGCTCTCTGTGCCCAATGCGAATCTCGGGAAACCGACGACAATGCAAAGCCACAGAACTCAATCCGGCGAAGAGTACAGAAACGCCCAAGATGTTACGGCGCCGCCGGATCCCATCCACCCAGGCAGCACCTCTGATGTGCCGATCAAAGGTGAAATGACGAACATCCTCTTCCATCCGACGCCTTCGGTCAGTTACGAACCAATGTTTGAGGCTCTGGAGAAGCGGGCCGAAATCCTGTGTATTGGCGTGCTTGTAGGCATTGTGATACTGGGAAAGATGTTTGGGGGAGCACTTTACGGTCTTATCCCGCTGGGAATGTGTGTCTCTTCAGGCATCTTTCTGTGGATGAAGGCTGTTGTACGGGCTGGGAGGGACCACGAGTGGTCGAGTGAACAAGAGAGGGGCGAGACAGCAGTCGCAAATCTAATCCCAGAATCCGTCGAGTGGATGAATACTTTACTCGGCGTTGTTTGGGGCCTGATCGACCCAGAGATGTTTGCCAGTGTGGCTGGTACTCTCGAGGATGTCATGCAAGCCTCTGTCCCCAGTGTCATCGAGAATGTCCGAGTCGCCGAGATCAACCAAGGCAGCAACCCAATCCGAATCTTGAGTCTTCGAGCTCTGCCCGATCATCACGTAGAGGAATTAAAGGATGACATCCATAGGCAAAACTCCGAGAAAAAGGATCCCCAAGAAGTCGCGGCGGATGAGGAGGGCGGAGATTACTACAATATCGAATGCTCCTTTGCGTACCATGCCAAGCCAACCGGAAAAGGCGTCTCTTCAAAGGCGAAAAACATGCATATGGAGCTCGTCTTCTACCTTGGAATTAAAGGCTTGTTAGGCGTACCTCTGCCGATTTGGGTCGAACTTCAAGGTCTTGTTGGCACTGTTCGCCTGCGCCTTCAGATGTCTCCTGAGCCACCATTCCTCAAAGCCCTCACATTTACGCTTATGGGCCTTCCAAAAGTCCAAGCAGGCTGTATGCCAATTCTGGAGAGCAACGTCAATATTTTAAATCTGCCTCTCATCTCGAAATTTGTCAACTACGCCATTGGGGCAGCAGCAGCCGAGTATGTTGCTCCGAAGTCAATGACGCTCGATATGGCCAAGATGCTCCAGGGCGATGATATCCAGAAGGATGTAGAAGCTCTTGGTATCCTCTGGATTAGAATCCACAAGGCAACTGGACTTAGCAAGCAAGACCGCCGAGGCAGTGAAGGCGGCGGAAGTGATCCCTATATTACCGTCAGCTTCTCCAAGTATGGCAAGCCAATGTACTGCACCCGCGTTATCCAAGATGACCTCAACCCTGTCTGGGAAGAGACATGCGCTCTTTTAGTTACTCCTGATCTCATCAAGGCTGACGAGCAGCTGTCAATGGAACTTTGGGACTCAGATCGATCCACCGCCGATGACGTCGTTGGAAAGGTCGAAATCTCCATGCAGAAGATGATCCAGCACCCTGGAAAGATGTACCCACAAGTATCCAAACTCCGTGGTACAAAGGCCGAGAGTTCGATGCCCGGTGAACTGATGTGGGAGGTTGGGTACTTTTCCAAGCCTCAGATGCGTCCTGCTCTCAGGACTCACGGGAAGGATATTAACCTTCCGGATAACTTGAAGGACATTCCAGCATTGCAGGATGAGAAGGGATCCTTGGATAGCCCAGAGGAAGATGCTGTCGTTCACACTCCTCCTGACCCACTGTGGCCAAGTGGTGTTTGCAGCGTTATCATCCACCAAATTGTTAACCTCGAGTTGGAGAATACTCAGGGCAGCAATGGCAACAGGAAGGGACGAGAATTCGAACCCGCCCGTGAAAGTGGAGAGACGAAGGAAGAGAAGGGCAAGAAGCTTCCAAGCAGTTACTGTACGATCTTAATCAATGATGAACTTGTAAGTGAGATCTTTCAATATTGCTGTAGCAGATTACTAACCAGTTCTAGGTCTATCGCACGCGTGCAAAGGTTGTTAGCAGCAAGCCCATCTTCAACGCTGGTACTGAGCGCTTTATGAGAGACTGGAGATCCGGAATAGTCACTGTTACTGTTAGAGACCAACGGATGAGGCAACACGATCCTATTCTGGGTGTTGTACCACTGAAGTTGTCCGACATTCTCCAGACGAGCTCCCAGGTTACAAGATGGTATCCTTTGGATGGCGGCATCGGATTTGGCCGTGTTCGCATCTCCCTCCTCTTCCGTAGCGTCGAGATAAAACTACCAATCAACCAACTAGGCTGGGACGTCGGCACATTTGAGTTCCACTCACCCAAGATAATCGCAACCGGCTACCAATCCACCGCGAAGCTAAAGATGCGCACCGGCGGCAGCACCGGCCAAATCGGACGCTCGCACTGCCGCAAGCTCGCGGAGGGCGACGGCGTCTTCTGGGACCTCGCCAAGAAGGAGGGCAAGAACAACGTGCGTCTACCGGTCAAGTACCGCTACCGCTCCCCCGTCGTCTTCGAGTTCCGCAAATCGGGCAGCCGCTCGGTCGACGCCTATGCGGTGATCTGGCTGCATCACCTTGAGGATAACCGTGAGGAGGCTATTAATATCCCGATCTGGAAGACGGATAAGGGGATGCGGTTGACGCAGAACTATATTACGGAGGAGAACTTTAATAGTATTCCCGATATCAAGATCGAGGAGGTCGGACGTCTGCAGTTCCGCTGCTGCTTTAAGGCTGGCACGGATCAGGACCATGCGCACTTCGTTTGTGACAATGATGCCCGCGAGACGCAGGAGACGTGGGAGGCGTGCCATGCGGAGGGTGTGCGCACGACACATGTGTCCAAGGAGATGCCGCCCGCGGTACAGCAGCTGCACGACCAGAGCCTGATTCAGGGCCGAGACGTGCTATCGCAGGCCGACGAAGATGACAAGAAGAAATGGCTGTCGAAAGACGGCACGGACTGGAGCGGGGCGTTCGGCGAGGACCCGTCGAAGTTTGTTGATTACAGGGGCGCGAGGAGCGCGCAGGAAGAGAGGTATGATGGGCGGCCTAGTACCGGGCAGAGTGGCAGCGGGGGTCGCAGCAGTGATGCGTATACGTATGATGATGAGGATAGCGATGAGAGCGATCTAGGGCTTCAGGATGCGACGACGACGTCGAGGGAGCAGGAGGGGCCGGCGGCGGCGGATGGGGAGGTGCAGACAAAGGCTGATGTGAAGGATTTGCATCGGAAGCAGAGGTGGGGGCAGTGGAAACCGATGAGAAATCTGCAGTTCGCGAAGGATGAGACGAAGTTTGCGGTGAAGAAGACGATTGGGAAGTGGAAGCTTGAGGGGAGAGAGCCGGGAGTTGAGTCTGAGTATTAGATTTTCGTCTGCAATCCATGCATCCCATTCATCTCCAAGTGATCTCTCACCATCAAGGAAGAAGATCTTTACCTTATAACCCCATCGTCTCCGTACGTAGCTTACAAAGTCCTTAATTGTTTGTAGGACTGTGCCTTGCCTCTTGTCTTTAATGGTGTAGACATGGTTCATGCGGCAGAAATCACACTGTAAGTGTAGGGCCTGTGTGCTACCATCGTACGCTTCTGGCATCTGGATAAGGTCTAGGTGCACCTTCTCGTAAGGGATCTGTGACCGTGGTGTAGATCTTTGCGAGATCCTTTTTGTAGCATGGGTAGTGTCGTACGAATCCATGTCTGTGACAATAACCCCTTGGGTCTTCTCTTGGAGCTTCCTTATTGCGTTTTGATTAAGGTGGCCCATTCGATTATGCCACTCCTTTGCAGTGCCTGTTAGGTCTTTGCGAGGTCCGTACGAGGATAGAACAGTATCTTGGTGCACTTGAGTCATTGATAGGGCTGCGTTTTGAAGGACTTTTGTATTGTCATTCTTAATATATTCAAGGACCAATTGTCCATGGATAACTGGAGTGTTGCAGAACGGCTTTCCTTTGTACGTGAGTCCTTCTGTAGCTATATTCCAATGGACTCCCTTTTGGATGAATCGTTTTAAGGATGCAACAGAGGTGTGGAATGAGGAAACGAGGGCTGTTTTGTGGAGTGTTATGGTTCGTACGGACTTTGTGTCCTTTCCAACCTGGACTTTGATGTCCACGGACCCGAACCCTTCAATCCTTACTCTCTGGTCTCCAGCTAAGAGGTAGTTTCTGTCCTCACATTCCTTTAGGTTGTAGAACCTCGTACGGTCGTTACAGACATGAATTGTAGCTCCAGAATCAAGGATTGTGCTCCTTGCAAGCTCATAGGTTGAGAGGGTAAGACCTTGAGTGACTTGGAAGGCTGTTGCAAAGGAAACAGGTAGATCCTGGTTCGTACGGGGTTGTCCTCCATTCACCTTGTCCTGGTCTAGTGCCCTTTGAATGCAGTATTGAAAGCCTGGCTTTTCACTTATGTAGGCATCAACTTTAGCTTCAATGTCTCGGTTTAGCTTCCATGACTTCATACGCTTCGACTTCATGACATATAAGCAGTCCCTCCACTTATGGATAGAGCCACAAGGGCAATCTGTTCGGGGCTCCTTGTTCTTCTTCCCGTTATTCCAACCCTGTTGTCCTTGTTGTAGGTTGTTTGTACAGTTCTGAAGGGTAGCAGATGTCTCTTTATTGCCTTCTTGTGTTGCGAAAACTCCATGTTCCCCCTGAGACTTCTGGTCATATCTTGCCTGTCTCTGGTTGATTCGATAGGTCCGTACGACCGCCTCAAACTCATATTCCTTTGTCCCTTTGTTGAGTTTGAATATCCATGGGTGTAATGGTGGGTGCACCAGATATGAGAATCTAGCCACCCAAGGAAGGGATGAATTTACTAAGACAACACACTGTCTTAGGAAACAGAGCCAAAGGGTTGTAGCTTAGACTATTCCACAACGCAGCAATCAGGTGTATAATGTGGTGAAGTGGTTTAGACAAGTTGCAACAAATGTTGAGTCTGAGAACTCAGGGGTAAGTCAGAGGTTAGCACCTCACTCACTTTTCAAAAACAGAGAATAACAAGATCAATGCTTGGAAGCTTGGAAAAGACGTAGAAGTATGTGCTAGTCGATTTACTGTATTGCCTGCTTGCCCTTTCCTTAAGAAAGGGCAAATTATGTCATAACTTAACCAATCTTGTGGGTAACTAAGGAGCGATGACGTGTAATGAATCATAGAGGGTTGTAGAAGCTTCTAGAGCTATCGTTCATGTTCCTAGGCCTCTAGTTGGTAGAGATATGCCAGAATAGTCTAAGCTACAACCCTTTGGCTCTGTTTCCTAAGACAGTGTGTTGTCTTAGTAAATTCATCCCTTCCTTGGGTGGCTAGATTCTCATATCTGGTGCACCCACCATTACACCCATGGATATTCAAACTCAACAAAGGGACAAAGGAATATGAGTTTGAGGCGGTCGTACGGACCTATCGAATCAACCAGAGACAGGCAAGATATGACCAGAAGTCTCAGGGGGAACATGGAGTTTTCGCAACACAAGAGGAAGGGATGAATTTACTAAGACAACACACTGTCTTAGGAAACAGAGCCAAAGGGTAGCAGATGTCTCTTTATTGCCTTCTTGTGTTGCGAAAACTCCATGTTCCCCCTGAGACTTCTGGTCATATGAGTTTGAGGCGGTCGTACGGACCTATCGAATCAACCAGAGACAGGCAAGATATGACCAGAAGTCTTAAGGGGGTGGGCCAATACTACCACATGGCATATCTCTACCAACTAGAGGCCTAGGAACATGAACGATAGCTCTAGATTATGCCAAAGGAGTGTAGTTCTCTCATTTTCCATGACTTTCCATGACTAACCAGGCTTGGTAAATGTATTAGAAATCAAGTGCAACCCACAACTAGCTTGCTAATCATGTAGTGAACGTAAGAGAATCCCATAGAACCATCTCTTGGGTTCCTAGCCTATAGGAAGTGAAAAGGAGGTCCAAGGTCAGAGTACCTATAGACAAATTATGTCATAACTTAACCAATCTTGTGGGTAACTAAGGAGCGATGACGTGTAATGAATCATAGAGGGTTGTAGAAGCTTCTAGAGCTATCGTTCATGTTCCTAGGCCTCTAGTTGGTAGAGATATGCCATGTGGTAGTATTGGCCCACCCCCTTAAGGAGGAGAGTTTCTTAATAACTTGTTCAATGAGTGTCCAAATGATATGCCGTGATGTATGTAGCATAAACAGATGTAGTAGAAGAGTTTGCAGCAATCGTTGAGTAGTATTGCTTCTGTTGTTGGTGTGATAAGCCAAGATATGTATGGTGACTTGTAGGTTTGAGGAGGAGATTTCTAAGTTTGCTCTTGAGTTTGATAGCAAACTGAGTGCAACAAATGTCAGTATGACAGGGACATCACATGGCTAACATTGGATATCATGGATATTATGTTATCCATGTTATCCACGGCGATCCACAGAATGTCATGTGATGGATAACATTGGATATTGTTGTAATAGTCACATGATCTCACGTGATCTCCATACAGATTATCGGTAAAGCCAAGTATAGGTTACATAGTGAGGAATACATACATTTTATTACTCAACAGCTATGAGCCCGGAGTACATCTAGGTCGCATTTTGAACATCTTCGAACATCGTACAGACCTCAAACCCCTCCTAGGAGTCGATCACCATCATAATGGCGACCCTACAGAAGGTGGGGGTAGTCCTCTCCAACCCAAAAGACTGGGATCAGTGTTGCCCGAGTACTACTCAGAGTACTACTCAGAGATCTTCGAGTAGAGTACTGTTTTTTGGGCTCGAGTAGCAGATCCTTTCTGTCACTGAGGGACAGGCATCCTTACAGGTAGCAGGGTTTGAAGTTGTTGTTTTTTGCAGTCATCATCTTCGTTCCCTTCTGGTCTATCTCCTGCTCTTCAAGTTAATGCATCTGCTTTTCCATTCTGTTTCCCAGGTCGATATATAATTTGAAAGTTAAACCTTGACAGAAACTCAGCCCATTGAGCTTGCCTTTGAGTAAGCTTCTTTGTTGTCATGAAATATTCAAGACTCTTGTGATCTGACAAAACTTGGACTGGCATTGCTGTGCCCTCAACTTCTGGTCTCCATGCTTTGAAGCATCTGATGATGGCTAGTAACTCCTTGTCATAGATTTCGTAATTAATCTATGACAAGGAGTTACGCGCCATCCTCACCCGTAAACAGTTTCCAGTCTGCTTATGCTTTGCAATGACTATTAATAAGTCTCAAGGACAGTTATTTGACATGTAGGTGTTGATTTACGGGTATCTACTTTTAGCCGTGGACAGTTCTAGGTAGCAATGTCGCGAACATCATCCGTTGCTGGGTTACATGTTCTACTTCCTGAAGGGGAGGATGATACGACTAAGAATGTAGTGTATCCTGAGGTTTTAGTTGGAATCAATTGAATTCTTACTCTCTAGGCTATAGTCTATATGATTAGTTATTCTTACGGGTGGTTCTCTATTCTTACGGATGATGTGGATTCTTGACGATCCGTAAGCACCTGTAAGAACCTGTAAGAAACCGTAGGACTACATTTCACATTTACAATTATAAGTTACAACACAAATAACACAGGTAAGTGCCTGTAAGGCAGGTTAGCCGAGTCGGACCCATTTCGGGTACTTAAGGAGATTGACCCAACGGGGGTTCCTCTCTTCATCTTTTTTGTATCCTTCGTAGTAGACCTATAGGATAGCATCCGTTTAGCCACCGACTCGCACTCTTATATGCTATTACTGTGAGCTGGGTGCCCTGTGTCCTTACACTACCACTCAAGAGACTCCATCCATGTCATACTGATATTTGTTGTACTCAGTTTGCTATCAAACTCAAGAGCAAACTTAGAAATCTCCTCCTCAAACCTACAAGTCACTATACATATTTTGGCTTGTCACACCAACAACAAGAGCAATACTACTCAACGATTGCTACAACTCTCTATGATTCATTACACGTCATTGCTCCTTAGTTACTCGGCCGATATGACCACATAGCATATCTCTACAACCCTCTATGATTCATTACATGACATCACTCCTTAGTTACTGGGCTAATACTACACATGACATATCTCTATCAACTAGAGGCCTGGAACATGAACGATAGCTCCAAAAGCTTCTACAACCCTCTATGATTCATTACACGTCATCGCTTCTTAGTTACCCACAAGATTGGTTAAGTTATGACATAATTTGTCTATAGGGGTACTCTGACCTTGGACCTCCTTTCACTTCCTATAGGCTAGGAAATTAGGAGATGGTTCAATGGGATTCTCTTACATCGACTACAGTTACCAAGCCTGGTTAGTCATGGAAAGTCTTGGAAAATGAGAGAACTACACTCCTTTAGCATAAATAGGATTGCCCTTTCCTTAAGAAAGGGCAAGCAGACAATACAGAAAATCGACTATCACATACTTCCACGTCTTTTCCAAGCTTCCAAGCATTCATCTTGTTACTCCTTGTTTGTGA